CTGCGTACATCCTGGGCAAGCTCGGGGTCTGCAGGCATCAGTAGGGTCCGGTCTACAAGAGAGCATATCGCGCTTTCAAAAGATGATGCAGATACGAATGCAACATTGGGAGTCGAGGATCAAGCCATTGCCAGGAGAGCACCAACACTTCACGTGGAAGTTCCCATAAGGATCGTCCCGGAGCCACCAGCTCAGTCAAAGATGTTATCAGCCTGGCCCGAATGGATCCAAGATATGAGACCAATCGCAAGCGCGTTTGTGACCCACGTATCTGCGCGCATGAACAACGCCATTAATGTCCATCTGATGATAGAGAATGTTCTGTTAGCTGGCGACGGTGTTATGGTTGCCCTGGGTCTTCTCGAGCCGACCTTGAATGAAGACAAGATACGCTTACGATGGCGATGCGTAAGTCTCTTCTACTAGAACTCACTTCCATCCATTGAACCTGATTGCTTATTGCGGCATAGTGCTGTGGTGATCTGCTTTACAGCGACATGATAGAGCTTCGCGAAGGCGGTATAGCCGAGCTCATCAATCGTATGCAGTGTTCCTCTGGCGCCATAGTACGTGCAGCGCCTTACAACTATCAATCTAGTAACCGGCAGTATATCGCCCCTCGCCCTGACCGATGGGTTCGCAACGCAGTCGAAAAGATCGGATCCGCTTTTGGGCAGTCTACGACGTCGTCATCCTTGGGTCTACCACAAACACACACACCATGCGCGACAACCTCAGTCTCAAACCCCCATAATCTACCTTCTCAAAGGAAGATACTTCATCTATCGATGTGCATGCACAGCAATCGACGTCACAAGATTCTATGTCAGGACCGTGTAGATAACTTCACTACAGATCGCACATTATTGTGCTTTCTTCGAGCGCAGTACACTGCGCACTGTGGTCGCTTTCTTAAACTGGTCCGTCTGAAATCCGTTGAACGGATTGAATTCGTCAAGTTTTTGCTGCCAATGGGCGGCAGTGTCGCTCTACAAGGCTGTATCCCCGACAACACAAATTCGACATACTGTGATTGTATACCTCCTCCCCAGAAAGTGGGTTTAGAATACGAATACTCTCCGAATCCGCCAAAAACGCATCCTCCGTTTCCCCCAGAGTATTTAGCCAGTCTGTTCACATGCAACTCAAAGGTAGACGAGCAGGATGATTGGATACTTAATCAGATACCGAAGCGCACATGTGGCGAACTCCGAGGTCAGAAGGGCGACCCAGCTGAGGGTTGGGGAATTTACTTTGTTGAAAGCTGGGACCACAAGCTCATCTCTCTATTAATACTCGTGGTGTTTTTGGTGGCAAGTTCGTTGTTCGGGATCCTTTATTCAAGGTTTCATTTTGATGTTCAGGGAGCTTTCGGCGTGAGCGCGTGGATGATTGCATGTAGTAGCATGATGCTTCAAGTTGCTGCTACCTGGTTAGACAACACGGGCTAATCTGCGTACGTACGTTATTTTTTCGAACATTCTCAGAATGAGCGGGTTGGACACGCAAAACCGCAATGACTATCATCTCTGAAACAAACATGATACTTCCCTTCGCTTAGATAAAGAACGAGTGCGATTCGCGTGAAACTGTTGACCAAAGTTGAAATTTGCGGTGTTGTTTGCGCAGAAGTTTACTTGCTCCAGCCTGTACATCCCCTCATAAAGCACTCTGAGGTACACTTATCTACACTCTTTTATAAACACCATCATGGACTGTCGCGAAGACCTTCCTGATATACTCTGGCATAACGTAGGAAGTGCGAACTTCCAAGTGTGACATTAGTGTGATCACGGTGGTGGAAGTGGCTAACCACTTCATGAGACACTCACCTAGGCAGGAAATAACCGATAGTATGTAATAAAAAGACATCAATAGCTGCTCTAAATGAGGTAGTTTCACTCGAAGCCGGCTGTAATCGTATTCGGTCAGGCGCACGTGCGATGACGCACGCTCTTTCATCGCTCCTTCCTCCACTGCGCACTCACCTACTGAAAATTTTCCTCCGCTCACAACACTGCCACCTTCCACCACACCCAACCACCACAAAATTGGCCAAAATGGTCAAAATGGCTTGGCTGAACTCCTTGAAAGCCTAACAAAAAGGCTCGAAGCGGCAAGGAAAAAGGTATGTATCCAGAACACTTAGTCACACCCAAACTAACATCTATCTTAGGATGCCACGCTCATAGCCGCCATGCAACGCAAGACCGACGAAACCATCAAAAGAAACTCGATCAGGTCGGTTAGTGCCATGGTAGTGACCATGGTCCTGACTGTACCGGCGAGACACTACTGATGTCGGTCCACTCCAGCCAAGAACAAGCACATCTGGAGTGAATGGCGGAGCAAGTCAGTCTAAGGACACTATCAAGAGATGGAAGAATGGCGCTAGGGAGCATTTCCTCGATATCGAGGCACCACAGAGTCTGTGGCTGTCTCACCGAAGATCGAGGATGGCATGGACGGTCTCAAGTAGAAGGCTACACAGAATCTGTGTCCTCTTTTGCTTGAGCGTTCGGGTGGGTTGGAAAGCCTTGAGGTCGAGGTACCCGCAGTATCATGTGGCTGTCTCACCGGAGATCGAGGTTGGTGTGGACGGTCTCAAGCAGAGGGTCGCGCAGAGTCTGTGCCATCTTTTGCTTGAACGTTCGGGTGGATTGGAGAACCTTGAGGTTGAGGTACCACAGTATTCTGTGGCTGTCTCACCGGAGATCGAGGCTGGTGCGGATGCCCTCAAGAAAGATGGCCCGGGCAAGCTCGGTGTCCTCTTTGCTTGAGCGGGCGGATGGCGCAGGCTGACGCTGTAACCTCTTTACATGAGAGACACAGTGTGGAAGAGCTGGCAATGAAGGTCGCAGGTCAATGCTTTGTCTTCTTTACTCATGGGCATGCCATTGAGGGCGCCAAGGTGGAGGCAGCGACAGCTGATGATGTGGTTGCTTTGCTCAGGAACTAGGGCCGGGCAGTGTCCGGACGAAGGTGGCGCAGACCGACGCTTTGGCTTCTTATCAAAGAAGTACGGCGACGAGAGCGTCAAGAAGAGGGCGGCGATGGTTGATTACATCCTTGCTTTGCTTCGGGATTATGAGATGAGGTCTTCGGAGAAAGATGGCACGGCTGATGCTGTGTTTTCCTTGTTCCGAGAGATCGATGGCGCGCAGCATGTCGAGGACTCGGTCACTCAGTGAGACAGGGCTGGCGTCATGGGACTTCCGGCAGCGTTGGCCATGTATGAACATGCGTTGCGCTGTTGGTTTCCCTGTGGTAACCGTGGGTGGAGGGTCAAATTATACCTACATGTTCGGTACTTCTTACAATTCGATATCTTACGATATATCCTGGAGGTACTCAAAGCTCATTACACCTGTGAACGCTGCCTCACCAACTCGATGTATACAGCTGGCATGTTCTCCGTGTTGACATCAGCAAACACATCTCGGTATGTATCCGTCTCGTAGCGCCCTCAACTTCTTGCTATCGCGTGATTGTGTACTGTATGCTGTGGTAACAACTTCGATTCAAACGCCGTCTAATGCATTGGTCTATAGGGTATCATACCTCAATCCATATCCTCTAATCCGCCCGCATCACTCGGCGCCTGCTCTGCACTAACCATAATACCCACCATACACTCGCCGAGCATGTTCTCCCAATTCACCCACGGATGCACTTCCATAAACAGCTTCGTCCCGTCCTTACCCGCCGCCCTCTTCAGCTCGCCCTCTCCACCAGGGTGAAATGGCAGATAGGGCGAGATGTTATACACCTTACCCTGATAGCTCGACCACGCGGGCTTCCCCTTGCGCCCGTTCTTCTCCTTGAGCATAGCGGGTGTAACGCGTATCATCGAGTCCACGCCCGACAAGTTCTTGCCTGACTTCTGCAGGTAGGCCCAATCGAGTGGCGAGTGGCCGGGCGATAGGAGTACCTTGCCTCGTGCGTTTGGTGTCTTGAGTGAGGCGCCTGCGGTGGGTGGAAGCCCCAGGCTGCCGTTTGAGGTCGGTGGGCCGCGATTGGGTAGCGGGCCGCGGTTCGGAAGGGGCCCGGTTGTGGGTACGCGCATTGACTGGGTGGAGTTGTTGGGGAGGGCGCGCAGGTTTGAAGCTGCGACTCGGGGTGGCGGCATGAGCGAGGTTGTGGGTTTTGGTGGCGGGGCCATGAGCGAGGGCTTGCTGGGTGGAGGCATGGTGGAGGGAGGGGGCATGGCGGATAGCGAGGGCGGCTTCGAGGCTCGCTGGGCGGAGTTCATGGCTGGAAATGAGGGCGGTGGGAGGTTGTCTTCTTCATCCTCGTCGGAGCTCTCGTGCTCGTTGAGCGTAAAGGTAGGTACGGCAGGCGCATCCTTTTCAGAGGCCGGCGCAGCTTTTGGTGTGGATTCAGGAGATGGACTCTTTGCAGTCACTCTGCTATCTTCATGCTTTGTTGAAGTCTGCTCCATGCGCTGCTCCGCCGCGGGGGTGCGGTGGTCGGTCTCGTCATGCTGCGACTTCTCAGGTATCGACGACGCGCCAGAGCGTGTGAAGCGAGTAATGAAGGCGAGCCATGTGGATGGCGGGCGCTGGTAGACGAGGAAGGACAGCGAGAGTGCCAGAATCGAGACGGCAACGAGCATCTCTTGGGTCTATGCGAGGTAAGGAGCGACAGTTGCTGGACCCTGAGGCGTGTGAAGAGCGGAACGAGTCCAGGCTTCATGCGCCTCCAGGGTTTCTTGACGGTAGGGCTGAGGGCAATCGGCGCTAGCCTTCGATGACTTCACGCGCCGCATGCCGTCACTGCTCGGAACATATTCTGTCTGGTGAATGCACACGTTTACGCATTGACTTTTGTCCACGCCTATACAATCGCACGAGGTTCTCATTCTCTTCCACGGTTACGCGCGACCCACTCTACGCGCCCTTATAACCTCGCGCCTGCCCCACCACCCCTCCATCTATCGCGATCGCAAGTGCAACCCTGAGGCTGAATCACACAATCGCGCAATACACCCACACACAACCATGGCCGCGGAACCAGCCAACCTGCCCGAGGGCATCATTTCCCTCTTAGATACCGATCTCTACAAGCTGACTATGCAATGTTGCATACTCAAGTTCTTCCCAGATGTCTCAGTCACCTACGGCTTCACAAACCGCACGCCCGACAAGAAGCTGAATCGCGCAGCCTTCAAGTGGTTACAAGCGCAAGTAGATAGTATGTCTTTTCCTCCCTGTTATTTCTACAATGGCTAACCCTCCAGAACTCGAGAATATAACCGTGTCCGATGCCGAAATCGCCTTCCTCAAGAACACCTGCCCCTACCTGAACGCGCAATACCTCCACTTCCTCTCCACGTTCCGCCTCAAGCCCTCCAAACAACTGAAGCTATCCTTCCAACCCGCGAACGACACTGGGTCAGACAGCGACAGCGGCGATTTCCACATCCATACCGAGGGTCTTTGGCTAGATACCATCCTGTATGAAATCCCGTTACTCGCGCTGGTCAGCGAGGCATACTTCAAATTCGTCGAGACAGACTGGAGCCATGAGGGCCAAGTCGAAAAGGCATACCAGAAGGGGCGGAGTCTGCTGGAAGGAGGATGCATCTTCTCCGAGTTTGGCTCGCGGAGACGTCGCGACTACCACACTCAGGATCTAGTGCTGCAGGGCTTGCGCCGGGCAGCTGACGAGGGCGACAAGGCAGGGTGGAAAGGCAAACTCTCAGGGACAAGCAATGTCCATTTCGCCATGAAGCACGGCCTCGTTCCTGTGGGCACCGTCGCGCACGAGTGGTTCATGGGTGTGGCTGCCATTACCAACAACTACGAGAGCGCAAACGAGATTGCCCTGGAATACTGGACAGCGACGTTTGGCGCAGGCGTCTTGAGCATCGCACTCACGGATACCTTCGGCACACCGACCTTCCTGAGAGCCTTCAAGAAGCAGATTCCTCGCGTTACCACGGCTATCCCAGGCGGTGGCACAACGCTGGCGTCAGCTGGCCAAACCACCAACAACGATGCCGTGGAGACAATGGCGTCAACCAACCCGCCGATCCAAGCACCATACGATGGAAATTTAGGATCGAGACAGACTTATGCCGAGGTTTTCGCAGGTGTGCGACAGGACTCTGGAGACCCGTTGGAGTTCATCAAGATGATGCGCGACTTCTACGACCAGGAAGGCATCAAGGATAAAAAGACCATCGTATTCTCCGACTCTTTGAACCTTGAGCTGTGCTTCAAATACAAGGCTGCTGCAGAAGCAGCAGGGTTCCAGCCCACTTTCGGTGTTGGAACATTCCTGACAAGTAAGTGCGCAAGTGGAAATGCTTTCAGACATGGCTGACCATGACAGATGATTTTGTCGAGCAAACAACAGGCAACAAGTCTGTGCCCCTCAACATTGTGATCAAGATCGCGTCCGCTGCGGGGCGTTACGCCGTCAAGATTAGCGACAACATTGGCAAGAACACAGGAGACAAGGCGACAGTAGATGAAGTTAAGCAGCGACTAGGCTACCAGGAGAAGTCGTGGGCTGGGGGTGATGAGAAGACGCGCTGGGGGACTGCAGGCGCGCCAGCCACTTAGTATGTGCGGTTTGCATCTCATCCGGTGGGGCGTATACGTTGGCTAGACCTGAGCTCCCAAGCTGCAGAGACGTGGAGTCCAACCAAGAAGTGGAGGCGTTCATAAGCTGAGATGCGGTCTGCAAGGCTGAGTCTAGCGCAGACCTTCCTGCGATGACCGTGAAGCTGCGTCAGCGCTTGGTGGCCGGCTCGGGGACTCTTTACGAGATGAGGCGAAAGTCAAGAGTAAATGCGAAAGTAGTGCAAGTGAATAGCAAGTTTGCAGCCCAAAGAGTGCCCAGGTCCCATCTAGACGCCGAAGCATGTGCGTGTGCCAAAATTAGAGTGAGGTTCTTCGCCGCTGCGGGTCAACGACGCGCCGCTGCTTACCAGCCCCATGGAGCTAGCCCAGCGCCTCCTGCATGTGCGGTCCACTCTGCCACTCAGCCCCAGGAAACATCGCAGAGCTGAAACACATTTATCTTCTGTCGCCAGCCTTTGTACAGCATTGACAACATTGATTCGAGCTCAAGCGCGTTTGACCTCAATTCACCCTTCGCCTAGTCACGAGCCCACCGCTACTCTAGTGCCGCTTCCCGCGTTTGCAGTCGGCTGTCTCAGGAGTCTTCACGTCCACTCAGACCACACAGGGCCTGTTTCAGAATGAGCGTAAGTTCCCTCTCTGTCAGCGTACCCGCTTGACTGTGCCCTCCTACAACACCATCCACTCCACTACACTACACATTTACACACGCTGACCATGGCTGCTGCGGACGAACAGTACGGAAACAAGGGCTACGGCCAGATAGGATCCTATGGCGGTAACCCCTACGACGCACGCGACGCCAGCCCGGCTGGCTACAACAACTACAACCAGGGCGGCTATGGTACGTCTTCGATGCGCCACTTTCTCAACGGCTATCTCTAACACAGCACAGGCGATGTAGAGATGCAAAACTACCCCGGCGGTGGCGCCAGCGCGAACCCCAATGCCATCCTCGACGAATGCCGCGAAGTCGACCGCGCCCTCGACGACCTCGATGCCCAGCTCAGCAACCTCGACCGTGTCTTCAAGCAGTCATTGGCGCGCCCAGACATGCCCTCGGGCGAGATCAACAACCTCTCCTCGCAGATCATGACCGGCTACCGTGGCCTCGTCGGCCGCGTCAAGGCCATCAAGTCGAAGCCCGACTCTGGTCACCCAAGAAACGCTCCACAAGTCGGCAAGGTCGACCGCAGACTCAAGGCGACCATCAACAAGTACCAACAACTCGAGTCGGATTTCCGAAGGGATTCACAAGCAGCTGCCGAGCGCCAATACCGCATTGTGCGCCCAGATGCTACCGAACAGGAGGTCCGCGATGCAGTATCAGACCCCGATGCGCCCATCTTCCAGCAGGCTGTAAGTAGCTCCAATTGGACGAGTACATGATCATTCTAACACCCTCCAGCTCCTTAACTCAGACCGCCGCGGCCAAGCCTCATCCACCCTCCGCAACGTCAAAGAGCGCCACGAGGCCATTCAGAACATAGAACGTCAAATGGTCGAGCTTGCCCAGCTATTCCAGGACCTCGACCAGATCGTCCAGGAGCAAGAGCCGCTTGTCGCCAACATCGAGCAAAAGGGCGAGGAGATCCACGATAACGTCAAGGCTGCCAACGTGGAGATCGACGGTGCCATTGTCAAGGCCCGCAGCCGCAACCGCAAGAAGTGGTGGTGCCTGCTCGTCCTCCTGCTCATCATCATCGTCGTTGTTGTCATTGCTGTGGTTGTCACACAAGTCAACAAGGCCGCTGCCAACACCGTTGCGTAATCAACACACCAGCCGAGTCTATTCCTCCAGCATTAAGAGATCGCTATACAGCCGCGTCTCGCATTCCACCATCACGTCCACCGTCTCTTCTTTATTAGTCTTTTCCCAAAGGCTGGTCCGTACAATATGTAATACCCCCACGGTGGATATACATACCCCATCTCTCCTGTCATCTCTTCCATTGGTTAGGAAAATTGGTCTCCTTTGTAGGCGCCTCTGGCGTCCTCTATTCTCAGCGTCTTGAAGCTGTTTCTGTAGCGCTGGCCGAATGCATTGCGGATTACTTATATACAACTGTTTTAGAGGCTAGCTTACGAGCTATCGAATGAAAGAGTCAAATATGTCCTTTTCGGCGCGATGCGCAATGGTGCTTGCATTGCCACGGTCCTCAACTTCACCGCCCCACGCACCGGTCCGACGCTATATGAAGTCGCATACCACAATCAATCTTTGTGAGAAATGGCGGCGAAACCTTCTCTCAGGTGACGTTGTAATATAAACATGTACCACGCTAAATTTCGAAGCAATCTAAATGGCACAAAGCCGAACATTTACCTGGGGTAAGGCGCACGATCTACCGACACTTTAACCACTCTGGCGTCCACTAAATCGCGAACTCATATATTTTGGAAACAAGCACGGAACAAGCATGGCACTATACCTCTTGAGCTACGGAGGGAAAAGCTTGGGCTGTGAACTGGAGAGTATAAAGGACTAGCACTTGGCCGCCGTCTTGGGTACCAGCACCTCATACTCAAATCAGACCAACAGAAACCATGTTCGGCCAAACAGCACTCTTCGCTCTAGCCCTCGCGGCACCAGCCCTCTCCCAAGTCACCGAAGGCTTCGAGAACGGCTGGGACCAAACCGCCTGGCCAACCTACGCCCCAGACTGCTCGCAAGGCGGAAAGGTCACCCTAGACAGCACGACCGCGCACACAGGCAAGAACAGCATCCGCGTGGACGGCGCAGGAGGTTTCTGCGGCCACATCTTCGTTGGCACGACTAAGATTCCTGCTGGAGATGTTTACGTACGGACATACCTGTAGGCCTTCCCTTGACTGATGAGAGAAGAAAGATGGACTAACATACCTACAGCAAAGCATCCAAGCCCCTAACCGACTCCCACGTAACCTTCATCACCATGCCCGACTCCGCCCAAGGCGCAAAGAAACACCTCCGCATAGGCGGCCAATCCAAGATCCTCATGTACAACCGCGAAACCGACGACGCCACTCTCCCCGACCTCAGCCCACAAGGCATTGCTTCCTCAAAGGCACTACCCACTAATGCGTGGACGTGCTTCGAGTACCATCTCGGCACCGATGGCAGTGTGGAGACGTGGCTGAACAATGCGACGATCCCGGGACTGACGGTGGGCAACGGCGCGACGAACGCGAATGCGGGGCAGTGGACGAGGAGTAGTGTCAAGCCGAAGATTACGGGCGCGTACTTTGGGTGGGAGAGCTATGGGGGCGATACGAATACGATTTGGTATGATGATGTTGTTGTTAGTGGGAAGAGGATTGGGTGCTAGATGTGCCAAGGGTGATGGAGATGCTCCAGCGTTGGGACTTGTACATAGTGGAGCTAGGACTTGTAGATATTGAACCAAAGGTAACTGCATGTGGAAGTATCGTTTGTCGTGGATGTGAAGCCTCTAGAAGTTGTAGAAGCGTCTGCATGGTGTCAGTATGATAAAATCTAGGAACTCTTCAACGAACACCAGATGTCTCTCCACATAAACACCATGCCTCCACAACATCGTCGAACCTTCCCCTTCATGGGCCAGGAAACCACGATAAAGTCATCGTGACACAAGTCCCCTGTGACTTCCGCCCGCTCCGCCGCCAGGTAGGTGCCACGAACCAACCCCAGAACAGCGGGGAAACTCCCCAATCTCCTAAATTCCCTCACCACATGTCATCTGAACACATTCCACTCCACCAAAGGACCGGCTGCACCCCTTGGCGCAACATCTTTGCCTGAGAGATAATCACATCGCAACCTGCAATGCACCCTGCTCGATCGCGACAGTATCGCCTGATCGCGCATTGTAGCAGATAGGCTGACGACAACGCCGCTTGGCGAACCCCAAGCCAACGCCACAAACCCTGCCACCCTGCCCTCACCACCAATGTAGACACACGGGCGTGGGCGGTGAAGAGGCATGCGCGCACTTCCAAGTTTTCATGCCAATGTCGCTGCAGCATGGGTAGCTCGCGATGTCCAGCACGAGGACGCACTTTCACCATCACATGGGCAAGGTAACGCAAATCACAGCCGCACGTTATTCACTCCACAAGTGGCATTTCAAGGAACTTGCAGCTTAGCTTCCGCAGCCCGCGCCGCAGCGCACAGAAAGTTCAAAGGTCCAAGACGCCGTGCGAAGACACGCCTAGACCCTGGGCTGACGCTCCATGCCGCTTGCGGCCTAGAAGGTTCGGGGCTTTGGGCTGGGGCCGTTCGCTGGAATATTAACGACGGTATATGTTAGCCTGGGGTATTCGCTGTTTCTTTTCACTCGTTTTAGATACTCTGGGGTAGTGAACCTTTTTGTGGGGGAGTGTGTTCTGCGTTTGTTCTCTCAGCCTTGCTACTACGACCATACTAGACCTACCGGTTCGAGCTCGTTCGACATGTCTTCTGTTATGGCATCTGCGAGTGCGGCGCCCACGGAGCCTATCAAGGCTCCGCCCCAAGCGGGCATTCTGGAGGGGGTCAATCCTGTGCATTTTGACAAGAATCATCCGATTATTCTGTTTATCGTTCAGGTATGTCGTCTTTACTAGCCCAAGCATCGTGTTTGAGAGTCTAGCTTGGTGAGACGCTTCACCGATCTAGTACTACCACCATATCTCAATATCTGCGCAACCTCAGTCCATATCACTGTTTCTACATCCGCAAGCCATGACTCCAGTCAGAGTCGTCCCTGGAAATCTACCATAATCTTCAAAGAGAAGCATACTGACAATGTACGCAACAGGCAGGCATAATCATCATCTTCTGCCGCGCCCTCAACTGGCCCCTCTCCAAAATCCGCCAACCACGCGTGATATCCGAAATCATCGGCGGCATTATCCTCGGTCCCTCAGTAATGGGCCGCATCCCCGGCTTCCAAACCTCCATCTTCCCCACCGAGTCCATGACCAACTTGAACCTAGTCGCCAACCTCGGTCTGACGTTATTCCTCTTCATCATCGGATTGGAAGTCGATCTGCGGTTCCTACTCAGCAATTGGCGGCCTGCGCTCAATGTTGGGCTCGCGAGTATGGCGGTGCCGTTTGGACTGGGTTGTGCGATCGCCGTGGGGTTGTACAATGAGTTCAAGGATGAGCCGGGAACGGTGCAGATTGATTTTGCGATTTTTATGCTGTTTATTGGTGTGGCTATGGCTATCACTGTGAGTTCTGCGGATTCGAGGGGTTTCGTTCTTGTGCTAATTGGACGTCTAGGCCTTTCCGGTACTGTGTCGTATCTTGACGGAACTGAAACTGCTCATGACGCCGGTCGGTGTTATTGTTCTTTCAGCGGGTGTTGGGAATGACGTTGTTGGTAAGTCGCACAGCTTCTCCGCTAGCTCCTCGACTAATGTTCTGTAGGATGGATCCTTCTCGCTCTCTGCGTGGCCCTCGTCAACGCTGGTTCAGGTCTCTCGGCACTGTGGGTCCTCCTCACCTGCGCCGGATACATGCTGTTCCTCGTGTACGCCGTCCGACCAGTCTTCGTCTACGTCCTGCGTCGATCTCGCGCACTCCAAGATGGTCCCAGTCAAGGCATCATCAGTCTGACACTGCTCATCGCCCTGGGCTCTGCCTTCTTCACTGGTATCATCGGCGTTCACCCCATTTTCGGAGCGTTCATGGCGGGACTTATCTGTCCCCACGAGGGTGGTTTTGCTATCAAAGTCGCTGAGAAGATTGAGGATCTGATTGGGGCACTCTTCCTCCCGCTCTACTTCACTCTCTCGGGACTGAACACCAACATCGGTCTCCTGGACTCTGGTATTGTGTGGGCGTACGTCATCGGCGTCTGCGCTGTCGCCTTCTTCTCCAAGTTCCTGAGTGCAACCCTTGCAGCTCGCGGAAGCAAGATGCTGTGGCGAGAATGCTTCGCTGTGGGCTCTTTGATGAGTTGTAAGGGATTGGTGGAGCTTATCGTCTTGGCAAGTAATCCTACTCACAGTTTCAGGCCAGTACTAACAATCACAGAACATCGGACTGAATGCCAAGATTCTCAGCACCCGAACCTTCACCATCTTCGTCGTCATGGCCCTCGTTACTACCTTTGCATCGTCTCCATTGACAATGTACTTCTACCCTCCCTGGTATCAGAAGAAGGTTGAGGCATGGCGTCGCGGCGAGATTGACTGGGACACCGGCAAGCCTCTCGACGGCTCAGACGAAGGTGCCGATGGGATCAATTACGAGAAGATGGCTGCTGAGAAGATTCAACGGATGACCATCTACCTCCGTCTGGACAGCATGCCCAACCTGTTGGCCTTCACCTCGCTCTTCGGTGGAAACGCGGACAAGCCGGCGCCCAAGACGCACCCATCGAAAGACATCAGCACAAGCAAAGAGACAGGCGAGACGTCACTTGTCGAGACTGCACCATCGCGACCAGTCGAAGCCTACGGTCTCCGACTACTCAACCTCACCGACCGTGGCTCCTCCGTCATGCAGGTCTCGGAGCTAGAATCCTACACAGCCTACGACCCAGTCGTGAACACGTTCCGCACATTTGGCCGTCTTCACAACCTTGCCGTCAGCGGCGAAGTGCTCGTCGTGCCGGAATCGTCTTTCGCTGAGACTCTCGCTACCCGTGCATCTGACTCCAACTTCCTAGTCCTGCCTTGGAGCGAGACAGGCGGTATGTCGGAGCAAGCCATTATCGAAGACAAGGGAACGAAGAACAAGCTCGCCGCTTCAACGTACAACACGTTTGTGCACGACACACTCGAACAAGCCAGTATACCCGTGGCAGTCCTGATCAACAAGAACTTTGGCGGCAGCAAGAACAAAGAGCAGAAGCAGCGGCTGAAGCTTACCAGGACATACAGCAGTGTTAGTCTGTCTAGCGCCAGGGACAAGGCGGTCACAGCACCCATCGCGGATCGAAGCCACCACGTCTTCTTCCCCTTCTTTGGTGGCAACGACGACCGGACTGCTCTACGTCTGGTTCTCCAATTAGCCGAGAACCCTCAAGTCACTGTTACCGTCGTGTACTTCGATGTTCCGGAGTCTGTTATCGGCCAAGCGTCGCCCGTCTCATCAACGGTTCTAGGAAAGGCCGGAGAAGTAGTCACAACGACGACTACATCCCGCGAGCAGGATGCAGCCTTCTTCGCTTCGCTCCGTGCCTCACTTCCTGTCGATCTAGCAAGCCGTGTCGTCTTCGAGACTATGGCTTCCACTGCGCCTGTTCAGGATGTCATTGCCCGCGCGAGCATTGAGGTCGGGCAGTCGCCGAGGAACGCTGGTGATCTCATCGTGCTGGGTAGGAACGTAGCAAGGAACAGTGTGTTGGAGAGGGAGAGCACAGCAGACGAGATAAGGAGTAGCTCGAGTGCAGCAGCAACACTGGGTGTGCTTGCTGAGAAGGTCTGGGAGGGCAGACTGGGAGCTAGTGTGTTGGTTGTCAAGGCGGGATTGTGATGGTAGTATAGCTGGTATTCAAGGCGCTTGGAAATGGATATGGAAGGGTACCACTGGATTGGGATATGTTACGACTGAGATACCTCCTGGCTAAATGAAGGTTGCTTCATGCTTGCGTAATCCAACGCTGAAAGTCGGTCCCACCCGTTGCACTGTCCGTGATCAACGACAAGGAGCCATGTCTCATGCCGATTTACGCTCTGTCCTGCATGTCTGCGCTCTTTTGTTGAGTTCATGGCTCGTCCTGGGATCATAGACGTTATGCGGCTCCGCATGCGACGTGTGGCAATCCACGAGTAGACTTGTACGTCCTGACCGGTCTCAACTCACCATTGACGCCTGACCGCGTACGCGTACAGTACGGGCTTCCGCACGACCGTCGGATGCAGGGCGTATGCTCACAGTACACGTGCCCTTACCAATCTCCGTGGTACGTACTCGGTGCTACGTGGGGTGTGTATCTAAACCACGGTCCACGTCACCTTCCCCGGTCGTGCTGCGGCTGTTCTTCAACCGTCGCAACCCAGTGACTCATCATTCATCGACAGTTTGACGTTGATGAGCATGCCAGCGGAAGATCCTCGAGGGAGATCGTGGAGCATTCGTTGCTGTGACGTTTTTCTTACCCATGATAGGCCGCACTAAAGGCAGAGATGTCGTGATGTGGAGGTGAGGATGAAGAAACTTCCGTAGGTTGGATCAACGGACAAGCTCGGAATAGATGAGGAAGAAGCGGTGACAGGTGGCTAGAAAGCCATCGAACGAAAAAGCAGCTGTGGGTCGAGTTGTTATCAGCTTTCCACAGTACATACAGATATTGTGGGTGTCCAGGATGACTAAATGGTGCCTCAGGTTCCCCCGAACCCAGCCGCGTGGACTTGAAGTCCTGCACTACAGTTGCATGCCAGTGTAAATGAGTACGAGATGTTCTGGTAGGCTTCTCTTGCGTGTGCACGAGCCAAGACGAACGCTGTATGACTGCAGAGTGCAACTGCTCAGCCCTGCGCATGAGTAGGATTGCGAAGATGTGGAACAGTTAGTTCTGGAAGATCCTATGCACGTACGGAATCCAATGATGAGGCAGGCAATGCTCTGTCGCACACGTCGTAATCGGGTTATGACTTGCAGTCGATCCCGAAAGATACGCCACCGAGAAGCCCCGTGCCGCGCATGCGCCTTACAGGGGGCTGTAGAAGGCGAACCATGTGACCAGGACACGGGGATTTTGAAAAAAGATGGAAAAGTTCACGATGCTAGTAGAAGTGGTCGAGGCGCTGCTGGCAATTCTCCGCGAATTGGTGCAGAAATTCATGTCCAACGGTCGTGGTCAGTGTTCGGGTGGAGTCGTCGTGTAGACGGACGCGTGGCTAGCGAAGATCAACGTCCCCACCAGTCCACTAGGGCGCGCCGCAAAGGTAACCCCAAGAGGAAGCAACGAGGGACAGGGGAGATTGAAGATGGAGTCGTCGCGTTCGCGTGCAGTTGAGAAAGCTTGCGAGATGAATGCGTACCCATTGTATATGGGAGACGTGTCGCGCCAACGCAGGTCTTGTCACGGGCGGGCCTGAGGAAGCGCTGGAGCCCACTGCGAGCGATAACGTAATGTGGAAAAGGCGCGTCATGGCGACGTGAGGGCAAATTCAGCGAGCAGCTTCATCGCAAGCTGGTGTAGTGCAGTTGAAGCTCGACGAGCAATACAACCAGCAAAGCTTGAGTATCTTCGAGACCGGGCAGGGCCTGCTTGGCGCGAGCCACCAGAGCGTCGGAGCTGGAGAAGCAGTCGACGGGTGGTGATTGCGACGCTGATGCCAAGAGCGGCGATTCTAGAGGGTAAAGTGGTTCACCAAAGATTGCGCAACTGTAGTGCGTCGCTGCCACGCTTAGCGAAGCGTCTGCCCCTGCGTGGAACAAGTGGATGCACGTGAGAAGCAACGAAGGATAGAGATATGTGTTGTAGATACGCGGCATACGCAACGGAAGGCCAGATAGGGCGGAGGATACCCTGGGCAGGCCGGCGGGAGCAATGCTACGCTGATCTGACAGTGGTTGCGTGGTCGCAGGGCCTGCGTGCGGGTGGTGGGTGTTGTGGTTCTAGACATGAGGAAGCCGCGACAGGGCCGCGTCAACACGGCCCAAAGCGGTAAGCGCGAGTCGTCGTCGTCTTGCCCCATCCCTCAATCAATTACCCTCGTCCGCACCTGTCCAACCCACGACTCCACCACCTATCGACGCCCACACCCGTCACCCAGCGCTGTCGAGCCGCCTGCACGAGAGAAAGAGACTGCCAGCTCTCTCCGCGCCCACGAACAGCAGAATTCCCAGAATATCTGCCTGTGGCTGTCTCGTTGCTGCGCCGCCGCATTATCGGGCTGTGCACTGCCAATCCGCAGCCGCTCGACCACGCTATACACCCACGACACCCGTCACCCGCCCACGACCTTCCTGACCCGCCATCACCGCGCACAACGACACTGCGACTGCAGCTCGCACCCGCCCACGATGGAATACAACAACAGCGCCCACCGCGCTCACCAGCCCCAGCACGTCGACACGGACCGGCTGGCGGCCGACATGACGGAGCAGTTTCGTCAGGTCCTCAGCACCAAGCGCATGAACGAACTCACATCACGCTCATCTCAATCGCGCTCCTCATCGCCCGCACCGAGGGACTTCGGCACTCCACAGCCGCCGCCGTCGCAGTCTGCCCCGCCGACGTACGCTTCCATCAGGAACATCCCCCTCGTCCCTGAAGCGCCTCGCGATGCGCGCTCCCTCCGCTTCAAGAACATGCTGCACTCACTCTCCAACATGCCCGTTCGATGGGAGAACCCTGGACTCCTCGACGAGGCTCTTCGCGTCATCCCACTGGAGCAGATCTACAACGAGGCCGAGGAAGAGAGCCAAATATTGCAGGCCGAAGCTGAGAGTATGTCTGCCGGCAAGAAGGCCGCCTGGGGCTACCAAGATTGCGTTGTCCGCGCACTCCTCCGATGGTTCAAGCGATCCTTCTTCTCGTGGGTCAACAACCCGCCGTGCTCGCGATGCTACTCACCAACCGTCGCCGTTGGCATCACTCCACCACTACCCGACGAGCAAGCCCGTGGCGCCAACCAGGTAGAGGCTTACCAATGCTCCCACGAGGCCTGCAAAAACTACGAGCGCTTCCCACGATACAACGACGCATTCGTCCTGCTGCAAACACGCAAAGGCCGATGTGGCGAGTGGGCCAACTGCTTCAGCATGCTCTGCCGCGCTGTCGGCTCAAGAGTACGCTGGGTCTGGAACGCAGAGGACCACGTCTGGACCGAAGTCTACTCTGTGCACCGCAAGCGATGGGTACACGTAGACGCCTGCGAAGAGGCATGGGACAAGCCCCGGTTATACACTGATGGTACGTTGCTTCTTCCACGCCCACACCTTTCATCTGCTAATTATCTTCTCAGGCTGGGGCAAGAAGCTCTCCTACTGCATCGCCTTCTCAGCGGATGGTGCCATGGACGTCACCCGTCGGTACGTCCGCGACGCTAAGCACGCAGCTGAGCGCAACCGCGCACCAGAGGCCGTCCTCCTCCACATCATGGACGAGATCCGAGCAACACGACGCGCCAACATGTCCAAGCAGGACAAGTTCCGCCTGCAGGGTGAAGACATCCGCGAAGCCAAGGAGCTCCGCCAGAGCGTCATCTCATCCATTGCACACGCTGTCAGCAAACTCAAGCCAGAAGACATCATCAACGCTCAAGTCACCCGCCGCCTAGACCCCGATGCCCAGAAGGCATTGGAGGGCCGCATGAGCGGCAACGCCCAATGGATACGAGCGCGCGGCGAGGGTGGACAAGGTCAACAGAACCAGCAAGACCCTCGAAACCAGCACCCGCGCTGAACGCATCCGCCACCCCACCTTCCATTCACCACTTCCGGTATCTTTCCATCGCGCCATGCCTACAACGTAAGCCGAGTCAGCAAGGTGCGCTGCACCTAGTTCTCGAGCATGTAGAGCTCGATAGAAGACGAGATACCCTTCCGACATACCCCCGCAACATTCGTTACGCGGACGACACTCCCGCTTGTATAACATCGAGTCTTTGATTCTTGGTCATTTCGATTCATTTGCGCCGGCGTTCCAGGAGCAGCACGCAAGAGACATGCGATATCTTTAATGTCTGCACCCACCTCGGCAGAGGCTTTTCTATTGTTCCCGCATCACTTTGGCGACCGATTTCACTGCTTCACTGCATTCTTCACTTCATCTTTCCGTGTGCACGCGGGGTTTTGCGGCACTGTTTATACCATTTTGCCATTTTGGATTACGACTTGCGATATCTCCTATGTCTTTTCTGTATGTTTACGAGCATTTTTGGCACTTGTACGCACGACGTATGAGCTTCACGTTTAGGTATTCGTCGCACTGCACAGTTTTGAGAATTGGAGGTGCTGTACACGGGCGCGGTGGGGATCCGTGGCAGAGAGCTGATGTGTACGGTGTACGAGGGGTCGACGCGCGTCCCGCCCAAGATGCAGAGCTTACTGCAGCCTTAGGGCGGTGGATGCAAGATAGAAAATCAGAGCCAGATTGGCCATGTTTCTGCAAACCACATGAACACTTCATCTCAACAGCTTGCGTGATTGTGACATTGTGCGCGACTAGGGCGGAAGCTGATCAAAGTCGGTATGTGAAAGATTTGCGGGGACGCGCGTTAAGAGTACGCAGGCTGGGTCAGGAACATGGCAAGTGATCTCCAGGGTCCACCCTTCGACATTGAAACATGCCTTCCACACACGTCAAACGGAGGAAGAAACCATGATGCAAGAAAGCAAACGTCATGTCTCATGGCAACCATTCTCTCGAACATCTCACTCCAGCGAGAAGGAGTGATGGCACGAATCATGCACGATCAGCATCGTGACAGGCGGGCCGTTCGTTTCTCCAGCTCTTTCCCAAGGAGGTTAGCGGGCGATGCGGTGCAGAGAAAATGTCTAAAAATAACGATGGAATCCAAGTGTGTGATGACCGTCAGGCCCTACGCCAAGTGATTCTCGAAGTTCAGTGACGAGGAGTGTTGAGGCTCTGTCGCTGTGCCTCTGCAAAGTTTTGTCGACTTGGGCCATTTAGGCGTGGACCCAAGGCACTGGTGGTTGGTAATTGTGCGAGGTACTGCCGTCGTTCTTCCGACTGCTGTCTTGTCGGGTAGCGTTTGGCCAAGCTGACGGTAGCGGGGAGGGCTGAAACGACTATATCAGGTTGTGTCCTTAATAATCGAGTGTATGTTTGGGGTGTTGGATAATCAAGAATGCAACTTTAGAATCGCAGCTGTGCATCCCGCAGTGATTGAGGTACATTGCCATCTGTTCAAGCTTCATCTGCTCACAAGACAGAACCATGGCCTCAAGACCGACATAACACCGTACTCAGGCCTGGCAACACGCACTCTCGCCGGCAGTGCTTTGCGAATGCCAACAGCACACGCACTATCCTCCGCAGCAAAGTTGTGTCAGCACTCTTGGCCATCACAACCCACCTCAGTCGCAAGCCCACTGAGGCTGGTGAAGACTAACCCAGGATCAGCCACTGTTGGCCCCGCCGCGCACAGACCCTATGACCCCAAGCTGTGCGCCCGCTCAGCCCCCTTCGGCTGGGCACTTTGCCTTGCGCATTTCAGCTCCGCGTTTGAGGTAGTTTGTACAAAAGCTTGTGGCGGCCCACTGGATTGTCGCACTCAACGTTCTGTCGTTTAACGTCTAGCCTTGTCCACCATAATCACATCCACGGGTGACTCCACCACAACCGCGGATTCACGATCGCTACTGCCAGCTCTTGACTCTGTTTCTTGGGTGACATCAGTCAGCCTTACTCGGTTACCACTAAACACCAAGCCAACAACAACACAACAACCGCAACCGCAAACATGGGCAAAGTCGGGCGCTTCGCGTGTATCCTCACGCCTATGTGCCTTACCCTCGCATCTTTAATATGCTTCATCATCGTCATGCTAGGGCAGACGCCATGGTCTGGCAACAACGCCCCAGCAACAGCCTTGGGGCGCGATCTCTACTTCTTCAAGGCACGTCTTCTCCCAGCCTTGCGAGCCCACACAACTAACATTACAACAGGCGGACACAAGTAAACTAGTCGAGAACCCCGAGAACTTTTTGGACAAGATACCCGACGGCATCACACCCGACGCCGCGGAGAAATTCCTCGACGCCCTCCGAGGCAAGATGGACGCCAAGGAACTCAAGGACTTCTACCAGGTCGGCCTCTTCTCCTACTGCGAGGGCGAGAAGGATGCGCAATCCGGCAAAGAGACTATCACATACTGCTCCGCGCGCAAGTTCCAGTTCCACTTCGATCCCCTCGCTATCTGGGGCATGAACGGCACCAACATCCAAGAGGTGCTCGGCGATAAATACGACAGCGGCATGAACGCGTACAAGAAGGCTGCTGGCTGGATGAACTGGGCTTTTGTCATCACGATTGTGCTCACGGCTGTCGAGTTTGTCATTGGTTTCTTTGCCATCTTCTCGAGATGGGGCAGCCTTGTTACTACTGTCGTGTCTACCGTACGTCTCCCCCCAATCCCAACTCCCCACATAATCTCCATACTAACAACCCCAGGCACAAACCCTCTTCGCCATCGCCGCCGCCGGAACCGCGACAGCCATCTACGGCACCATAACCGGCGTCTTCAAGACGGTCCTCGATCCCTACAACATCAAGGCTTCCATGGGCAGCCAGATGCTCTCCGTTCTCTGGCTCGCGGTCGCCTTCTCCATCGGCTCCGGCTTCTTCTGGCTCATCAGCGTGTGCTGCTGCAGCGGAAAGAGCAGCCACAAGAAGATGGTTGTTGAGAAGACCCCATACACATACGAGAGGGTTGCGTCGCCGGCGTTTGGCCAACAGGGCCATCAGATGCAGCAGTGGCCTAGCAGCCAGAAGCAGACGCCGCCTACGGGTCAGCCTACCGCCTATGAGCCGTTTAGATCGCGCGTCTGAGTGGTGAGAAGCCTTGAATAAGTAGGTTGAGGAATAATTGTAGGAGTGAGGACGCTGGGGCTTTGACGACATGTACGACCATTTTGTGGGAATCTTTCTGGGTTACTTGTATACCCCGTGGCGTTTACTATAGCATTATCGTGATTTGGCCCGATGTGGCTTTGATATATTGAAATGGATAGCATAAATACCATTTACATCAATATGAAGTCAGAAATCTTTGTTATTATATTCCCTTTGTAAGGCGTAGTGGTAAGTCATGACGAAGTAAGTTCGTTTCTCAAACTGTTCTCTCGCTGCCTGCTTTTCCCGTGAACTCTACATATTCCAGTAAAACAATGCACTGAATATGAACACCGTATGTCAGCATAGCTGTATCACCATCCATAGGAACAGAGCATCACTGTGATCAACAACACAACTAAGCAAGCACAGAGAAGCGAAAATGACAAAAACAACATAGCCAATTCATCGCATCAGATTAGGTATCTCTTTATACATCAACCCCTCCTGTAAATCTACCAACTATCCCAACACATACGTCCCTCACTGCTCATGCGTACCCACAAAGCGCGGTGGGAGATCCAAATCCCAACTCGGCCGTTCCACAAGCACCACCTCGGGCGCGTGGAAACTATCGTCACCGCTGATGGGGACGATGCCGAGTATAGGGCGGTACTTGAATGTATGCCACCAAGGCTCGTCCCGCTTACTTTGCTCGACTGCTCCGACTTCTCCTCCGCCGTTAATCAGCTCCTCTCCTGTTTCGCCGTTTGTTTGCTCAGCCCCTGCTTGTGTGTTTGCTCTCCGTAGGATGGTGAGGGGTTGGCTGGTGCTCTCCACATCGTCGTCGTCTTCGGCATCGGCCTTGCGACGAACGGCGTTTATGTCCATCCACTTCTGTCTTCCAGCTTTGTCTGCGTCGTCGCTCTGGAACTTGCGCATCTTGGTGACGGGTGCTTCCTTCTGAGGAACGGCGTCACCGGCACCGCTGTTGTTCTTGAGAGCGTCGCGTTTCCGCTTCTTGCCTGCGTGGTCGGTATCTGAGATTGTGAAGTCTTTGGTCAGGTCGAACATGAACAGCCATTTCTCGCCATACAGCCATATCCGTTGTTGGGATTCTGTCACGTCCCAGATGCAGCCCTTTGCGGGGAGGTCGACTTGTTTGTACTCGTGGGGATAGCTGGAGGGTGGGTTTCGTCTTGACCAGTCTGATAGGCGGCCGGACATTACGTCAAAGAGGTAGAGCTGGTGCTCGGCAGAGACCAACAGAAGTCGGTAGTCCGCGGTAGGGAGCTCGTGCGAGTGAGGATGAGGATTGTGTCTTGTTGGGTGTACCGCGGGGTTGCCATTAGGCTCTGGTCGATTGGAGGCGTCGGAGCTGGGCTGGAAGGAGAGCAAGACAGGCGTTGAATCGAGTCGAGGGAGCAAATGACCAGATGGGTTTCGTATCCAGTGCTGACCCAGGTATGTTATTTGTTCCCGTGATTCTTCCTCGTCATCGGAGTCATCATCGTCGTTGGCAGCAGGTGTAGTGTCGTCGATGTCGATCTCTGGTGCAGTCGTGTCTTCATTCCCTTCCACGACCCATGTATCGACGTAGCCAGCCAAGTCAATGACAGCGAAGACGTTGCCGTCCTTGGAGAAGTCGGCATGTGCAATAGATCGTTCGTAAGCTCCCGAGGGACCACTGAGAGGACTCTGTGTAGACATGTCGCGCTCAAGTCGGTAGAGAGGCTGTACTTTCTCAAGCGCGCGAGGTGCATCTGCCGGATCGTCTGTTCGCACAATTCGGACCAGCTGGATTTCGTCGGTCGCCATGACCGCCGCGAGCCATTTGCCATTGGATGACAACTTGAGAGTCTTTGCGCCAGAGACAGAAGGCATCTCTAGCCTACGTACACGCACGGCTCCTGCGTGCTGCAATAGGTGGAACAGCTTTACCGTGCTGGCTGTTGCCACGGCGAGAAGTCCACCATCTCTGGAGATAGACACGGATATGATGTTCTCCTCACCCTGCAGAGCAAGGCGTGCAACCACCTTGGGCTTCTCCGTACCATCATCTTGAGGCTTGACGCGCCATATCCGTACTTCGGTGCTCCACCAGCTGACTAGTAATCTTGCATCCGGGGCGCTCGTTAACGGGGGCGTAGGAGGCAATGCTGGGAGACCTCGACTAAGCTCCTTACCAAATGTGCGGAGTGGAACGACGATGGGCTGGGTGTCGATACCTGGTATGTATGTTAGTCGTGGGCTGAGCAGAATGAGCGAGCTTTCATACCTCCTGTGACTACCACGCTCAGCTTGTTGCCCTCGTAAGTTGTCATAGCTTTGACGTCGTGCTCGTGGTGCCTCTGGTGTGACACCTTTCGCCATTTTCCGCTCTGTCCTTGAGCCTGACCCTTTTTGCTTGTGTAGAAACAGGTGCGGCGATCCATGCCCGCACTGAAGATGCTGGTTCCGTCGCGGGTCACGGCGAGATCGAGCACGTCCGCCTCGTGTCCGGATATCCTCTGCGTTTGACTGTAGTTCTTGCCGCTGTAGATTCGGATGTCACCAGTAGAGTCTCCCGATACGAAGTCGCCATTTGACAGACATTTGACCTTCCATACTAGGATTTCCTTTGGCCCACCATGGGGGCCACTTCCCAGAGAGATGTTCCGAATCACATTTCCACTCCTTGTGTCGAAGACCCGGATCATGCTGTCGGCGAAACCAGCCAGTACTGTATGCTGGTCCTTGTATGTGATGCTCAGGGCACGCGCCTTCTTATTCGTAGCGCGGGAGACGAAGCGCTCGAAGGTGAGATCGTTGTCGTCGGTAGATAGAAGAACAATCGTGCCGTCAGCGCAGCCTGCAACAAGCTTCTGGCACGAGCCGCTCTGCTCGTTCGAAGCGCCCTTGGCCGCGCTCTTCCTTGGCTGTGCAGCAAAGCACCAGACCTCGCTGTGGTTACCGTCCGAATGGCGCGCCGGAAGGCCTGTAGTGAGATCCCACTCTGTGACGCTGCTCGAGTACCCGATGCTGAAGAGTCGCAGACGACCAGGCACCACCTTGCCATGCGCATTACGCGTATCTGGCTCTTGGGTCCATGCCAGCCCTTCAACGCTCCTGTCTTTGCCGCCATAGAAGACCTTCTCTTGGAGCCAGGAGCCTCTTGCAGGGTTCCATATCTCGATGTTTCCGTTTGCGCGTCCAATCGCCAGTCTCAGAGAAGCGGGATCCTGCTGTCCATGTTCGGCTTCCGGGTGCGAGAATGCGAGCGCGTTGATCGCAGATGGCGGGTAGGGCACGAAGCGGGATCGATGGATATCCATGGTGAATTTCGGGGGCTAGATCAAGCCGTGGGGTGTATGAAGCTGCGCGTACGTCTATGGAAGAGCGCTGGCATTACGATACTACACTCATTGTGACGGAAGAGCTCAGTCGCGAACTTCTCTCGAACTCTTGGCGAGCCGACTTTGACTTTTCGGTGGGTCCAGAGCACGGAGAAACATTCTTCCTTAACGCCGACGACCTCCGCATCAACTCCGCACCTGCCTCACGATGCTTTCAACTCTAACGGCTTCAGTTGCCTCAACGTCTCTCACAGAAAGTGTTTGGTCGCTCACACATATACTGAGAGATGATTGATCACGGTTAGATTCCTACAACCCTGCCGAGTCCGACGCCCGGCGTCCTCGTACCACACGCTCCGATCCGCCCTTGTCCAACGCCAGAACCGAGTCCTCCTGCCTGCAAGAATGCATTTCATACAATCAGGCGGTGGATGAAGACACCGGGGGATATATGGGTCTCGCTACCGTGCGTGCGATGGCGAACCGCAAACCAGGCTGCCTGTACCTCCAGGGACTGCTGTCCGCTCGGAGACGGAGCATAAGACATGTTGCTACGAGCCTTCGCCGCTGATATCACAGAGTGGCCGACTACAACGCAGTGATGAGTGAAGAAAACGCGGGAGATGGAATCATGGTGAACACGATCACTTGTCGTAGCACCATGCTGTGAAGGAGCATTCTATGGATAGTGTCTCCCATCAGTAAGATCTGCCTTAAGGATACCTACACGCCACGCTTCGTACACATGTTTTGAAAACAGACACAGTGCATATGTTGAAGGCATATATTATGTGTTGGATGCAACTGCCATAGGTCGAGCTTTTTCGTTTACGCGGGGTGAAGGACCTACAACAAGCAGATGTCCAACTTTTGACGTGATGTATTTTCAAGTCTATACGGTGCGGTGCAACCTTGCGACAGATCAAATCATTGTAAATTCATCTTCAAGACGCAGCTGTTGCAGGTGGCCTGCTGACAGAACACTGGTCTAATGTTCCGGTGGTCCAAAACCGCCTCAAGTCTTCTGACAAGTCGTATGTTGGAGATTGCTCCGGCAATATTGCGCGAGTCAAAACTAGCTTTGCCGGGCCATGTGCGGACCAAACTCAATGTCTTCATGCTCACGTCACGAAAAACCGTTTGCAGAAGCGTTGGCACGTTAACGCTCATCGGGAAAATGCATCCCTTCGTACGGGCGGAGGCTGCATTGTTGCGCCGCAACGACGTTGACTTTTCTTTTTGGTGGAGTTATTGGCGAAGCTTTGATACATGGCTTGACTTGTTCAGATCCGTTGCGCAATAATAGTGACATAAGGATCTCCAGGGGCTGGCTTGAGATGGCAACTCCGCCTAGACCCAGGTACTGGGCTGAGTCAAGACGACCTTCAGGTCTAGTCTTTCCCAGGGTTTCAAGGTCCATGACAATGTGGAAGGCGGCGCGCACGCGGTACGCGTTAAACGTGTGACGCGTGAACGCCCAAGGGGCTTTGCAAGACCTAAGACGCGCTCAGAAGCAAATATCGGGATGATCTCGCGATGAAGCAGAAGTCGAACCTTGGAAATTTCAAGGCGAGAGCTTGGACCGTCCGGCGGGGTATGTCGTTATTGCGGCGGGCCTCATCGTCCGTGGAACGCAAGTCAGTGACGCCGGGCAAAAAGACTGGTTGCAACCGCTGGATCCATTACTGCTCACGGTGCTTGATGCAGAAGAGCGGATGTTGAGTATTGAAACATGCAGTGTGGTCCCGCAGCCACATCCAGAGACGTTGAAAAGTTTGCTCGTCGCCGTCGTGCAAGCATGCACAGATCTTTTGACAAGTGCATGCGGTGTCCGGGTAACGCCTTTAAGCGATGAAGCTCCAGATGAGCATGCCTCCATGACGAGTTGCACGCAGCACCGGGTTACAGTTCTGCGGGCCTCGGCGCAGCGTTGCTGCGGAAAGCGCTTGACATTTTGTCATACCGACAATCTTTCTCCTCACCAGGTCCGCTTCTTGAAAGAAAAGTCGGAGCAAATTTGCTGACAATGAGCTGGATGTGAGGATCGGCCCACTTGAAGGCTGTCCAGCGCCGTGAGAGCGTCCGACCGAGGCAGGTGTGCACGGAGTAGGATCAGAAAATAGCTTGGGTTTGTCGCGTGCGCACAGCTCAGGTACTTTAAGACGCGTTTCTTCGCGACTGTGACATAATGCCTGGACCCGGACGTGCTGAGGTGCATTGGTGGCTGGCGATGGTACAGTTGCGGATGTCGGCTGGCCACTAGCTGCAGCAGCGACGTGAAGCACTATGTTAGAGCAGGCTCCAATGCGGAGTTGCCGGGTTAGGATCTTCCTTTTTTACTCAGATGATGAACGCGAAAGATCACGCTAAGATCCGTCGTCGCGAGATGATGGGCCCAGCCGCCTGTCAATAGCCGAAGCCGAATCACAGCACGCGTGCGAAGGGAGTTGCGAAACGGCCGTGGATTGTGATGCTGCAGTTGGACGGCGAGGCTAGATGTGTTTGGCAGGTGAACCATCAGCAGCATCATGATGTCGATAGACCTCGCCGTTCTCGCGATCCTCACGTCAGTTGTGGAGTTCGGCCGTATATGCTTGCACGACGTGGAGACGGCTGTTACTCTGTGATGCGGCCGCGCAGAGCTGAGGCTCGCTAAGTCTGAGGCGCACCTTCCTTACTCAAGATCGTACATGCATGAACGCGTCTGCGCACATGTTTGCGTCAACGCGCTTTTGCAACATCGAAGCGCTGCAAGAAGTGACTCGTTTGCATGCGGCACGACCGCACCTCGTAATGAGGACCGCACCCCGTAATAGGAGGACGAATCCTATAAGCAAACCCCGCCATAATCCCGCTGGTCAGCAAGGGAAGGTCAAGTCCGGGCTATGGCTGATTTCTAGAAACTATGCGGTGGAGGCTTGCTAAACCCACGGACCTGCGCACAGCGAGTTAGGAGAATTGGCAATCTCAGCAGCTAACTTAGGCTCCGACACGCGTTGCTAGCTGATGTTACTAAACACGTGGATCATCGGGCAGAGCACTAGCAACTACTATCGTCGAAACACCAAGGGCATTACGAAACGATGAGTCCAACGGTCAGGCTGGCGGCTTCGGTATGGGGTCTGTGTCGCACAGGATATGTCGTGCCAGGGTCCCCTATCGCGTAATCTGCCATGCAGAATATGGTGAGCAGAGTGCGGTGTCGGCCAAGGCTCACGAGTCTCCAGAATTTACTCCTGAGTTTCTGAGATTTGCCATGTGGAGCCGTGATGCGCATGTCGAGGACGCGACTGAGGCGACCTTGGGCGGTGATGGCGGTGCGACGCGTGACAAGGATGCAGCGTGCCGACAGGCGTCGTCTGCAGCGTTGATGCGCTCCAACAAAGGAGGAGCCCTCAGCGTGTCCTAATGGGCTAATTATGACATGACCTCAGCTTCCTATAGCATGCCAGGGGAACCACGACTCTGGCGCAGGCATGTTTGGGATGCAAGCAGCGAGAGCGGCGGCCGCAACGCCCTATGCAGGTCTTGGCCGTGTGCAAAGCAAGTTGTTTCCTGTGCGCAGGCGAGGGCGACATTGGACAGCGATCGTAGGCTATCCTGCAACCTTGTATAGCTGCATGAGTGGCCTCACCGGCGCCCTGGCAGGGCTCTAATTCGAGCGGGGCCAGGCGAAGATTACAGCCACGGCGCTGCTCAGAGCGTCGGTGCCGCGTTGAGAAAAGCAAGTGCAGCAGCGAGTATTGGTGCGAGCAGACTCAAGTCCGTCCTACGCTGCAGTCAGGCGCGGTGTGCAGCACGGCGGGCACAGCAGCGGGTGCGCGCGACCGCGACGGGAGCAGCACCGCACCGGGGCTGGGCGTGGTGGTGATGGTTGCGGAAGACACGGGACTAGGACGCGTTCAACGAGCGTGTTCCTGGCCGAAGCTTCCCAGACGCAAAAACGCCATGGTTGATCCACAATGGGGCACGACGGCGGCGGAATACGCATCGGCTGGCTGGGCGCTGTGGGCGTATCAAGTTCCCTGTTCCCATGCTGTGCGAGTTGCCGTGTGTCAGATGCGGTTAGCGGCAACCTCCTAGGGCTTTGCTCGCCCAGTCGTTTTCTCCAAGCTACGTCCGTCTGTATCGTGCTCTCCTCTCACCCTCTCTCCCTCTCCTCATATCTCTCTTTCACCACGGTCGAGCACGGAGAAACTTTGGATCTGATGTGGTGCTGAGTGTTTCGGCTCCTATCTTTCCATAAAACTCCCCATCTCCTGCTCTCGGTCCCCTAAACCCGACCGCCGTCTCTCCTCGAATAGGATCGTGAAGAGTCCAGACTCCCTGTACCTTCCGCCCTCATTCCTCCGCCGACCTCCTCCCTCGTCTCTCGCTGGACGTAGAGATAGCTGAGAACACGAACTCGCTGTACTCTAGTCCTTCGCTCTCTACACAGCTATCCACCCGATACCTGTACCATCAGCCTCGTGTGTGACGATTGAGCCATCATCTCGGTAGGTCACTTATCTCTTGTTCCTTTGATTCCGGGGTTTTCCACCCATGCTGGCTGTGCTCACCCGAAGATTTCCCGGCCCTATGGACTCGACAAAGGAGGCCGAACCATCGAAGAACATTGGGATGAGATTAGAAACATTGAGGCAGGGACTGGAGAGGAAGACCAGGACGACATGCGGGGACGGCATTGATTTGGGGGTCGGGCGTTTGAGTGGGTGAAGAAGGGTGTCGGACAAAGGGCGTTCAGCCACAAACCCAACCATCGGAACACTGCCTCAGCAACCTCGTAAAGAACCCGTCTTGTCGGAACAGCCACGCTTCACCCCAGTATTGCGCAATCTCGGATCCCGATGTCCTGTGACGTCTGCTCTTTCACTCATGTGGATGAACAATGGATGTGGATATGGAATGCGGCAGTGGCCGATATAACAGTCGTATGCTCCTTGGCAGCTGGGCTTCGTTATCTTGACAGCTCAGACGTCGCTATACACCATCCTGCCAGATCTCCACAGTTCTTCACCGTCGTTCACCGCCTCGTCCCGTCCTCGCTATGGCCTCAATTCGACTAGCGACCAGGACCCTTACCTAAATGGGTCTGACCCACTACTCAGGGCATAACTTTTCGTTCTGATCAATCGCTAACATGTCTTTCTTATAGGTTGTCTACTACTAGCTGTACCTACTTCCTCAGCGCCGAAAAGGACTTGCACTGTTCGTACTCACCATCGTTATCGCCATCTCTCGACCCAAGGCTCACACATCAGCCTGGATCTCAGTCGCCAGTACCCTCGACGATATACCTCTAGCCCGGCGGACTCGTTAGCTCGTGCTCTGCCCTACGACATCCCTTTTTACTAAGGGATATACGAGACCGCGTCAATCAGTCTTCTGGATGAAATCTGCGCCTTCTTCGACCTTTTCCGCTCGTGTTTTTGTACACTCCATTCGCTCACTACACTAATTGTATTAATTCTGCAAAGGTATGGATATCCATTGGGTTCTGGACGATGAACTTCCGCTAACGAAATGTGTCCAGCTCTGTACCAACACATTCGACCCTCAGCACTAGAGGATCACCGACTACAGACCTTCTTTTACATACCAGCTAATCACACTCTTTGTACCGTTGCCTTTCAGGCTGCCACTCTCTAATCCGGCTCATCATTCGAAGCTGTCCACTCACTAAACCCCTTACACCCGACCACGTCTATCCCGGAGACCTGACGATACTACCCGATACATACCGAACACATCAACATGGCGTACCACCAACAACAACAATCCCGCTACGGCCAGTGCGACTCCTACTTTGTAGAGTCACACGACGATGGCATCTATGCCATGCGAGCTGAGGCAAGAGAACGCCACCGAGCTGTATCCAAGATGCAACAACGAGCCATTGCCGAAGAGCTATCAAGGATGACCGCTGATGAATACCAAGAAGACATCATGCAACACATGATCCATATGGAAGGACAAACCCTACCAGACGTCAACTCCATTGACATCCAGACCGAGATCCAGTGGTTCATGCGCCCCTACCTCCTCGACTTCTTGGTTGAAGCCCACGCTGCCTTCCAGCTGTTGCCCGAGACCCTCTTCCTGGCGGTCAACCTCCTCGACCGCTACTGCTCCCGCCGCGTTGTCTACAAGCGTCACTACCAGCTCGTTGGCTGCGCAGCCCTCCTCATTGCCGCCAAGTACGGTGACAAGAAGGACCGCGTACCCACCGTACGGGAGTTGAAGTCGATGTGCTGCTCTCTCTACGATGACGAGATGTTCACTCAGATGGAATGGCACGTTCTGCAAACCCTGAACTGGATGATCGGCCACACCACAGTCGACGCATTCCTCCAGATCGCTCTCTCAGAAGCCCCATACGATGCCGAAGTTGAGCACATGGCTCTCTACATCGCCGAGATTGCCCTCTTCCACAAGGAGTTCGTCTCCACCCGGCCATCCGTCCTCGCCCGATCCGCCCTTGCCCTTGCGAGATGCGTCCTGTCCCGACCCCAAGCACGCAACACCGACTGGTCTGGTGCTTACGACCCTCAAACAGTCATCGGTCTGTCCAACCACCTGTATCAGCCATCCCCGGTACTTTCCCGCAAGTATGCATCCATGCATCTGTCCACTGTGTCCGCCACCGTCGAGGAATTCCTGCAAAGACAAGCGCAGATCGCGCGCCGCCAGGCTGCCCCTCCTACACCACCCCCGACCGTCACCATCGAGGAGCCCAAGCCCGTGCCCAATGTCAACGCTTACCCGCAGACGCCCAACAAGAACCCATACAGCTCTGTCATGCAGAACGGATGCCCCACCCCACCGATTACGCCAGAGGGTGAGCACTTCACGTATGGTCATGTTGTCAAGTCACAGCCTCAATCCATGTATCCCACGACACCCACTCCGGAGCATCAGTCCAACATGCAACATCAGGGTCAATACTTCCACAACCAATACCTCCATGTTTAAAAGATCACCGCGCCAGGCAGTGGCCATTCTTACCGCTGTCGAAAAACTCAACTGCCATGGACCGTCATGATCACATCCATCGCGCTCCGTTGTACCAAAAATACTCGTATGAGCGTCATAGCAGGTCATTTCTTCCAGCATTTACAAGCGTCTTGTTACTGTTATATTGCGATATCAAAGACGTCACTTTTCTGTTTCGAGCATTTCTTTTGTTAGGTCCGACCAAAATTTACCGGTCGTCTGCTGCCATGCGCACGGCATTAGCCTGCGGTGGCTAGTGGAGCCCAGATCAGGTCGAGCACCCTTTCTTCTTGGATATAAAGTCCATCTAATACGGGTTGTTTGATCTGTTCTGCAGCATGTGGGGAGGATAAGCGGCTACAGGCTGAAATTGGAAATACACAAGCCAGCACAACCAGGCTCACTCGCAACTGTTGTTTGCTTACGCGAGCCGAGATACCCTTCCTTTCTCAATCCAAAACTTTTTTCGGACACCTCATTTGTTCACGGTTGTGTACTTTCCTTTTGCATATGCGGTGGAACGGTGAAAAAGTGTTGAAGTGATGTGGGCGTGTTGTTGCAAGCTCATCAGAATGTTACTGGACAGCCGGGCTGGAAGAGCTACGAAGAGCATCAATAGTATAGAAACGGTCGCCCAAAATTGAGGAATTGGTCTTCCATGCTCGCTTTCGCCCTGGTATCCCGTTGTTTGTGTGTTTCATCATGCGATATTCTTGGTGATATATGCTGGGCGAGTGGATGCTACACAGTCCACGCCGCAGGGTACACGCATGTTTCACAGCAAGCAATGCCATCTCAATTGCTTAAGATTGCCTTGCTCTGCTCATCGAAGCACGCAGACCCTCCTTTACTCAACTGCAAACGCTGGCGAGTATGCCTCTAGTAAGTATTACACGGCGCCTGTAGGGGCCTATCAGCGCTTCCACCTACTAACCGCCCCAGATCTCTATTACTACCGCAAACTCGTCTAAAGCAGGCTACAAACTGCTCTCACCCTATACCGACGATGATACTACATTCGCACACAACACGCTCTGTCCGCGTTATGCCGAGTCTGACCCCACGTCTGCGCCGCCGTCCCCTGCGTCCGTCGAGTCCTTCGAAATATTGGACAGCATACCTTGGCGGAGAGGCTACATATCCCTGGACAACCATGGAAGGCAAAGCGGCAATACACTACGGAGTCGATGGATGAGGAACAAAGTTCGCGCTATGGTGCTACTTTTCCTCCTCACTTTGCTTGTAGCTGGTTGCGCGCTAGGTGGATACATGACAATTAAGCATGGGAAAAGCAAATCCAGCACAGACGCTGCATGATCATGCATACAGAAAGACGGCACATGGGAAAATCCTCCCTCAGACTCGAAAACAGGAAATCGACGATTATCTCCCAGCCTCGCCATTTCGGCATGCGCATTGTCAGGAAATCAGTGGATGTGGCGTTGTCCGGAGTACCCGACAGCAAATCCCGTGCAAGGAAGGCCCCTTGACACAGCCAGCCACGTCTCCGCAGGAAGAGGCAAATAACAGTCTTTGGGCGACAAAGGAAGGTGCGCTGTATGTCAGACGGGTCGTTGAACGACAAGGGATCAACGCGGTACGCTTAGTGTTGAGGCGGATCAGCTCACCGGGACGCGATTTGGTGTGTTGCAGATTGCGATGCGTTGGCGGCATGTAGTGGCTGGGGTAGCCCTACAGGTTCACGGGATAAAGTCCGGCAATGCATTTAGAAACAGAGTCACGCGGCTACGAGCATACAGAGCATAGGTTTGAGGAATGTGAAGAATATGAGTTCGGTCTAAGATGCGATGGGATGCGTTTGGTGATGTCGTGTTGTGGACGGCCTTCTGAGGTTCACTATCGCTGCTCACGTGAAGCCTATCTTATCGCAACATCGCGATACCGCACGTTAGAAGCCACACCAATAGCACACCATAATCTCACACTTGGCCAAATGTTCCGCGATGATACACAATGACTTTGACTGAGCCTTAAGACGATGTCTAACTTTGACAGCAGCGCGCCACTACTTACAAGCGTCGCGACACCGTCCTCACCGTCATCGCGCAGTCCGTCTCCAATGCCTTCTCCCTCTCGCAAGCGTGCAATATGGCCCTTGGTACTTCTTCTCCTCTTGGTCCAGCTATCCTCTGTTCTATACACGTTACCACTCAATCGAGTGATAGAGTTGCGATTATGTCAAGAACATTATCAAAAGTATGATGTATTTGTCATTCAACCTGATGGCTCGATACCGGAGCTGTTATGTAAAATCAAGGATGTTCAGAGGAAGCTGGCGTGGCTGCAAGGTAGTATGGAGACGATGAGCGTTGTATTTGGTATGTGGTGGATGAGTTTGGTATCGAGAGAGAAGCCGTTTGTGCTAATACTGTGTACATCAGACTTCGTTGTGACTATACCGTTCAGCTATGTCGCGGAGAAGTGGGGTGTCAGGACTGTATTGTGGTGCAATATTGTCCCACGGATTGTGATGAGTGTATGGGCTATTGTTGTTGGTATGTATCGTCCCAATATGAACTATCTTCATCGCGATGCTTCCTCACAGTAAATTGGTTTGTAATACCACTATGTTCACTCACTAAACTAGACCAGGACACCTTCCACATCTTCTACCAACCGAATCTATCCTTGCAGGCCCGATCTTCAATATTCTAGGAGGCGAGTGTGTCTTTCAGTCAACAATTTTCACGCTTACTTCGGCTTTGACAAGCGAGTATGTTCAGCGGTGAGTAAACATCCGTCCGTATAGAAGAACACGCTAAGTATCCACAGCGCATCCTACTTCTCTTACATCAGCTCGACATCATACATCGTTTCCTTCATGGGCCCAACCCTAGCGGCATTCACCATGAGCAAGAACCTCTGGCTGCCCTTCTGGCTCAACATCGCCCTCCTGCTCTGCGCAATAACAACAATCATCTTACTTCCCAACACCACGAGCCCTCGACACACTACCAGAAACCCTACGTCCGGACCCGTGGAGGAAATAGAGGAAGCCGGGCCCTTACTCGGCAACACAGATACCAGCCCAACCCGCTACAGCACCGCTTTCAACCCTCCACCCACCACCTACCAAACCATCATTCAGACCCTCTATCGACTACGCGATCTAGTGCTCGGGAGATATAATTTCCAAGTCCTCTTGGTGACTTTCTTCTTCACCGCACTAGCAAGTTCCGATACAAAGCTGCTCGTTCAATACATTTCCAAACGCTACAATTGGACCTTCGCACAAGCGGGATACCTCCTCTCAGCCAAAGCACTCGTGAACCTCACGTTGCTGGTCGTAGTCGTTCCCCGACTTATCCGCACGTCGATTTCAGCAAAAGCTGTGAGAGGCGATGATGTTAGGTTGAACGTGATGGGCGCGAGGGTAAGTATTGCAGTGTCGGTGCTGGGTGTGCTTTTTGTAGCTGTGGCGAGTCGGTTCTGGATGTTGCTTACTGGTACGTTATCTATTGCGTTCCCGTGATTCGTGGATTATGTGAGCTGATGTGTCCAGGACTTATAATATACGCCCTGGGTTCTGCTCTGCCTGTGTTCACCATGTCGCTGGTCAAGTCGTCGCTTGTCGCACTGGAACATTCTGATGCGCAGGATTTTAGTATTGTTATGCTGACCAAGACACTGGGGTCTTTGGTTGGCGCGCCGTTGATGACTGTGCTGTGGGTTAGGGCTATTGAATGGGGAGGTGCGGGATTGGGTTTTCCGTATGTGGTATCTTGTGTGAGTGAACATCCATCTTTGTTAGGAGGTATACTGACTGCGTCTAGGGGCTGTACATTTGTGCATTCACTTTCTTCACCCGATTGCGTACTTAGTTGTTCAAAGACTACCGTGGATTGTAAAATGTACATTGGAAGAAAACATATCTACAAACATGGTCGTCTAAGTGGTTGTATACTTCGCCCCGTTGTCCATCCAACTACTCATCTCATACCGACCGGACATGCCCTCGCTCTCTCCACTACCCCTCCCCGGATCCATAACCCTGTCCCTCAGAGAATCTCTCACGGACTCATGACTCACAAGCCTGCCTTCACTCCCGGCTGAATCCCTCTCCCTCCTCGCCATAACTCTCGCCCCGGCGCCATCCATATCATTGCCAAAATCCCTCTCCATGACCATCTCCTCTTTGTCAAGCATCGCTGTTACACCCCTTCCGTTCCCATGGACAATGATACGGGTCTTGTTCAGAGAGTGTTTGACTGGCTGTTTTGCGTTGAAGATGTCGCTGATTTCCTCGAGGGTACGGCGACGTGTTTCGACGAAGAAGAAGTAGATAACGATGAATTCGAATATGTCCCAGAAGATGAATAGAAAGTAGTACTGCGAGGAAAAGTTAGCAGGGTTTATGTGCTGACGAGATGATCACACATACCTTCCATCCTGCGCCTGAAAACGCAATTCCAGTAACAAAGGTATTGTAGAAGTTTGCAATGTTCACCCAGAAGTTGTAAAACGCCATCCCTTTGGCTCTAGATTCATATCGTAGACACTCGACCGGATACAGCTGTTGCAACGGCGTGTAACCCGTCGAATAGACGAACCCGAAGATGAAGAAGAACGCGATCACTGCTCTTGCCTGTCCAATCCTCTCGATTTCCGGTGTGTGATTTGCATCGTAGATTGGCTTTCCATCTGGTCCCCTTTTGAGATTGGTGGCAACTAGGGCGCAGACAATGGTGAGGATGCCAACTAGTAGGCCGGTGGATACGAGGAGTTGGGGTCGGCGGCCCCAAGAGTCAGTGTAGACGGCTCCAAACACTGCGCCGGCAAATGAAACAACGTTCTGCATGCCATTGTAGAGCAGGCGTGTGCGATTGTTGGCTATGCCAGCGCCCTGAAGTATAGTTGGGTAGTACTGCAGAGGTAGAGGTACGAAGTCAGTCTGTGTCTCACATGCACTTCGTACAGTCAGAACTTACGTAGGATACAGGGCCATTCCCTGACCACTGTCCAAAAAAGGCCATGCATACTACTAACATAGTTCTGTATCGAGCTTCTCGTGAGTTGAAGAGTTCTCGGTAATCCCACCATCTCTTATCTGATCCAGTAACGCTGATATCTTCGACCATCTCTTTATACTCCAGCTTGACGATAGGCGAATCGCGGTTACCCTCGCCATGAAAGCGTGCCATGGTATCCAGGGCTTCCTCATGTCGGTCGTTTGCGATGAGCCATCTGGGCGTTTCCGGCAGGAACGGCGAGCTCACAAACACAATACCAGCGAATATCATCTGAAGCCATATTGGAAAACGCCAGGACTGCGATCCGTCGATTTTGCTAGTCCCATACGGAACAAACGTACCTGGGATACCGCCAACGTACCAGAACGTATTGAAGATTCCCGTGCAAATGCCGCGGTAGGATGGGTGTGCCATCTCAGACACATAAGCGGGACCAGCGGTCGAAGTGATAGCAACGCCAAAACCGAGGACGAAGCGACCGCCCATGAAACCTCCTAGGTTGTGGCATGTTGCTTGGATGCAGGCGCCGATTATGATGATCGAGGTACCGATACACATCCCCCATTTTCTTCCCCTAAAGTCTGTTGCAGGTCCAGCAACGAAGGATCCGACTAGATTCCCGATGGTGTAAATGGCATAGACGATTCCGGTAGTAGGAGTTCCTTCGGTCTCGTTGAAGTTAAAATAGGAACGGTACTGAGGGTAACTGTTGATAGCCCCCATGAGCGATCCATCGTATCCATTGATACAAGAGTTGAGTGTGGCGATCAAGAGGCAGAGATACAGCTGTTACACCGTTAACACCATCCTTGTAGAACGCTTCCGCTATCCATACCTTGAACATAGCCTTCGTCCATGGCCGAACGTTAGCCTTGGCCGTTGCATCGGCAAAAGCAACATTCTGCACCTGGCGAATCTGCGTCGAGCTGCTACGCTCCGTATGCGAAGTGTGTACATCCCTCTTGTGGCGGTAATCCATGTCGACAAAGTCCCGCCACGGGAAAAACAATACTATTGTCGAAATGAATTGAACAATGAAGTCTTCCTCAAGCCCAAGGTAACGAACAGCATGGCCCACGCATCAGCATTCGACAGCCAGAAACACCGCGGAGCTGCGAGCGCGGACGCAAGGCACACTAATATATTCCGTCCCCATCCACGCGACCAAGAAATCCAGATTCGCCTCGCCAGTAAGAACAGCGTGGGCTATACATCCCCGTCCTTAAAGCGCAGCCTCGCATGCATGTGGCACAGTGCAGGGGGGTCCCGCATGATGACCGGGTATTTGCAGACCTGCGGATTCGCTTAAGTCTGGGGAGACAGCAATGATTGGAGTCTGGCTTGAAGGGTAAGATGAGATGGCTTGAGGTTGTGGGTGGCCATTTCACATGCTGCTCAAGGACATGTAGCTTATGCGACAGCTTTCTGACTGTGTATCAGCTGGGTGTTGGTGGAGGCGCATCCCGCATGTTGGTGGAAAAGCCCTTGTACCGAATGGAAGTATTCCGTTTCAGAGAGTGAGACCTCGCGGAAGCGATGGAAGAATCGAGGAAGCCACCGAGGCCGCCCATTCGTACCATGCCGCAATCCCTTCGCTTCGCGATTGCCTGGCGTTCTGACACAGGGCAGATGCAGGCGTCATCGCACGCCCTTGTGAGACCTGGGCTGAGCTGCAGTATCGGCGGCGAGAGCGACGTTTGGCAGTCTGCGGTACATGTTTGATGCTATTGTTCAAGCATTGTTGCTAATGTTGATGTTTGCGAAAGATGAAGTCTAGAAGACAGGCCAGCCGCCTTCCACCCGCAAACCGAGCTAGCGGACCGAACAATCCGGGGAACGCAGGGGAGGTGCGACCCGCTCCTCAAAACACTTGAGCCGCCTTCAGCTCTTCTTCGCGACAATTGCACCGAGAAATTGTTCACTCTCACGAGGACGGCATTTGCAGCTAGCAGTGGTCAATTAGCAAGCTACCTTTCATCTGCAGCCTTGTCACTGAATGCCAGCCCCGCTCGCCACTACTCGGCCTCTTAATATACACATATTGAGCTCCACCTCCACTACCGACATAGCATGCCAGCGGTTCCTGAAAGACCAGGGATCTTCGTGTCGTGTGATCCGCCATACCTTCTTCAGGGTTCTGGAAGCCAATACATGTCTCTGTCATTACATCACCACTTGCGCACGCTGGAGTCATTAATATCAAAGATAAACCCTCTGGCTATTATACATGCATCCTAGTCTAAAAGGCGACGGGGAAAGGTGGCTCTACAAGCCTCCCTATAACCTATGATGAATGCAAAAGCTACCTCCTCCACTGCGACGTCCAACTGCCAATAGGCTGATAGTACAGAAACACACTGCTCACGCTCAAGTCCGACGACGTCGTTTACTCGTCGTCGTCCGGGTTCGTGTCGGACTCGTAGATAAACTCACCCGGAGCGGAAGCCTCGGCCTCGCCCTCATCCACCATGTTATCACTGACCGGCGCTGCAGCAGTTGTTACTGATATGCCTTCTGGTCCTTGATCTCCTGAAGAGCCCGACGCGCCAGGGGCAGGGGCAGGCACGGCCTTCTTTACCTTGAGCTCTAGGAGCGTCTTTGGTTCTGAAGGCTTGGTGTCTGTGAGAAGGATGACACCGAGTGTTGGCTGGTGATGGGTTAGCTTAAGGATCTTCGACGTGGTGAGCAAATGACTAACCTTCTTCACTGGTACATATCGTTCGCTTGGGAAGCTGATGTACTTTACTTGGGGCGGCAGTACACGCGACATGTTCTCCAGCTCGTAGCCAACCTTCTCCTTCTCAACCTTCTTCTTTGAAGCCTCCACATTTTGGGCACCGTCAGCCTTCTCGCCATCTTCCTTCTTAGGGTCCTCGTCTACGTCCATCTTATCGTCGTCCGCAGGCTTGGGTGTGGTAGGAGTGTGGTCCACATCCATGCTTTCCCTCCGCTTTTGGCGCTCCTTTACCATCCGTCGTCGCTTATCTTGAGCGGTGGTGGATAGGACTGCGGTCTTGATCTTCTCGGGCGCCTCTTCTGCCTTGACCTCTGCGTCTGGCGGGTAATCGAACATGCTTGGCCTAGTGTTGCTGTGGAACTTGAACGACGGGATTTCCAACTCCTGGTCTAGACCAATGACGGCGGTAGACGTGAAGCTCAACGAGAGGAAGTGAGTCAGAGGGAACCAGTACCAGTACTGGGTGAAGACGGCCATACCGACAATGGCCGCCATGTTCAGGTTGCCGGTCGGCGTCTGCAGACCGATTGTGCAATTCCTACCTCCGGCATCAATGATACCCAGGGCAAGAGCAGCACCGAACTTGGCCATAGCATCCTCGTGGCGGTCGCTCACCACCTTCGCGAGCTGCTTACGGATGGATGCTACCTTGGGGTTCATTGCCTCGTTTTGCTGTACCATGATCATGGACAGCGCAATCAAAGCACCTTGTCGGACGAAGTCGGTGGAGTCCTTCATCATTGGCTCCAACAGATCTACGGCCTCTGGGAGACCAGTTCCCGCGCAAGCAATACCCAGAGCCATGGTGGCTCCGTATCGCACGTGCGGGTTGTATGACTCGGCGAGAAGCTCAACCATGCGGGGAACACTGCCTGGCTTCCTGAAGAGGATGAAACCCAAGCTCATGACTGCTACTCTTCGTACATCATCGCTGACGTCACTGACGGCAACGTGGAGTAACCTTCTGACGGCCTTGTTGCTGCCTGTGCCACAGTACGCAAGAGCGATAGTCATGATACCTCCGTATCGCAGGGTTGGGTCTGGGTCGTCGAGGAGCCCATTGATGAGCTCGTCGGCAGCCTCTTGTCGGCCGTACATGATGAGTGCCATGCCCATGGCTAGACCGCGAACAATCTTCTCGTGCTGTGTGTCGTGCGCGTACTGGATCATGTCTTCGAGTGCCTTGATGTTGCCAGTGCCGAGCATGACAAGACCCATGGAGAGACCGACGGCCTCACCGTTGATGGCAGAGTCTGTGTACAGAACGTTCTTGAAGGCCTCGAAGATCTCCTCGGAGCCAGTGGCCATGCCAGCAACGCCAAGACCGAGCGCACCACCATGCTGAATGACCTCTTCAGATGCGTTCTGGAACTGCTTCAGGAGCAGATCAAGAACGTTGGATCCGTGGTTCGCGTAGATCAGACCAAGTGCGTATAGTGATCCACCCTGCTCGTAATGAGAGCCCGATGAGACACTGTCCTTGGGCAGGTAAGGCTCAAGAAGCTTCTGCCCTTGTGTGATGTTGCCGCGGTGGATGACACCCAGAGCAGCGGTCGCGGAGAACTTGGACCAGTTGACTGCCTTTCCCAGCCATTCCAGGTTCTCGCGGAAGAATGTGTCATTGGTAGTGCCAGCATTCATGAAGGCGTTGGCGAAGGTAACACTGGAGTGGAAGATGGAGTTCCTAGCCTCTAAGCTGTCGCGGACCTTGTTGAGCACAGCCTTGTCTGTGCGGTTGTTTCTGTACAGGAACTCGAGGTTCAGCTCGATGCTCTTGGTTCCGCGGAGAATGTAGCGGACATTGTCATACACCTTGATCTGATCTTCACTCGCCTGGTCACCCTTTGAGTTGCTAGTATCCACATCTGCGAGCAGAGAGTCCGACTCGCCTGCATCCGAGGGCTTCTGCGCGTCTTCCTTCTCAGCTTCCGGCAGCTCTTCCATGATCTTTGTGAGGAACTCTTGTGTGCCATTCTCGTAGAGGTCGAAGGAGATCTGGTATGCAACTGCGCGAGACTTGTCGTCTCCTCGCTCAATCAGCTGCCGGATGAGCTTCGAAGCCAGCGAGTGCTGGTTGAGGTATACGACACACTTGGCGATGGAGAAGTAATCGGGGTTCGGGATCTGGTCGTCATTGAGGAGATCCAGAATCAGGCGGAGGATCTCGTTCCTCAGTCCTCGCTCTTGTACCACGTTCATGCAGATGTCGAGAACGTATTCCATCAAGTCCTCGCTCTGTGCGGAGGGCTGCGCAGGCTTCTTGCCCTGCTTCTTTCCGTCCTGGCTTGCGCGGACAATCGACTCGCGCAGAACATCGAGATTCCGCGCCTCGATGGCGATTCCAACGACCTGCTTGTAGTTGCCGCTCTCGTAGCAGCTCTCGAATATCCGCCGTACAGTGCTGTGGAGGTTCTTCTGCACGTTTCGCTGCAATACCATCGGGGTGGGGTGGGCCCCTGGTACACCGGCATTGCCTCCTCCGGGGAGTGTAGGGTCGAATGTCGACGAGTCTTCCCTGGAGAGAAGCGACTTGGAGGGTAACGCGGACTGGGAGAAGGGCGTTATCGGCGAAGCAAGACTGGCTGCAGTGCTGGCACCTCCTGCCGCGTTTCCGGAGAAGGATGTGCTCAGTTGAGGAGGGGCCTGGCTCGCCTTGCTGACCGGTGTCGGGGGGTTGTGCATGACGGACAGCGCGATGTACGTGTCTAAGCATTTGGCTGGAAAAAGCAAGTTAGCAAACTGTGCTCGAAGTCTGATGAACCCGCTGTTTCAGCTCGTGATGAAGGTAAACATGAGCTGAAAGTGAAACTCGGTTGTCCGCGGTGTCTTACCCAGTATTGTCTCCTCGAACTCGGCTGCCTTGTGGATGTCGAAGAGCTTGCCTGCGCCCAAGGCGAAGACCATGCTCTCATTGTACTCTTGCAGCTGGTAGTACACCTTGGCGGCTACCAGAGCGGCCAGCTCTCGCTCGGGGAACGAGTCGTCTTCGTAGAGCGCCTCACTATGACGCACCCATGTTAGCAGCTGTTTTGATGGCGATATGGCGATGAGCGCGCGTGATAGCTCAGCTGAGTTCCTTACATTTGACTGACAGACCCCGCGACCTCTGGCCACAGCAGGTCGATCTCCTCGTTCAGCCGCTGGAGGGCGAACGAGCGCAGGGCCGGGTCGGGTTCCGAGAGGAAGCCGACAACACCGGCGGCGGACGTGAGGCCAACCATTGTATTGTGTCTTGCGGGAGCAATGTATGGCTTCGTGTAGTGGGACGGCCGTCCGCGTTGGTGGTGAGAGAGGGAGCTGTTGTTGCGGAAGTGGGTAGAAGCGTGTGGAGCTGCGCTGTGGCGCCTGCGGCTTGCCTAAGGTCAAAGGATAATCTGAGGCGGTGCTGCGGCGGACTCTATGGTGACGGTCGCAGTGAAAGAGGGACGGGAAGATGGAGGGTGGGTGGTTGATGGGGGATGGCGTGGCGCCCTTGTGGTGTTCGGGGAATCGTGTACGTGATGGTCTAAACAGTAGCTCGTGAGTTTCGGAAGCGGCGACCCTGGTCCACTTTGAGCATGACATAATACGCTACCGGCGCATCACTCCTACGATAAGCTCCGGACTTCCACGTCACTTTGAGCATGCACTTGGATGACAGTCTGCATGGTACGAACAGGGATGAAACAACTCATCTGAATTGACAGGTACTCTGAAGTCTACATCAGCATAATACCATGAGTTTGTTAACATCCCAAGGCAATGCAGTCTCCTAGGTTTGTGTCGAGAGTGATACTCTATAAGAGGTAGGTGAAACTGGGTATCTTAATTCTGAAGACTAACTCCGTATAATGCTGCTGGTCCCATCTTCGTTGTGCCTCTGGATATGTAACGCCGCAAAGATCAGATAATAATAATACAAAGCACCTCATACAAGGCAGAACCTGAACAGGCCAGGCGCCTACATTAGGACAAAAATGAGCATAATTGGAAATCTAGCATCAATGTAGGCTCCACGGTGTTGGGGGTTTCCCCCTTTTCTAAGCGGCATGCGTGATTATGCGTGACGCAACCCGCAAATTGTTCATCATTCCGCTGATTATGTCCTCAAACTCGGTAGGCTGCTTGAGCCTCACCTTGTCTGCCTCAGCGATGAGAAGATCAGAATCCAACTCCAACTCCAGCTCATGATTCTTGCTAGTCCCTTGTGTGACCTGCGTGAGATCAATTTGGTATGCGCCCAGCCATGAATAGGACATGCGGTCTTTTTGTCGCTGCATACTCTCCAGCGTCTTTCCTGGCTCTAGCGCGGCCTTGAGGCTTTCAATCGGGCCCGGGAAGTCGATTTCGAGGTTGATACCGATGCGATAGTCCCACTCTGTCTTAGGAGAGCTGATCTCGAGGTTCCCTATCCGATGTTTTATCATGGCTCGCACGAAGTCGCCCGTGTTCTTGTCGCGAGTTACGCGGACCTTCTGCCGGGTACCGGATGCGCTGATGAGACGCTGAACTATAGGATTCAACGTGGAGAAGCCTTCCTGGTCGAGCTCGTAGAACATGTCCGTCTCGTAGGTATGTCGGTAATCGATCGGCGGGCGCGGAGCACCGGGTATCTTCGACTGCTGGACCTGAGCGTTGAGGGCGTGGTTCATGCGCTTGTGTTGAAGAGCAGTCATAGTGCTTTCGAACTTGACATCCAAGGCTTCAGACTTGATAACGCATTCTGTGTTCCAGACCCCGCGCAGTCGCTGGTCGGTCTGCTTTTCTAGGATCTGACCCCAGCGCGCTTCGACTTCCAGTTGCACCTTTGGATCTGCGATCGCGTTTCGTACCGCCTCGTTGTTAACGGCTGTGGCCCAGATGAATTCGCATACTTCGTGCGCGACGACGTCGTAGAGTTGCGCATCGTGGAACATTGGCCGCACGAAGCGAGAGAGTCCAGATGCAGTGGCTGCTGGAGGAGGAGGCGCGCCGGCATCGCTGTGCGCGTGTCCGTTTCGTTCGGCGTTCGGAGACGGTTGAGGTCGCGGCGGAGGAGGGTGAGATGGAAGCGCAGGTTGCGCGCGTGAGTGTGCCTGGGGGACTACAGCAGGCGGAGGGGGACGCGACTGTTGGCGTTGTTGCTCTTGCAGCTGCCTGAGCTCAGGTGGAAGCTGTTCGCCTTCGCGATACGCCCATATGGGCTTGGGGTCATGGCGCTTCCGTTTCAGCGACATCTGCTGCTGGCTGGGTTTAGGCGTCGGTATCTTTGCGGCGGGAGTGACAGGGGAGGATGCGGGAAGGGAATGGGGGTGGGAGAGTGAACGGCGCGGTAGCACCGATGCTTCCCCATCGTGATTTACTAGCGCAGATATGTCCATCGTGGGTTGTGGTAGGGTTGTGCGTCGGACTCACCATCGTGTACAGATGCCTAGTGTTGCTGGGCGCACGGACGATTCCACTCTGGGCTCCTTTGTTCCAACGTTGTGCCGCCTCAGGTACCTAGGTAGCTACTGCCTGTCTAGCATGCGACCATCACCTGGAACTTGTGCGAAGAGGTAATCATTAAAGAGTTTGCTTGATCCGCTAGTGTTTACACCAAATCTTGTGTCCCTATGCGCCAGACCGTCATTTGCGCAAACGAGTCATGTATATGCGCCTCCTGCAGCGCACTCCACACCTTCTATCTAAACAACCAAACGTCCGCTCCGACGCTACCTTCACGCGTCTTGGTCAAGGCCAAGGTCTTCCTGCGCGGGGACAATGCGGAGTGTGTTGGTGTGTCCCATTCCTCCCCTCCAGCCCTGTACGCAAATAACTGGATCTCCCTTGCTGAGAACACCGAGCTTGATGGCGTTCATGATTCCCCACTTCAAACGGCGGTCAACATCCTCCTGCCATGGCTCCGTCTTGAAGTCGGGCTTCTTCTCGGGGAAGTAGAATGGGTAAACGCCGCGGTACAGGTGTGAATACTACTCAAGTTAGCCAAGGGAATCCCTGTGCACTGGAAAAAGCAAAACTTACCCTAGCAGCCATCTCATTGCGGGTAACCATGATGATAGGGCAGACGGGGCGGTACTTGGAGACGAGGCGGGCGGTGGTACCACTAATGCACGTTAGAATCACAAATGTACAACATGCTAGGAGACTCACCTCGTGGTCAGAACCAAGATGGCGCCAGCGTTCTGCTCGAGACTGGCACTGACGGCAGCCATTGCACAAGTCTCGGTAGTAGGGCATGGGACGGGTGCCAGCTTCCTCAGCTCATCGAACGCGTTGACGTATGGGATAGCGACCTCGGCGAGCAGGCAGGTCTCGTGCATCATGGTGACGGCCTCGACGGGGTAGTCACCCTTGGCGGTCTCTCCAGACAACATGACACAGTCGGCACCGTCGAGAACAGCGTTACCGACATCGCTAACTTCAGCGCGGGTTGGGCGCGGGTTGTAGGTCATGGACTCGAGCATCTGGGTTGCGCAGATGACAGGCTTTCCGGCAATGTTGCACTTGGTGATCATCATCTTCTGGGCGATGAAGACCTGGCTGGGCGGGATCTCGATACCAAGGTCACCACGAGCGACCATGACACCGTCGGTCTCCCTCAGGATCTCGTCAAAGTTGTTCACACCTTGCTGGTTCTCGACCTTGGCAATGATCTGGATGTCCTTGCCCTCCTCGCCGAGCACCTCACGAATGGCAGTGATGTCGCTGCCGCGGCGGATGAATGAGGCGAAGACCATGTCGACCTTGTTCTTGACACCGAACTTGAGATCGGCCTTGTCCTTCTCGGATAGTGGGGGAAGGTCAATGTCGGTCTTGGGCAGGTTGACACCCTTCCTCGACGAGATCTTGCCGTTGTTGACACACTTGCACTTGAGTGTCTGGTCGTCTGTGATCTCGAGGACCTCAAATGAGAGGACACCGTCATCGACGTAGATTATGCGACCAGGTGCGATGACCTTGGTGATGTTCTTGTAGTCGACGTACATGTTCTTGTCGTCGCATGCCGTGGCATATTGGTCGTCGGTGGTGATGTTTATGATGGAGCCAGCCTTGATGGGAATGTCGGCATCGCCCACAGTGTTACCAGTTCGGATCTCTGGGCCCTTGGTGTCAAGGGCAATAGCCAGAGGCCGGCCGGGCTGTGTCCTCTCCGCCTCGCGCGCATGGTCGATGACGGACTGGTGGTACTCGTAGGAGCCGTGGGAGAAGTTCATGCGAACGACATTGAGACCAACTTTGCGGAGGGAGTTGATCTTCTCGGCGGAGTTTGTCTTGGGACCGATGGTGCAGATGATGGAGGTTCTTCGGTACTCCTTGGCAGGTGTGTACTCAGTGTTGAGCTGGCTGAGCCACTCAATCCTGGTCCTGCCGGAGTTGAGGTGGTCTAGACTGTATTGCTGTCAGTAGGTGTTGGAGTTGGATGCTTCTATGTAGAAGCAACTTGTAACGCGTGAAGATGTGAGCTCAACTGCTAGGGTTTCTATGAAGAACTGCTGGCGTTCTGTTGTAAGAGAATAATCTATACGTACGCGTTCGCCATTTCTGCTGATAGTGTTCAGAGAGAGGGCTGTGAAGGGGGAAGACTGAGTCGCTGTCGCGGAGTGCGGGGCCGGGTAGAGAGTCTGTGTGAGGGACTCCAATTGAATGCGCGACGGCTGGGGGATGAGAGGAAGAGAGAAGAACAGGCTGCTCTCTGGAAAACGGCGGTCGACGGGTTTATCTTGTGCTGCGACGGGCTAGAAGTTTTGTTGGCTGTTGAGCGTGTTTTGGAGGGGCAGTTAGTAGCGCGCTAGTATGCTGCTTAGTACGTGGGGCTGCTGCACCCTGCGGCGGTTTGGATATGAGAATTGGAAACAGATTGCAGTCAGAAAATGGTCTGGAGACGGTTTGGTTGAATAAGAGTCTTTCGTTATGCGCCGAACCCTGGGCCGACTGCCTGCTGAACACGTCCCATGGTTGACTGTCGTGACGCCCATTTGCTTCTTCCACTCCGCCCACGTTGTCGCCTCATTGCCCTTGAACATCCCGCCCAGATAAGCCAGCCATCCGACGCGCATTTGCAAAGCGATTGAAAAATCTCGGCGCCCTCGCTCTGGGCGTATCCGGCTAGTGGGCGGTTGTGCTGGTGCGCGGCCGGCTGCTGGCGTGTAATGGATTTTTCAGTGGGTTACCCGCGCGGAGATGGTCGTGTCTTGGAGGTTTCATGGGGTCAAGAACAAGACATCGTCGCGGCAGGCCCTTGTTATATAGCAGGCGCACCTGTCGTAGGGTCCGCTCCTAAATCACCCGCAGCTGCTCCGCATGCTTGCCCGAGGTCAAAGGGAAGGTCCCATTGATGCGACAATACGGTCCAGTTCCATATTAGTGGGGACCGTTCTGCGTATCTGAGCCTGTAGGACATCGCGGACAGTCGCATAGGTAGTCGATAAAGATAGTCCCGCGACGGACATGCCCATCTATGGGTAGCACCTGAACTCGATCGAATTGATGCACCTGTCACATCGGCTTTTAGACCCTCTACACTAGGGAACGCTGAGGTCGTGTGCCAGCGCAATCACATGCAGACAAGTGACTAAGGAAGGGCACCAGCCACACCTCCACTCTACACCGCATCCCGCATCCTGCACTCAACAACAACACCCACACCCACCGAACCTCCTGAACCCCAGTCGCCACGCTCTCCCCAAGCAGCCTCACGTAGCCTCACATTCATCCGCCACCTCCCACGTCGCCCATCATGGTCGTATGTCTACTACTCTACTACTGCGTTTGTGGACCACCGAGTCGCATGCTCCGTAACTCACACAAGTAACAGCTCGGCAAAGTCGCACATTACGCCTTCGATGCGGTATTAAGTACGCACCCTCACTTTCGCCCCAACCATATCCATCGCTAACATTACCCCAGTATCCGCCTTCCTCGCCGGCGTCCGCCGCTCAACTGGCCTCACGTATGTCCCCATCCATCCCTTCAAGCGCCACCCAACCCACCTCTCCTCCACAACCCCCCGTTTCGTCGCCGCGCAAAACTACAAGATCGGAGCTAAAGCTAAACCCAGACCCAGTGTGAAGCCAGATACTTTCGGCGAAAACCCCAGCGCCCAGAAATGGTTCGAGAGCTACCTCTGGGTCGGCGAGACGGTCATGGACCAAAGCGTCGCCTTCTTCGGTTCCAGTTCCTACTTTGAGCGCAAGCGATAGATGCGTTGTATACCCACAATCAGCGACGAAGTCACGGCGAATATGTGATCTGCGGATGTGCGGAAGATGAAACGCTACACGAGGCGGGCGACTAGAAGCTCTGGCAGCTGGGGCTGGCTAGATGAGTCGTGGTGCGTTGGGCACATCTTGGCGATACCTGAATGGCTTGGAAGTTGGATGAAGAGCACGGCGTCGAGTTTCCCTCTCGATTAGCAGGCAGACGGCGTTGGGGCGAAACCATTGTCTATGAGATTACGAATCAAAATTATTCCAACATGTTCTCTCTTCGCTATCGATGAACTCAGGTCTATTCCGCTATCGCTGCGCACTCCATGCAGGGTATCATACGCGCTTATGTATAAATCGAGAAAACAGACCGATGATCTTACCCTCATGTTCTCCGTTTGAACCTGAATCCAGTCTCCTCATCATCGCTATCGTCGTCCTTTCTGCTAAACCTCCCCTTCTTACTAGCAGGCTGCCCGCTCGCAGCGTCAGATCCCCTCTTCTTCCCCCTCTGCGTCTGCGTGCTCTCAAGCTGTGTCTCTACAACCCTCTGCGTCCGCCCACTACTCTTCTGCGTTCGTTGTTCTGGAACCTCCTCGTCGTCCGGTCCGCTATCTTCCACATTAATGACTTCTTGCTGCGCCTGAGACTGCGTAGTCCGTTTCCGACGAGTGAAGCCACCGACTTCTGGCTCTGACGAATCGTCCGCTGCTGCGTTGCGACCGCGCCGGCTATCGCGTGAACGGAAAGAGGGCTCAGGGTCTTCGAGAAAGAAGGCGTCAGTGAGGCCGAAGCCCTTCTTGGCTGGTGCTTCTTCAAGCGTGACGATGACTTTGTGGGCTTGGACGCCCTGTTCGGCACCACGGCGACGGAACCTCTTAAAGTTCTTGCGACCGTTCCACTCAGCGTTCCAGCGCTCGTTATTGGTTTGACTTTGATTGCGCGAAGGGCCTCTGTTCTGCCGAGGTAGAACGTCCATCTCTTCTATTTGGGCCAGGTTCTTCAGCTCAGTGATGTCGATACCTTCAAGCGCTTCTCGCAAGCTCTCCTCGTCTGCCTTGCGACGCTCCTCTTCTTCTTTGATGCGCTTACGAGTATGCTCGCGGATATTGATTTCCTTTTCGGACTTGTCTTTTGCCAAGTTGAGTCGCTCCCGAGCAGCTGCTATAGTGGATGCTCTTTTCACCGGGCCCCCTTCTTCGGGCTCGACAGAAGCCGATGGCGCACGCGTAGCTGCTCTTTGTGCCCTCATTTTGGCGGCCGTCGGGAACAGGGTATCCATCTGCTCTTCTTTCTCGATCGTCTTTCGGGTGTTTGATGGCGGAGAAGCTTGACTTGGTGTACCTGATGTATTGCGTGCTTGCGAAGCTGTCATCGATGGTCCTCGTAGTGGTACAGACTGCTGGACGTCTTCCACTGGAGGATTTTCGACCTTCAGTTTCTTCTTCGGGATGGGTTCGTCATCATCAAAGCCCGTGAAGCGGCTTGTCTTTGGCCGGTGGATGCGCTTTCGTGGGTTGATCTTTGCGGGCTCTTCCGCAGGAGGTTCGTTCTCCTCGGGGGCCTGCGACGGTGCCCTAGATTCAGACATTGGTGTTGGTTGACGCATAGAGCGGCGACTGCTTGTGACCTCTGGTGGTGCAGTAGCAATCACTTCTGCGGGCGGGCTTTGTATTGAGGCACGGTCCCCTGTGAGAATCGTGTCGAGAAACTCCTTCTGTTCGATCGAGCGCTGCCCAAGTGCCTGATCAACGCCGATCCGAAAGCTCTTGAGCCATTCGTCCTCTGCTAGTACGTTTAAGCGCACCGTTATGACGGGAAGCTTGTCGCCAGGTTTGCCACGTCGCTTCTTTCCTGCCACATTGTGGACGTGATCGACATACTCGTCTACCGTTGTCTCGCCAAGTTGTAGATTGTATAGTAATGCCTTACCGCCTCCACCGGTGACGGGATCCAGCAAACTACTGTGTTGGCTTTCGCTCAGAAACACAAAAGTCAGCCCAGAGAAGACATCTGACCGCGAGGGATCAGGTAGCAACATCTCATGTGGCTGATGAACCGGCTCTTTGTCAATTCCTGGTATGTATTCCTTCTCCGCTGGCCACCATGCATCAAAATCCTCTTCTAGCTTCGAAGGCAGGTAATTGTTTTCTTCGTCGACCGATGGAGCAGCCACAATGAGGACTTTATCAAGGAACTCTGTAGTGACGATGTGTTTGGCTGAAGTCAGACCCGAGAGGACTTTGGGAAGGTTCCGTTTCGCTGATACGACGTGGGTGGTCTTGTCGAATACGAAGTCGGTTGTAGTCTTGATGTCTAGGGTGTGTAGCTGCGCGCTGCGGGCTTTGTTCTCTTTTGATTCCTTCGAAGCATATGTAAAGACGACTGGGCGCCAGACGATCTTGAATGGCGCATAGCTGGCAGCCAATCTGATGGTATGTTCGGTGCCTTTCAGGGTCTCGCGGCTGTATTCTATCGACCCATCGGAGGCCTTCTGGCTCTTCAATGTAGTTTTCTCGTCGATTGTGACTCCCTGCCTGCAACTCAGATCGGTCACCTCGATCTGAGACCTCTTGTGAAGCTTTGTGCCGTCTTCTGGTGCTGCGTCATACACCTTCAGCATAACATGCTTGCGCGAGACCGCCTTGTTTTCAATCTTCCAATTTTTTCCTTGTGGGCCATCTTTGTCGTCTGACTTGGTGCGACCGAACAGTTGCTGTGATCCGGGGCGGAGCCAGACGCGCTTGCCTCCGAAGAGGCTCTCGTGCTCCAGGAACCACATTGTGAAGGCGTCGGTACGAGAGGGCTACAAGGTGTGTAGAGGAACGGCGGGTGGGATGCGCATTGTTGTGCTCGCGGTGAGACTGCGCGCGCAATGGTCTCGTGTGGCGTTGGCTGTGTTCACGACTCTAGGCTGAAGTGCGCCGAGTCTATGCGCGATGTCGCGGTGTCAGGTGAGACGCTAGCGCTCCTGCTTCCTCTTCACTATCCCAGCAATCGCGATCAGGCATCACCCATCACTAATACCAGCGTCACACTAAACTACAAAGTCACTCTTCCAATGTTGCCGTGCTAGTGCACTAAGCTTGGCGTCTTTACATGGACCACACCTGCGACTTTAGATCTTCACGGTTGCAATCATCAACCTGTCCAAGTATCCCCCACCCACCCGCAACCACCTATATTACTCAGTCTCCCATGTCGAAACTCTTCCTGGGCATCTGTAAGATCTTCAGAGACACGTTTCTCACGATGAGCGAGCAACCGTTCACGTGTGACGCGTTGAAGGTAAAATGTCCATTGGGATATCTACAGTATTCTACCAGCAACTCGCGCAACCCAAAACTATGACCCTCTTGGGTATCACAAAACGAACAGTAGACGAGCGATGGACCTAAAAATAACGACAACACAACATCTTCTTCCATCCCATTTCATGCCTGCACCTCAGACACAGTCTCTGAAGCTTCCCGCATTGCTTGTTTGGCAGCGGCGTTCTTTTCCCTCTCCTGCTGGATTCGCTCAGCATACAGACTCTTAGCTCTCATGGTAGGGCCCCATTTGTAGATGAAGAAGACCGGGGCGCAAACGAGAGCGGAGATGGCGAACAAGACCCAAGTCGAATTTGTGACACCGAGCTTCTTGTACATCGGACCGGTGTAGAAGGAGCAAATACCGGCAAGGACGTCTCGGGCGAAGCCATTGCCACCGGTGGCTGAAGCGGAATACGTGCCTCCGTACGCGGCAACCATGTAGTCGATCGTGGCGAAGTAGATGGCGAGATTTGCGCATCCGATCAGGACCGCGAAGATGAGGGGCGCAATCCAGGGAAGGGGTGGGCCAGATACTACAAACGCTGACCCGAATAGGCCAATCGGCAGGAGCAGGACGATCCAGCGGAGGGCTGATAGTCGGCTCTCGGGACTCAGCACTTTCCCGTTGCTGCGCTGCTGATTGTGTTTTCGGATGACGGGTACGTATAGCACTGCTGCTAGCCAGTAGCCGATGAAGAGAGCGAACAAGGCGAGCCCTAGCTGACTAGGAGTGAAGCCCCATCCCTCCTTGCCGAACACGTAACCGTATGACTCGAGGAAACTGAAGATGAGGGCGTCGCTGAATCCACTGAGCAGCGACAGGAAGCCAACGATCGGTTCACAGACTAGCATCTTGTATGGTCGACCCATGATCTTGCCACATTTCTTGAGGTTCAGCTTGTCCGTCTCAGTTGGACCGACGACATTGGCATCTGGGTTCTGCTTGCGTTGCTTCTTGGCTACCTTGTTAAGCATAATTGTCGACCTGGTCTCCGGCACGAAGCAGAAGTGAACGAACTGAACAGTGGCGCCTAGGATAAGCTGGATCCAGAAGTTCCACCGCCAGTGAAGGAATTGCTCGATGGGACCTCCACAGATGCCGCCAATTACTGGAGACAGTTAGCATTTCATTCCTCAGACATCTATGACATGAGGTTTACATACCGGAACCTAGACAGCTCCACAAGCTGACCCAGAGGATAGGGAGCTGCTGATCTTCGGGATCGAACATGTCCGCAACCATTCCGAGTGTGACGGAGCCGCCGGCAGAGCAGATACCGCCGAGCAGACGCGCAGCCAGCACATGGCCCCAGGACGTACTGGCACCGGCCATGATCTGCCAGATGTTGACGGTGAAGAGGGATATCTGCATAATTGGCCATCGTCCGTACTCCTCGGACCAGGGCGCCCATAGTTCGCACCCAATACCGTACAGGATCAAAAACCATGCCATACCCGCTCTTGCGTTGGTGAAGTGGTTGCTGCCGAGATGGTAGTGCTCGTTGAGCGGCCCAATTGCGTTGGAGTAGACCGCTGCGTTATAGTCTGTCGCCTGTTAGCCTCGTATGACTAGACAGTTGGTAAGACCACTTACTCATGCTGGTTTGGCAGAGTCCAACGACAGTCAAAATCGCCCATTTCTTCTTGTTTGAGAACGCATACCCGGTCTTCTCATATGCGTTCACTTCGTTGAGCTCCAGGGGGCCGCTGGGTTGGGCTTGACGGCTGTGTGCCGCGACCATCTCTATCGCATCCGCAGCTTGCTTGTTGCGGGGGTCAGAGCCACCAGAACTGGCGTCGCTGTCGTTCCTAACTTGGGTCGTCATGATTTGGATGTTATCAGTAAGTTCAGTCGTGGAAGTTGAATGGCCTGCAAGACACTAAACTCTAGATAAGGCAGAGTGCAGTCGGCGGTAGATCTGGGAATGTGAAGGTTGAAAGATGGAGAGTGCGGGGAGGCGACAGATCTTATGGCTGGCATGCACGGCGATGGAACTTGGGACGAGAGTCCCAGCTCTGTACTGACAAAGGTCAGCACATATGCAATACACCTCGATGCAGTGGACCCCATTGACGGAAGCGCGAGACGGCCCGCCACCTGTTACCATGGTCCTCGAATGCGTCCGCGCACATTTGCTCGCGATTACACGCATCGTTTTCTTCGATTCAATGTGACCATATTTCCGCTCGTACATGGACGCAAGCAGAGACGCTACTAGCCTGGAGTGGCATCAAAAACATCTCTCGCAACACCTCCTGCTCGACAGACGTAAGTTCATGCACACCAACCCCTCCCCAGGAATGAAAGTCTGGTCCGGAACAACGCGGGGAAGCATTACCACTACAACCACTGCAATCATGCAGGCACATCATGGGCCGAAACCCCTCGCTCAGAAGTAGCGTACCAGTTTACCATTTCTAGCCATCCTGAGAGGCACGTGAGCAAAACCGTCTCGCGTATGCTCTCCACACTGCATCTACATCGCTCTCCATTGGCCCGAGCAGATGTGCAAGTCACATGAACAATACCTCATCACCACCTCACCATCTCACTATGCCCAGCCTCTCCAGCTGCGCATGTAATTCTCAGGACCAGTCGAACACATCGTCCCCCTCATCACGGCCATCATCGCTCCACTCCCACTCTTCATTACCCCACGGCCGCAACGGTGTCCAGCTGATTCCCCTTTTGCACTCAAACTCGCTCTGTAGAACTTGGAAATGCGCGTCCAACTCTGCATTCAACTGCGTAAGTGCCGCCTTCTCTTCCTCGGCACGGGATGTCGAAGTTATATGGGCCGTATGGTTGCGTATCTCATCTTCGCTGATGGGTTTGAAGAGATGCACCAGTGGCTGGGATTCGACTGGGGAACGAGAAGTGGAGTCGCAGTTATAGGATGTGAGTGTGATGAATGGCTTGCCGTCCTGTTCCATCCCGAGCGTCTTTGTGTCTGGCATGGGCGCACTCCTCTCGCTTGAGTTCATGTGCTTTGCATAGTCGTAGGCCATCTCTAGGTTCATCGAGGAGTCGCTATTTACCACTTTGGTACTGACAGCGCCCCGTGTGGTTTCGTGCTGCGAATCTTGGCGTTGCGTTGACATAGCGGCGCTGATACTTAGCTAATACCAGCATGAAATGAAGAGTTGTGTCACTTATACGCACTACAAACGCGAATTGAAACGTCACAAGCAAGCAGTCAGTCGCATGTCTCTCTGTTCGGAGACAAACGCTCATTGTTCGGTGATCAGCAAACCACCAACAATGAGTGGTGTCAAAGAATTTGCCACGAGACTTCACAGTGCACGAGTTGTCTAGATGCGCAATGATATTCGTGTCATGTATTGTTTCCACTGATGGCTAAGGTATGCGTATGTACCAGTCGCAGACGTCGTTTCTGCTGTGCAACGGTGTTCACCAATGTGCCCTCCCCATCGAGTAGCAGAGTCCTTCCACTTTGACCATAGTAGTCAAGAAGATGGGCATACTAATGATCAAGATAATCCTTCCCTAGAACTTCGACTCCTAAAACAGCACCGAGCCTTGGATGGTGGCGGGCGAACGTCCGCTCGTAAAGTGTGAGAGCCTGTGTGTCTACGATCAGCGTGTGCCTACCAGGAAAGGAAGTATTTGCATACCACATAAGCCGCCTGTTCAAATGCACACTCGGAATGTGATACAGTTCATGCCGGTCCATTAGCCTCCCACCACTGCTGGTGAGCAGAGCAGACCTTGACAAAGTAGCTGTCAAGCTCGGCGCGCTGCATAACCATGAGCTCGCGCTCAGGTGCCACCTTCTCAAGATCCATCTCATGCTCCATGGCGCGTATGAGCATGATGTTCCTCTTGGCTTCGTGATCGAGAGGAGCGCGGTTGGTAGTGTTGGTGGTAGCGACAGTCGTGGGTGGGATACTAGGCGTGGTAGACTTCTTAGCAATGCATGCGTTGAGCAAATCTTGTTGCACGCGCAAGCCCTAGAATCTGTTAGTGGATATACATTGCATAGATGTGTTGAGACTCACTTCTTCAACATGATCGATACCGGTTTCTGACATAGCCACCTTCCAGGCCAAAGCCTCGCTCGTGGCGTTGTCCTGTTCCTCAACTACCTTGACTGGCGCCTCGAACACTTTCGCGTTCGGGTTCAGGTCTAGCGAGCTGAGTTGTTTGTGAGCTTGGACGAGGTCGTCGGTCTTGGTCCTCAAATGAGGAGGTATCGACTTCTTGCGGATGCTCTCAGGGCGAGGGCTCTTTGTACTAGCAGTCAACGTATCCTGTCCAGCGCCTTCTTGCATGGCTTTCTCAATAGCGACAGCCCAATCTGGCGGTTGGCTCTGGGTGGGTGATGCTGAACTTGTGGAGGCCTTCGGTTTTACTGGGTTCTCTGGACGGCGAGAGTGTGGCACGAACATTGACTCCATCGTTCCCTTAAGAGGACCCGCGACACGTGTGCCTGGCTTGATCGCGGACAGCTTGGGCCTAGAGGTCTGAACATGTTCTTTGACAGCGTTCGCTGGAGGTGAAGCGGGACTAGCACTTTGGATCACGTCTCGAGGGAAGCCGGTGCTGCGTGCAGCTGGAGCTGGCCACTGGCCGATTCCACGGCCCAGAGAGCTTCCGTTCACGGATGAAGATGAGGCACCAAGCTGGGTTGTGGCAAGCATCTTCGCTTCCCGTCGGAACGATTTACTGCGGCGGTCGTGTTCCGGATCGCGATTGAAGCGCGGGTCCGGAAGACGTCCAGGCCTAGCGATGCTGTCTGCATCCGGTTGCCCTATATCGCTACGTCAGCGTGCGTGACGAGAATTCTCATGTCTGAGATTGCATACACGTCTCGGCCTCTGGGGGCGGCGGAGGAAATGCATCCCATACAAGGGCGGGGGCCGCAGTGACTACACATCGGTCAGTGTTTCGATGTCAACACAACAGCAGGTTGACCTGCGGCGTCATCGAGAAAGCTCACGTGTATTCTTGGGCGTAAGGAACGGCATGCTCACAAAGTGAGCGCGAGCGCTAGGAGATACTGAGTTCGCAGATGTTGAGACAAGGTTGGAAGAAGAAGTGCGGCCAAGGTTGTTGACGAGGCAGCCGACTAGCTCTTGCCGCCGATCGGATTCGAGGTGAGCGCGACTTCCCGAAGCGGAAGCAGCAGCCTGGAGCACCAGCAGCGGAAACGTTTGCTGGGTGACCACGCAATGACGTCGACTTGCTATGTTGGAAAGACTGACAGGTAGGAGCGGACTCAACTAAGAGGCTTCCTCTAATAGAATAGTAGTTATGCGATGGAAATTTTGGATATTGCTGTACGTGAAAAGATTTTGCTCGGAAAAGCGAGACGATAAGATGATCTGAAGACTAGAGAATAGAAGAGGAGGCAGGACTGGGAAGAGCAAAGCCACTTCACGGAGCAACGGCGTCTCTCACCTCGAGCTCGGGAGGGACATCGCATGCTTGACTTCGCAGAGTATTCTCAATTAGAGAGATACTCTTGCGAGTTACTAGAGTGTTGCGAATATAGAGCAATGGAAGGACCTTCTTCTTCTTATCGACCCAAGCGGACGTCATGCCTGAGGTGAAATTGAAGATAACGAGGGACAATCATCGCAATGCTCAAAAGCTGCGCCCGCGATTCTGCGAACGAAGAAGGATATGCGCCGTTCTCTACGTTGTCATCCAGACACGCGTGTAGCTCTTCTCTTGATGACGGGCCCGGCGAGGTTTGTGCTGCCTCAAAAACGGTGCCACTAAGAACCGGCCGCTAACCAAATTCATCGTTGATGACTACTACTATCCCACGTGAGACCGCGACAAGCGGAGATCTATTTCTACATCCGATCGTCGTGCACACAGGTTCGTTGGGCTTTGGGATCTCGCGTAGGCATCGTTAGACGGTTCAGGGAACGCAATCACTCCTACGCACCGTACTCACGCCCTGAGTTTGCTTGCTTAACCACCTGCAGCGGCTGTTGCGCGTGGTAAGCTGCTCAAGGCTGCGAAAGCACGCACACTGGGTCTCCACGACCAGCTTCACTCACTTTCCGTTCTTCGTCATTCTTTCATTCAACGAGTCGCTACCTTATTTGGTAGTAGGTGGATCAAACTGCACCTGCCACAATAGAGCAGCCTCGCACTTTCTTCGGTTGCGGCGAGGGAAACTTGCTCTCCCCGATCCGAACTCGCCATTTTCGCACTTCTCTCAAAAGTCATCAACTTCTTCCGCAGAATGGCGGGAAAAGTCACTTATTCACGGCGCCCGAACAAACGCCGCGCACCTCACGACCGCGATCCAGCAGATGAGAACGAGGACTGTCAGAAGCGGAGTAGAACAAATACCGAGCCAAATGGATCGCGACTACCGACACCACCCTCAAGCCGACGAGGAAAGAAATCCTGGTTCAACGGTCCCGTCTCCATTCCTGATGACGACATGAACCCTCCGCAGTCCATCTTCGATAAGGTTCTCGAAAACAAGAAGCACCAAGCCCCAAAGCCGCATCAACGCAGTGTCCAGGGCGACCGTGAGAACTTCAAAGGCCTTATGAAGACGGGACAAAAGTCGAGAGAACAGAATGGCTGGGCGAGGAACGGCTCTCTGCCAACGCCACCAGCGGAGGCCCAGAAGAAAGCCCATCAGCAAGCACGGAGAGATGAGAATTTCGCGCGGTACAAGGGAATCGTTCACAGGAACGAGTCTGCGACACTCAAGTCGTCACCCACGGCGCCAAACCAGACATCGTGGCTCTTCGAGCGGGTCATTAAAAATGAGCAGCCGAAAGCACCATATCAGCCGAAGACATACAAAGCTGAGGAGATTGCAGCACCACGGCGGACTATAATGGGGGAACGTCTGTCTAGAAGTTCAGACCAAGCCCGCAAGTATGTCTCAGATAACACTCACATTATGCACAGAACTGACTGTAGCAGATTCAAAACGAACCAGACCGACTCGCCTCTCCTGCAGCTCCCCAAAAACGTGAGGAATCTCATCTACACTTACGCACTTGGTGGTAAGACTATCAACATCGGCTACCAGACCTATCACCTTACCTTTGACCCTACAAAGCCCAAGAAGGTAAAGCAGGTTACACCCATTTTCAAGTACCAGTGCACAGTATACGACGGTAATCAGAATCCCATTAAGGCGAGATCCCAGCCGTGGGTCAAGAGTTCCACGGTGTTTACTTTGCTCAACGGTGTCTGCCGCCAGATGTACCAGGAAACAGCGACGCTGCCTTACAGGCTCAACCTAATCGCCTTCGACTCGTATAGCATCATGTTCAATTTCTTGTTCATGGAGGACCGCCTGCGTCGCGAGCATCTCGATACCTTCACGGAGCTTTTACTACCAGACCAGCTACCGGGGTCAAATGCACTCGCCCGCTTGCGCAACGTCAGCAAGGTGTACCTAGGAGTCACACAGGAGGGAAAACCTAAGGGGTGGTACCGTGTAGTGCGTACTCAAGGCGTGGAGCCGAGACTTGCAAGAGTCGTGAAGTAGTGCGAGGCATGCATGACAGCATGAGTGTGCACATGTGGGCTTGAAAGGAGTTTCGGCGCGACTGTATGGCATTTTTGTTTATCAGTTGCATGATACCCGGCATGGCAACGACGTTATGATCCAGCTACACCCCACCATTTCATGGGTAAGGCCAGTGCCCATCTGGTAGCTTGAAATAGATTCTCAGAACAGAGGTGATTATCTGCATGGACAATTGCGTTGCTTCTTTCCTTTTTTGTGCACCTATGGAGTGTTGGGTCCGTTGGGTGTAGGTCTGACATGTGAAAGAGGCGCCAGCTGTAAGCCGGTCGGCTCCCTGTGCGGATGGCCACGACTGACTGTGTCACACCCATATTCTTTTTGAGGGTGCATTGTCTTATGCATAGAGCCTCGTGGACTCACAAGATCGAAGATGGCGGTCAAAACAGGTAGGGATGGCTGCCCCACGTCTGCAGCTTTCTCCAGATCTGCCGTGTGCAGCGCGGGATCGCGATTTCGGACGAGCAACTATTCGCGGCGCTACACGGCCTTTCTAAACTAATGCTGCGTGCCCACAGTTCACAACTAAGGGCTCTTGGGAGTCGAGCACAGCAACAGGTGGTCAGAGGACTCTCGGCCTTTGCTACCAGCTACACGTAAGACACATGATCCATGGCTGCATGTGCAGTAGTCTGCCAACACTGGACCTGCAGGTACAGGTGGAAGATGCGTGTCGTATCAGCGTCGGTTGATGACTACTGCCGACGCGACACCCTCGCCGGCTTTGTTTAGTTGATCCTTGCCGATGACGATGTACCATGCGCATGTCCCCACGCTCCCTAGCATGCGCTGCACGCATCGAATACTTCAAAGGCGTCAATGCCGACCCTTCTCGCGCTCGTTTCGTCGTCCGGCGACAACATTGCACAAGTATTGAAGCGGCAAGCCTGTGACGCACCTTCCGCGACTTGCGCGACCGAGGCGCATGACCACCCGCAGTTGACCATCTCCGGCCACCCTACACCGCGTCTTCTCGAAAAGCACTATTACTAGGCTACAGACTCCCTCGACCGCGACAGACTCCCTGGAAACCGACTTCCTTACTTCGACACCACCGCAAGCTGCCTTCACGACCACTCGATCTACCGATCCTCTTACCACCGGCTAAGCCACGCTTCGTAGGATTCGCGCATGGCGTGTACCGGCGCTCGATGTCATTGCTGTCTGACACCATTTTTACAGGCGGCAGTACGCGACTGCACGTAAGAGGAGGACAACATGGGCAGAAATCCATAAGGAAGAGCAAAAGCCATGGCGGCTTCCTCGGACCCCTGGTGCAGCTGGCCAGGAATCCGTTGGGGACTCTGGGCGACCCAGTGGGCGACTACCATGTTCCTGAATTAGCCGTGGATGCTGCGGAAGCAAATCGTAGGCAGGTCCTGTACCTGCACATGAAAGACGTGGGTTCCTCAGATTGGTCGTGCCCTTTCACATGCTGACGAGATCGCCACGCAGGCCGAGACATACGACCAATGGAAAGCCGCCGCGACCGAGCTCGATATCCTAGAAGGAAACGAAGCCTGGAAAGAAGAGGACGACACTCCGGAATACAATGTGGATCTGGTTGCTGCCCGGCTGAAAGAGCTGGATGATGCTCGCATGAGCTGCGACGTGAAGAGGATGCTGTTCCTGATCAGGACCACCCTCACACGCGGATTGGGCGACATGGGCGACCTGCGCCTGTACAAGCACTCGCATATTGGAACCAAGCGTCTGATCGAGAGGTACATCGAGTCGGCTCAGCAAACCATGGCCGCTCTGCTGGACGTCTCGGAGAAGCAGGGAGATCAGTGTCCTATCGAGCCGCGGCGGTTGGTCGACCAATTGCTTCAAACACGCCAATCATTCGGTAGGAGCGCATTGTTACTCTCAGGCGGAGGAACCTTTGGCATGAACCACATCGGCGTCGTCAAGGGTCTTTGGGACGCTCGTCTTCTTCCACGCATCATATCGGGAGCCTCTGCAGGAAGCATCGTCAGTGCGGTCCTATGCGCAAAGACCGATGCAGAGATCCCGGAGGTTATGCACCAATTTTGCTTTGGAGATCTGAACGTATTTGAAAGCCCGGATAACCCAGAAGGCATGATCAACAAAGCAATGCGCTTGATGAAGTCTGGAGCTCTTTTTGACATTGCACATCTCATGAGAGTTATGCGTGATCTGCTCGGCGATTTGACCTTTCAAGAAGCATACAACCGGACTCGACGTATCTTGAACATTCCTGTTTCGACTTCGTCGCTCTACGAACTGCCCAGACTTTTGAATTACATCACAGCGCCGAATGTGATGATCTGGTCTGCAGTGTAAGTTCACGAAACCAAGGAACCATTATAGCTATGCTAACGCTACGCAGATGTACCTCTTGCTCAGTTCCGCTCGTCTACAAGAAGGCATCTCTGCTGGCCAAGGACCCGAAGACCGGCCTGGAAGTACCTTGGGATCCAAACCCTGACGCGACATGGATCGATGGCTCAGTAGACAACGACCTACCGATGACCCGGTTGGCCGAGATGTTCAACGTGAATCACTTCATTGTCTCGCAGGTCAACCCGCACGTTGTTCCCTTTCTGGCGAAAGAGGAGGAGATTGTCGCTGCAGAAGCCCAAGACGCCGTCACTGGTCCCGGTTGGATGAGTCTCTCAGCTAGTCTTTGCAAGGGCGAAGTAATGCACCGCCTCCAGCAGCTAGCGGATACTGGGTTCCTCCCAAACCTTGTCACAAAAGGACGTTCGGTGCTCAGCCAGCGATACTCAGGCGACATCAACATCTTCCCCAAGATCAACTACGCGGACTTCCCTAGAGTCTTGAGCAACCCCACGCCCGAGTTCATGGTCGGATGCATGCTGACTGGACAGCGAGCTACATGGCCAAAGCTCTCGCGGATACAAAACCATGTCGCCATTGAGCTCGCGTTGGACGACACGATCCAGAAGCTCAAGGGACGGCTCGTCTTTACACCACAGCAAGACGTCAATATCAGGCGGACCAGCTCTCAGGATAACGATCTCGCTCAAAGAAAGCGAGCGAAATCGACGCATAAGATGACGCGCTTCGAGCTCAGGACGGAGCCCCCCAGCCCTGTGCTGCGGAAGTCTGCACCCACCAGTCCTCTCTTGTCTCGTGCAGCCTTGAGAGCGTCCTCACAACCGCTTTCCGTTGCGAAGCAAGCTCAAGGCGCAAACAATGCAAGGCGCCAGTGGACCGAGACCATCCAACTCGATCCCATGTCGTCCACGAACGACACGTCTGACCACGACTACTTTGCCGATCCCGAGTCAGACACTACAGACAGGCTCTCTTCACCCTCGCCTTCTACATCACCCACGTTCACCGGTCCCACCCTCTGGCCTTCAACTCCTCAAGCTACGATGCAAGCCGCCCCACAGCCCACGCCACAGCCAACTCAAAGTCCGCTCAGTCGTCGTACCAACACGCTGTTCAATCTCACCATGACCTCGGCCGCAAGATCCTCCTCCAATCCAAACGTACCAAGCTCACCAGAACTGCGATACAAGCGCCTATTTCATCCTCCAGGGCCCGCTACGCCCGATGTCAGTGTAGGCCCACCGATACTGGATGTAGAGCCCATCAAAACAACACGTTCCCCGTCTGCCAGCAGACCTGGTAGCCGGCGCGGTAGTGCATCGGGTCTGCCAATCGATCCCTCAGGGACTAGAGGCATGCTGCTGAGGAAGAAGAGTTACATGTAGCGTGGATAGTTGAGCTTGATGTCTTTTTCGCGACTACCATTCTTATACATAGTCTTTCACATTCTGTTCACCCTTTTACCATCTTCACACACCTTTTCTTTTGTTTAACCAGCATGCAAGGCGAACCAAGATAGGTCGCCACACGATTCGAGAGAGTAGACTGGAATACCAACAGCAACAGCACACAAGAGTAGTGATACCCCTTCCGTGTACCGTATCTCTATAAACATACATAAGAAGTAGCAGAGACCAGACCATATAGATGATGATATAAATACACAATCAATCCAACATTACTCGTCGTCATCATCATTACCTCCATCTCTCACCCGTTCATTACCAACCCCTCAAATCATTCATTCATTCATTCGTTGACCCGTCCGTCTCCCTAAAAACCTGCTTAACCTCCTTCCCCCTCCACCGCTCAAACAACTCATACCCAAACACCAACACAATCGGCAGGCTCACCATTATCGCCGTCACCCGGCGCGACGCGGGCTTGTATTTAGGCGGTAGTCTGATGTCGGGCGTGGGCTCGATGAGGCGCGTGGGGTGTTGGCGGTGCGGTGGAGATGGAGGCGCTTGTTGGTTTGAGGGACGGATGCTTGTTGGATAGGGGTTTGGCGGTATGTGGCGGGTGGAGGTTGTGGGTTTGGAGAAGCGTGGGTATGGGTTTGGAGGAGGTGGTGGGGAGATGGGTGAGGGTGCTTTTGTGGGGTGTGAGGGGAGGGGGATTGTTGTTGGGCGTGGAGTGGTGGGGGCTGTAGTCGGTTTTAGAGGAGGAGGCTTCGTGGATGCTGATACTGCTGGTTTCGACGGCGGGGACGCTGGTTTTGTTGTAGGTTCTTGGGTCTGGGGCTGTGGCGCCGCAGTCTTCTTGTCCGTACTCGACGCTACCTTCTCCACGACCTTCGCAGCAGACTGTGCCTTCTTGAACGTCCCTTTCGCTTGTACCTCCTCTAATATCTTGCTTGTGGAGGGCGTGACGGGCGTGGGTTGTTCGGCCGCAATTGGCGACTGAGGCGCATCTTTCTTCGCGGCAGGAGTTGCAGGAGGAGCAACCGTCTTTGCGCTTTTCGCAACCGTCTTCTTCTCTTTCTTGACTTCCACGGGTTTCGCCTTTCCAGCAGGCTTCGCAGCGACCTTCTTCACGGCCGCCTTGCTCGCTTCGACCGCTGGTATTGCCCCCGCATCCTCGGCTACGACTTTCTTCGGGCGTCCGCGTTTCTTAACCGCTGGGGCTTCGCTTGGTGGTGGTGATGCCATTGTCGCTGTTCAATTGGCGTGCAGACAGCATGCGCAACGTGTCTGAGGATGTAGGGAGGGCGAAATGGGCGTTGCGACACGGCGACTAGGGCGGGCGCATTTCGAGGGGTGAAGCGGGAAATTTTGGGCGAGTATGATTTAGGCGGAGATGAGATGCGATGCAGGGATGCGCGCGCATCCAACGGTTCGTAGCGTGCCCGGGGACAGACGTGACTTTGCTGCATGGCGACTAGTTTGCATGAGGGTAGCTAGGCACTCCATGTGTACTTCATTTTCTTCATTCAGATATCTACGTTACAGCATTTACAAACTCCATGACACGTATTGTACCGGCAATTCCATCCAACACCTTCAACGCCTTATCGTATCGCAACTACTTCTGCGCTTCTTCCCTTTTCACTCTGAAGAAGGCCAGTTTGGCGAAACGTCCTAATTGACCCCAGTAGTGCCGACCAGCAGAGTGGTCCATGATCCTCTCTAGTAATCTCACGACCGCCATCCTGACATCCTGTCGAGGATGAAACAAGCCTAGACTAAGATAGAAGAGACCAGCATCTGGGATCACACAGAGCAGCTGCAGGATGGTGTCGTACTGGAGCTGCGAATTCGCCTTGCGCTCAGAGTCATTCGCGATGGAAAGTGACTGGGCCATGGACGACAAATCACTCGAAGAAGCATTCGCACTCTCACTAGGTGGTGAACCCGCTTCTTCAACACACCGCGCAAGTGCAAGATAAATGCCCGCAGATTGATCGTGCGTAAGTTTCAAGCATCGTAACTTGTCGTGCTGGTGGCCAATATCAAGACCGCGCACTGGTCTCTTTTTCCAATGTCTCGCTAGATCTTGAACGCAGCTGTAATAACTCCTTGTGTTGCGCCAGCCCTCGATACGGTGTACGTTTGCAGCGAGCTCGCGTAGCTTATGGTTCTCGTCTGGCCAGACGTAGCCATGGCCAGAGACACCATATGCGCCAACATCGGTCTCGTGGGAGCCAATGTACAATGCCGAAGCGCCATAGACCGTCTCTTCGAAAGCGGCCGCGATGCGGGTGAACTTGAGCACCCACGAACGCCACTTAGCTCGTATAGCATTCTCGCCGTGACGGTTGGCAATGCTCTCGAGAAGTCTGTCCATAAATTGGGTGTCGCCGGTCGGATCGACACCGCCGCCCTTGCCGTCAAAGGCTGGTGGTGCACCTGGCCCATTCAATGGTAGCCCCTGTTGCTGGAAGAACATGGAGCCCTCTGTGGGTGACGCCGTTTCAATGCGATTGCTGATCTTCATGCGACCGGTCGGCAGATCGCAAAGCAGATCCCACCACTCGGGCTTGTAGGAGAACGCTGGGTTGGTGACGCCAGCAATAAAGCCAGGTACCTTCAGCAGGTCATCTACTTTGGTAAGATCGGTATATGGGAACGCATGGCGAACGAAGCCGCGGAGAATGCCGCCCGAGGCCAGAGCACATGCTGCTAGTACAGCTTCAGCGACTTCGCCTGAAGGGCGATTATGTCCGATGAAGATGATGCGCTTCTGTGTGAGGAGGGCGTTGACGAGGACGATGATGGGATGAGTGAATGCGCCGCTCGTGGTCAGATGTGGGTGTAAAGCGAAGGGCTGCGGTTGCGCCGCGTGGGGCGCGGAGAAGGTTTGGATGAGCTTGATCAAGGAGAAGTCGCCCACAGTCTCTGGACTCAAAGCGGTGGGTATCTTGACAGGAACGGGTATGCCGTTATAGTTGATCTTGGACTCGAACTCGTGCGTGTCGCGCGGGACAGTGTATGTCTTCTTGCGCGATTGAGGATCTGAAGATGTTTCGACAGAGTCTCTCGCAGCATCGAGCTTCTTCCGCTGCCGGACCATGAGCTCAAACTTCTCCACGAACATGTCTTTAGCATCGCTAGCGCCAAGCACGAAGTTCTCCAGGGGTGAGAGCCTCGGGAGAAGTGAGAGGTCCATGGCATTGAGGGCGTTGTACAGAGATTCGAGCGTCTCCAGGACAGGTGCTCTGAAGTATTCTTCAAGTGCCAGCAGTAACAGGGGCTTGTATATGTGCAGGAAGGGATGGCGCGTGCATATGGCCATGGCTTTGACGATGGCACCTCTGCGTAGTGTTAGTCTTGCCAAGTTCATGGAAACGTTCTTCCTACCTCTTCACCGTATTGTCCTGCTTGGTGTTGACCAGGTTCAAGACATAGACCAATGGTGGCCCGTCAGGGTCTGGCTCCCCTTCGCTTTCTGTGTCGTCGTCTCCGTCATCGTATTCGTCGTCTTGCTCTTCCGTGCCGGCAGTCGCATCGTCGTCGCCGTCATCTTCCAGGCCCTCTTTCCGCCGCCGTCTCCGCCTCCTGCGCTCTCTCCGTGCCTCGCGCTCCTCCTCTTCGGCTGTGGTGTCCTTGTGCAGGAAGAAGATGGTCCAGTCTTGACTGCGCACGTGGGCCTGATCGGGCAACATGAGCTCTGCTAGCATAGTCTCGTCTCCACTGATAGCCGCCGGGTACTGGTGCTCCATGATGGAGCCGCGGTCAATGTCGAACGAGGCGACCAGGATGTATTCGACATGGTTCTCGACTGCATCGGCGGGATACTGCGAGCGCAACTTGGCGGTGCCTCTGGGAATGGCGGCCATGGAGGACTGATATGACTCGTCGTGCGAGGACTGGATCGACTCGTCTTCGTCGCCCTCGCGGAGCATGGGGGGTTGCGGGGAGCGAGCTTTCGGGTGGTGGCCATTGCGGGTAGAGGGCGATCGCGAGGGAGGGAACGAGGAGAAAGAGGGCTGGCGCTGCAGGGAAACAGGCTGAGCGGCATTGGGCCCGCTTGGCCGCTGTGCGATTACTTCAGCCATGAGTGTCTCCATCTTCTTCTGTACGGGCACCTGGCGACTCGGATGCTACATTATAGATCGACGGCGCTAGGGGAGCCTAATGTAACCGTTCCGAAACAACATGACGCGCTGTAGCTGGCGGTGATGGGGGATTGATCCAGCAGGCCGTGGGTCTGGGAGCGTGAATGGCTACCGCATAGTATCCGGAGCTGTGACTATGCGTGTGACCCGCTATGCTGCCCGCAGAGAGTGAACGAACCCTGCATGCCCACGCCATTGACCCATGTCAGCTTATCGATAGGCTCGTTGCTAGGCCATCCCATTGACAACACCAAACAACGCGACGACCAGCGACATCACCAAAACGAATATACGCACCATGGTATGCTGGACCCTTGGGAATTATGCGGACAAGACTAATCAAGATATGCAGTCTACAACACCAACGCCCTACAAGCCCTCGCCCCTCTCCTTCAACAGTCCGCGCCAGTCGCCCTTCCGCAGACCAGGCTCCATCAGGGAGAGCTCACCGTCTACCTTGCGACCATCGACGCCGAATAGTTCGCCTCTAAAGCCTAAAGAGACTCCGACATCCCCTGCGCAAACCCCCAACCGTCTGTCCATTGGGGGCAACCCATCGCAGAACCCGCCATCCTGGCTGAACACACGGGGGACGACGGGCACCCCAGAAGCGCCCAATTCGCCTTCTCGAAATCTCTCGCCTGGACGCAATGTCTCGCCAACGCGGAATGTTTCCTCGTCTTCGCAGATGACGGTGCGCCCTCTAAGTACATCATCCATCGCAGCCAAGTTTGAGGCCGCTGGGAGGGACGACGCACCACCGCCTCTGTTTAGCAGAAAAAAGTCACCACCTGTCGAGAATATCGAGCCAATTGAGAGCCTCAAGCCAGCCGAGATTCATACTCCGGTTGAGGAGCAGAAGCCGGCTGAGCCCTACAAGCCGGTCGAGACATACAAGCCAGTCGAAACCTTCAAGCCAGTCGAAACCTACAAACCTGTCGAGACCTACAAGCCAACAGAGCGCAAAGCACGACCAGCACCCATGCAACGCATGGCCTCCAGCGACGCCCTCTCCAAACTGCCCCCACCCCTCCTCCACAGCATGCGCGAGTCCTTCAGCGTCATGGACCGCGACGACGACGGTCACGTCAACTCCGCCGACGTCGCAGACATGCTCTCCCAACTCGGTCTCTCGGCCACCCCCTCCCAACTCTCCACCTACTTCAACGGCGCACAATCCATCAACCTAGCGACCTACCTGACCACGCTATCCGACCTCCTCGGCAACCTCTCCCACCAGAACGAACTGACCGCCGCGTTCGAGGCCTTCGATGACAATGACGACGGGCAGATTGATTTGGCGGAGTTGAAGGATGCTTTATTGCATACGGCGCCTGAGGCTGGGGAAAGGAAGTTGACGGAGCGGGAGATTGATATGGCTATTGAGGGGTTTAGCGGGCGGAGGGCTTTCGCTAAGGGAGGGAAGAGTTTGGGCAATAGGACGGAGGTGTTTAGATGGCAGGAGTTTATGTTTAGTCTTACGGGTGGGGGTGGTAATGGTGGGGAGAATGGCGAGGGGGCTGCGGCGCCGGCGTAGATATATCCATGGAAGGCAAGTGCAATTGGGTTTGGTTCGAGTTGGGATTTTGGGTTTATGCGCAAGGAAGTGCGGGTTCATGTATACCAATGAGTATTTGATTTATGCACGAGCAGCGCTTCTTGTTCTCTTATACGACAATGTATCTTGCTGTGAGTGTCATTGGGATTGTATGTGCTAAATGCCTCGATGTCTAGTGCTCAACGTAAAGCCAGTAGAGATGAAGATGAATAGAGCCCGTTGCTTTTCCAACGTACTTTCTTGAGACAAATAGCCTGTTCAAAAAAGGCACACAGTTGTTCAGTTGCTGGTGAGCTTAGGTCGAACAAACACCAAATGCACGATTTCCAAAGGCTCATAGTATTCTGACTACTGATCTTTCCGTTCGACTTCTTCCCCATACTCGCGGCAGCAGAAAACCAATCGCTTTTGAACGAACTGAATCGCGATGTAGCCCAGCAACGACTCTTCAGATCTCTTCCGGCCACGTACTGTCCAGCTTGACCTGATCTGCTACGCCACTCTCAACCTTGACTTTCTTGTCTTCCCTCTCCTCTTCTACGACACCCAGTCCTCTCTTGAGAGACATATTTCCGCTCTCTTCCTTCGCCAGCTTTGCTTTCTTCTTCAACGCCTCCCTCTTCTTCATCTCTTGAATGGCAGCTATCCACTCCACCATACCTGCTGTGTTCAGAGACCCCACGCTCTGATATCGGAATCCCTGCTCGATAACTTCGAGTAGATCAGGCTCGGCAATCGGCTTCCTGACTTCTGGGCACGGAGATGCGCGATTGATGCAGTCGCGGAGTGCACGGATGATGACGTGAGGCGACGAAAAGCGCATGGTCGTCTCAGCTGGTAGGTCCGGAATGGTTATTGAGCTGTCTGCTCCCCTGGATCTATCCCATGTCAATGAACTGTAGTGCGGGATGGGGTCCAGGCTCTGGTATGTGTCTGAGCCCCATGTCTGATATCCGGGCGCCGAGCAATCTGCTGAGAAGAAAACAATTCTCTTTTGGTTTGTGTTGACTCTTGAGAGTTTTAGTGAGTGGGTGGAGTAATCTCTTCCAAGCCAACTGCCATAGCGAACGTAGTGCACGCTTGCTAGTACCATGAGTTAGCATCCAGATCGTACTTGAGATTGTGTGTCAAGAGCTTGAATGCCAGTGACTGATTGGTATAGACTCACTTGAGGCATTTCGAAGATCGACTTCCTTCCTTATGTAAGTTCGTTGGTTGATATGCGCCCTGCCAGACCAACCTTCAAACCATACTGTGCCTTCGGTAAGATCGATGTGTAGTACTCCGACCTCGCCGTTGTGAATGGGTTGTGTGCGACAACACGCCATGAACAGGTGATTTGGCCAAGATGTAGAGTCTCTTGCGAGCTTGCGACTGATAGGCTGGGGTGAAACTTGGATCAGGCGGTGCTTGGAGTCGCTCTTTTTTATCTTGGTTGCGTGGGATGCTGGAACTTCTTTTCGGCGATTGACAGGGACTCTAATGGGGCGAGTCTCCATAGTCGAGATGATGCTGAGTCCTGAAAGTGGAGGCTGAACAATGCGTTCCGGCGTGGGAGTGGTTGTGATTGTCTGAATCGGACTGATGAATAGTCTTGGTAGCGGAGTCTCCATACGTTCCGGTGTGGGATTAGTTATCGTCGTCTGAAACATACTGATGGACAGTTTCGGTAGCAGGATCTCCATGCCTCCATGGTCTGATGGGATTTCGGGTTCTGTCTGCGTAGAGGCAGATGCCACCATCCTTCCATCGTCTAAGCCTCTGAATGTCCAGTCCACGACTCCACCGCTCCTACCTTGATAAGTCGTCTTCAGCACTCCGTCGTTCTTGATCAAGCGTAGACTCAGCCCTACTGCGCTGGCTTCAAGACCGAATCCCGGCTTTTGAACAAACCCGAAATCGACATCATCTGCGCCGTCATCGAAATCTTCGTCGTCTAAAACATGTACCTTCGGCTCTTTGTTTGGTCGCTCATGGACCAATGTAAGCTTTCCTGATTGTAGGTCGTGAAGATAGAGCGCAAGGCCCGCAGACTTGACAAGGAAGGCTCGCATGTTCGATGCCTTACTCTTGTAGGAGGGAGGCAACCTGAGCGCTGGAAGGTGACCAAGTCAAATAAAGCTGATGATCGCCAGGATAGCCAATGGGGCGAGCGAGTTGTAAAGAAAGAGCCAAGAAGTTAGCAAGCGGAGTTTTATATATGGATATGGAAGAGGCTGACACTCCGCTATCGTCTATGTGTCTCTTACCAGCACATGTCAAAAGATGCGATTCAAAACATGAGTCTCAGAGGTGATAGTCCCCTCGCACGATGGCGAATATCAATGAACGTTTCGCATCAGCATGAAGAATATAGTGTGATCGAAGTAGCTTAGAGACAACTCCACAACCTGTGGAACTTCATGCCAGTCATCCGAGGAGCTCGACAGTTAAGTCATAATGAGATTCGCGCTTGCCGATAATGTGGAGAAAAAATGCCCTGGTGGATGTCTTCATGGCGTCTACCAAGGCCACTGATCCGCTCGCGATTTCACTTGTACAATCCGAGGATATCAGTCTTTCCCAGTGTATGGAAACAGAGATAGTCCTGAACTGTCGCTAACAGAGGTTTTTCTGTCGGAGGTCCCAGGTCGAGGCATTCGTCACTTCCTACGTTGAGGCTCTGCAAACGTGAACGGGCTACCCTCGGCGATGAATGTTCGGGCTGATGACACAACATACCAGCCTCTTCCTTTCTCAAGCCGACCGACTCGATCCCGAGACGGGCCATGATCAATGACGGTGAGCAAAGATGGGAAACAAAGAACATGTTCGTCCATTAGGAGCCGTTGCCGTGGTTCATGCATGGATGGAGGCCTTGAGAACCCTGTAGCTAGCGTAGGCTGGACACGTCCGGTGGCTCCTGCCATTGGAGGACAGCACACGTGATGTACAACACATCGGCGCGGATTAGAAAGCTTCAAAAATTGCCATCCAGTCGTTGGATAATGGCTTTGAATAGTGTTGAAATAGGCCTGAAAGCGGCTAGCACTGGTGAGCTGGCCGAAAGAGGTCGCAGCTATAATATGTCATCGGGCGCCCATTGGTTTAGGCGTTGCAGCACAGACGCAGTTCGCGCGCTGCATGAGCGATTGGAGAGCTTCCACCATTTTATATCTTGACCCGACCCCTCCTCACATCCCACCGTTGCTCCATACCGAACATGAGTGGCCCGGGAGAAAATCGGTATGTCTGAGACAATGCGCACGCGAAGCTGTGGGAGCTCATGCATACTGACAACTGGTACAGCTGGCGGCGGCAGGGTCAAGCCAACCGCAACTCCAACTCGGGCGCAAACACCCCCACCAAGGACAATGCAGGCCGGCAGCAGGCCATGCCAGCGCCCACGGGGAACGTATGGGGAGCCAAACAGGGGAAAGGATCAGGCCCCGCGGCTGCACCAGCTCAAGCGCAGCCCGACCAGCACGTACCTGTGAAGGAATTCAATGCGAACGAGGTCAGGGACTTCCTCAAGAAGAGTACGTCTATGGCATTGCTGGTACACGATAGGGCATGAGCTAATCGATTGCAGAATACCTTGAGAGCACAGCTAGTATGAACCTCTCTATCACCCGTGCGTATGTCCAGAGGACTAACATGCATTCAGACCAACCCTCGGTATACCACAAGGTCCCCGGTGACTCTGTCCCGACCCGAAGCACTGGCGCATGGGGCAAAGGAGGTAAGGCGCCATCGAACCGCCACTGAGGCTGGCATACTGACAGAGATCAGGCACCATGACACACCTCATGCCGACCGGCCAGGACTTCTTCACACAGCTGAAGAAGCAGATCGCCAGTCTCGAGCAGACCAAACCCGCGCAATAATCGCATACACACCCGATATCTATTTCAGCGGCATTATGAGGGCATTACAGGAGTTCTGTGGGCATTGAATTGCATGGGCGCTATATGGCAGTACCTATAGCGGCATGAGTAAGGTCATGTTCAGGCGTCTTGGAGTTTGTGAGCGTGTTTCGGCCCAGCTTAGGATGATCGCACGCGATACCCATCTTGAAAGTGTTTGGGGTTCAGGTTACACAGCATTGGAGAGCGTTCGGATGTAAAAGGTCGTATTGTCTGACATGTGTCTGAGTCAAAACGTGCTATCAGCTATGAAGAATCCACAGTCGTTACTATATCAGACACAACTGCTGCATACTAGTATATGAGTGAAATACGACCGTCATCGTATCAAGGCCACCTGCTACCAGGATACCCATACCCCTTTCACTCGTGCAAAGAAGGGTCCACAAGCCTTCGCGCAAGCCACTAATTCCAAACAACCGGCAAGCGTCAACAAACACCAGGCTCGACGGCTGGACGGCAACCGAGGCTCCATCGTTGTCATTTTGCACGCCTTCACTGCACGCGCTCTATCGCTAAGCGGCACAAGCCACTTATCATCACGCATCATAGCACTTGGTACCTGAGGCGCATCTCCGCAGCCACAGCCAAGGCCGCACCATCGCTGAAGCTCTGAGGCCGTCAACACGCCGATACCCCGCCACAGGACCTCCTATCCCAGCGCAATTACATAGACTTTTGGCGGCTTGTTAGGGCAGAGCCGCGTCGTGCAGGTGCTGCGAGGCTGACGCGCATTGCGCGCCCTGGATCACGGTTCACTCCCGCGTAGATCTCCGACTGGGGACTCCTAATGCGGTCCGCCTTTGTTCATTTCCGCGACTTCACGAGCCTTCGACGTGTTCGGAACACCGGCGACTATCGCAATACCACGACAACGCCATGTCGTCCCCTCCCAGCACTCCCACCCAGCGGCCTGCATCTTCGCACCGCCGACACCCCTCCAGCCTAGACATGTCACACAACACCGCATCGAGACGGCAGTCCTTCACCCGCCGCAACTCTGGCTACTCGCCCATAACGCCGCGCTCATCGCATGAATTCGAACACAGCCCTGCGCACCAATTCGACGGCGGAGGAGACGGCAATGGCTTGGGCAACTTGGCCGACGAGCTCGGCGAGATGTACGACGATGATGACGAGGGCATGGAGGGCGAATACGGCGAGGAACTGGACGAGGCACAAGACGAGAACATCGGCACGGCTGTAGAACACGACGGCTCTTATGGAGTCGACAGCGCAGCTAGCCTCAACGGTGTACGGGATAGTGGGGTTGCCATGCAGGACTCGTCTCCGGCGCGCCTCAGTCCAGGGTCGGCCGTTAAGACGAAAAAGCACACAAGGCAACGGTCGCTGTACGATGGCTCCGACTACGGTGACGACTCTGACCTGGAAAATGAGGGCATCTCGCCCGCGCTCGACGCGCGGATGGCTGCTATCGAGAGTCTGGCACGGAGAGGCATGGAGGAGAATGGGAGCGCATCGGACGAGGTGGTGAAGAGGGTTACACAACAACTCCGAGATCTTGGCAGCCAGATTGCTATGGAGAACGGAGCGACGAGGTATGTTACAATTCGCAGACGTGTCCAGTCATATCGCTAACAACCCCCAGACTAAAGACTGCCCATGAGGCTCTGACAACGCATCTGACACACCAATCGCGTACCCTCACGTCCATCGCCGTATCCTTCTCAGGCCCGTTCGCCATCTTTCCCGACCCAGAGGACATCGACGAACTTCTCCCCATCATACAGACCACACTGGAGCTGCTACCCCACCCTTCCGCCGATCCGCTCGTTGCCATTTCCCACCTCACCCACTCCAGCCGCGAACTCATCCAACACCTCTCAAACGTCAGCGATACCCTACACATGTCACGGCAAACTACGGCGAATGCAGCCAGACGGCTCAAAGTCAGCAAAGAGCAACTGCAGGACTGGAAACGCGACAACGAAAAGACGCAAGAAGGACAGGAATACATTGAGCATGGGGACTGGGACCGACGGCTCAAAGAGAGGGAGGCGAAACGGGCTTGTGCAAACGTGCTGGATGGGTTTGAGGACGTCTGTGGACAATGGAGGAAGAGACTTTGTGAGGGTCTGGGCGTTGCGAGTGCGTAGAACCTCCCTGCGTGTCTCTCTGGGCTGTTCTACCTCAGCGAGTCTTTTGCAGGGCTCACGACTGACCCAGTACAGGCGCGGATGTCCCGGACGAGGACGCATACATTCGCCCTTATTGGCACCCTGCCTCCGCCAGCACAGTGCCGGAACCGCCGGCAGAGTCTGAGTGGTCAGACTGCACTCCGGTGAAGGCGGCGCCCAAGAAGCCGACTCAACAAACCAGCACAGACTCGATGTTTCCAAACTCTTCGGATGAGATGCATTGATCACCACTTCTTTTTCCTATGTTGTATTTGTTGCATTGATATGGCATGGCAGTAAGGTGTTTTTGGCGGCGGCAACTGATAGATGGAGAACCTGGTAATACCCCATTTATATCTATAGCTTCAGGACAAGCGCTTGTCTCATTTGTAGGAGTTGGGGGCCTTTTGATAGATGAAGAATGAAAGGCATTACAGTATTGCAGGTGGGAAGACGCTTTTGGAGTTGTACTTGGTGGGATTATGCTAACTATGAGATTTGATAACAGCTACAGACGATATAGCTCATGCTAGCTTCCGGATCGAGCTTACGTCGCTTACTCCGGTACCTTCGACGACCTTTGCCTCGATGACTTCATACACAGGCACCTCCTTAAGTCTCTCGACGATGTGATGCAGCGTTGGCAGCGCCTTCCAATCCAAAGCATCAAAAGAGATATCAGCCGAGCTCGCCTTCAACGTCCGCTCGACCTTCTTCTCCACCGTCTTCGCATCCTCCTCACCCGGCAGAAAAGCGGTGTACTCCACATCCGCCTGCCCGCGCTCCTTGCTACCCATGTTACCAGTAGCTGGTACATACTTGTGCAATAAGAGGCCCTCGTCTTTCGGAAGAGGAGGAGAGAGTCTTGGCGCTTCACCGTTCGTTGCAGAATGTTCCTGCAGCCCGGACAGTGACATGCTGCAGAACTTGGATGACATCCAGCCTGCGTCGAGCGTCCACTTGCCGTCGTCACTCTTCACATCGAGCTCTGCGAAAAGCTTGGGGAAGCCTAGTTCCTCCCTTCCACTCAGTATGGGATCAGCCAGGTTCTCGAAGAGGACAGGCAGGTATGTGCCCGTCACCGTCTCGCCATCCGCTTTCGTGTGCTGGATGCCATGGATGTACAGCCCGAAATGACTGTATCCTCTACCACCAAGCCACTCGAGATTGTCTAGCTGCGTCACCGCGAAACTCGCATAGCAAGCTGTATCGGCAGCCGCAAACTGCAACTTCTCCGTCGGCAAGAGGTTTTCCAACACAGTCCGGCTCGTCTTGAACTTGATACTAGCAGTCTTGAACGTAGCCTTCGACCCATCTCTCGGCCGTCCAGCGAAGTCTTGCCTCGGGCCCGGCATGGGACCAAAAGCAGTAGGCATCCGCCAGAACAGACCTTTCTTGTTCTCCCACTCCCATTTGCGGAGCATTTGGCTGGAGTAGTCCCATTCGTCGTGGCCGAAGTTGTAGTTTGTGAACTTGTGGGGGTCGACTGGTGGGCCGCTGCCGAGGTCTTTGCCTGCTACGCGAGAGTACTCTTGGATTGTGGAGGCGCGTTCGTATCTGCATTTTTCGTAGAGCTTGAGGCGTGCAGGGATGGAGTCGAGGGGTGTGTCTAGTGGGAGCATGACGGCGAGGGAGGCGGCGTCTTCGATGGCTTGGCCTGCGCCTTGTCCTTGGTCTGGGCTGTGGTCAGCTTGATTCTCGTTACGATGATGAAGCGAGGACTGAGCTTACGAGGTGTAAATGGATGTGCAGCGTCGCCGATAAGCACCAGCTTCTCATCTGTCCAGGTCGGCAGTTGGTCCATGTCCAGCAACTCCCACACCTTCAACGTCTCCTCGTCCGCCATACCCAGCAACTTGAGCACCGCAGGCTCGAAGTCCTTGTACACATCCAACATCTTGTTCAAGTTACCCTGGTTCTGCCAGTCACTGCTACCTGGCTCTTCCGGATCAATCTGACTCTCAGACGTCGGATGAATACAAACAAAGTTCAACAACGTGTTGTTCGACGTCGGGTACACCACCACTCTCCGATCCCGCGCAAAGATCATAATGAGATGACCCTCCTTCTCCGCAAACTTGCGCGTCGTCTCATCATCCAACGCCCGCTGCCTGGGAATCAGGAAACGGAACGCGCTCTTCCCACTCCCAAAAGTCTTGATGTTCTCCGCACCAGGGATACGCGGTCGAGTCTTGGAATGAACGCCATCTGCGCCAACAACAACGTCGCTCTGGATCTTCTCCCCATCTTCTAGTACAACAACACCCGCCTTAGCATCAACATCCACAACCTTCGCCCTCAATCTAAGAACAGCCGGCTTCCCCTCCCCCTCCTCACACGTAGCCAGCCTCTTCAACTCACTGTGCAGACTCACGCGATGCCCAAGCTGCCAGGGATGCTGCCACCGCGCTGCGTCATGCTCGAGCGGCACGGTAAAGAGTTCCTTGCCATTCGGCAGCATCTGCGTCATCAGACGACACGCTACAGCGCCTTGGGCTTCTGGGACCATGCCCATGCGGCGGAGGAGACCGTTAGCGTTGGGTGCGAGGTGCACGGCTGCACCGAGTTCGTTGGCGAAACGAGAGGCTTCGAGGAGGGTTACTGCGTGCCCGCGTTGACGCAGGAAGATGGCTGCGCTGAGCCCGCCGATGCCAGCGCCGCATATTGTTATCTTGAGGGGCTGTGTGGATGGGGGTGTGTGCCCGTTGGTACCGTTGGTACCGTTCGTGAAGTGCATGATGGGTGTGTATGAGAGAAGCGTTGCAAGATGCTTGAGGTTTGCAACAGCTCAGTATGAGAAGAGAGCAAAGAGTATGTCTCAAGCCCCAGAAGAAAGTTGTCTAGATAGCTCTGCCAACTAGATCCCCTCTACTTCTGCCGGTTCACAAATCGTGTTTGCCTTGATGATCGGTTCAAGATGGGGATGGGCCCTCCACTTCCCGGCGCTGTGGGTGGGCATACGGGTTAGTATGGGTGGGTTGGTGGTAGACTGATGCAGGGCACTGCGAAGGCACCTGTCGGAGTCCGAACGTGATTACTATCTGCGGAGTGAGCCGTCGCAGTTCGCAGGCTAAATGCGATATGGGTGGTGGTTGGTGGCGCATGCTGACTGAGCCGAGGATGCGCGTATGTGGTGTTGCTGCACGTATGTCATGAGGGACGCCTGAACGAGATCGACATGCGCTTTGGGTGATATACTCTGGAATGAAGCATAGAGCACTGCAGATATGATTTTGACGTTTCACGACAGATTGCAGCAGTATCATGGATGTAGAAAAGAATTGAGCATTGCGAGCGCCGGAAAAATGTTGGTCTATGTACACCAAGTCCCTCACCACTCCCCACCAATCTTGTATCCGACATTCCAGAATCGTCCCAGAGTATTCCGCCACGCTTTGGACATTGTCTGCGTGGTTATCAGCATGCATGCCCTTCTAACCAAGCTAAAATACTCACCGATTCCAAGAACACGCCTGTGAACATGACTCCGACAAATGCTTGTTCAATGCCGTTCAAATAAACTCTCCGCTCGCTCTGGTCGAGTTCGTGGTTGATCGGGCGGTACGCAGGCACACGGCGATGTTCCGTCGGCCAGTCGCTAGGATTCTGCTGCGATTGCGTTGACGACGAATTCGGTGCGGGATGCGCATTAAGGCTTGTGTCGAGTCCCTCAGTCTGTTCCCCGCTGTGATGGAGATCGTAGTCTGCGAGGGTGGCCTCGAGGTTGTAGTGGATCGGGTTGGTGGTGGTTGTTACAGACATGTTGACAGCGATAGCGAACTTGGTGGGACAAAGTTGGGCGACGACGTCTATGGTATCAATCAACAATATTACTACCCCGAGCGACGTGAGATGGAAGTACGCGTCCCTCGCGGTCCGAAAGTTGGAGACACGCGGAGAAGCTGGGGGCAGGGGTCGCAACCGTCGGAATGTGGGGGGTTCATCGCGCCCGCGTACTGTCGGCAGCATTGCCGGCGCAAATGGGCTGACTGCCGTGTCAGAACATCCGTACACCTCCTAGAGCTTACATTACATATCGCAGTCTGGAGGACACTTCTTCTGGAAAATCATCGTTGTTGTTCGGTCTGTTCCTGCCATTCGTAATGTCGTCGCCCATCACCCCCGAAGTTGCGCTGGCCAATCTCCAGGCGACTGCGCTTACTGCCCGCTGCCACAACGCTCTTTTCCGTCTCAAACAACTCAAATCGCTGCACGATGCGTTGCGCAACAACAGCAATGCAATCGCAGATGCTCTGAAGCAAGATACGCACGTGTCTGATGAAGAGGCGATCACCGAGGTTGCGCTTGCCCTAGATGTGGTCAAGGAGCATTATGGCTCGATTGATGCGGCCAAAGAGCTGGAAGCCGAGTACAGAATCACCAATGGCAAAGATGCTAGTGATAAGAGAGAACCTTGGGGTGTTGCGTATATCGAGCCTCAAAGAAGTCATACGCCATTCTTCTCGGTCATTGCACCTTTGAGCGCTGGTCTCGCAACCGGCAGCTGCATAGCACTGAAGGTCAGTTTGCTGCAGACTTCAATCCGGAACGTCATCTAACGATATTGCAGCTCGAAAACAACCTTCGCGCACTTCCTTCTCTGCTCCGAAAATTGCTTACCGAAGCCCTCGAATCAGATACCTTTGCTGTCATCGCCTCCGACCCTCCTTCAGACTCACTATCAGCCTGTCTACAGGTATTCCAAGAGACACAAGTCAGCTCGCCAACATACACACAACTCGTATCACCACGAAACAAGATCGTCGCAGTTGTGGACCGCACAGCAGATCTCGCATCAGCAGCCGAGCAACTAGTAACAGCACGCTTCGCATTCGGAGGAACATCACCATATGCACCCGACGTCGTCCTCGTTAACGAGTTTATCAAGAAAGAGTTCCTAGAGCACGTTCTTCGACACTCCCTCCCCTTCCTGGCTGGATCCAGTGGCGTGTCAAACGGCTCAACAAACACAAGAGAGCACAAGAAGTCTTCACGCGTAGCAGAAACCTTCCAAGGACTCACGGACAGCAAGTCATGGAAGCTGAACACCATAACACAAGGCGACAACGGCGCCGTCGTCGAGCTCTCCAACCTCTCCTCCCTACCATCCAAGTCCCCACAACCCGTCTTCTGCGTCTCAGCAATCACATCTTTGGAACATGCCATCAGCCTCGTCGAGGACGACCTAGACCCCCAACAGAGTCTGCTGGCTGCATACCACTTTGGCACCCCGTCTACGGGCAAGTACCTCTCACAGTTCGTCAACGCCGACGCGTCATTCACGAACAACATTCCCTTCCGTCTGCTTCTCGGCCCGGCTGCTCCGTCTTTCCAGCCCGTCGATGTGGAGAAGCGATACACAGCCCAGCACTTCACTCGTATCTCGCCTGCGTACATCGCAGCACCTGCTTCGCAAGCGACATTGTTAAAGGTTCTTTCGGGTAAGGACTCGAAGAAGGCGGCGGCAGAGCTTCTTAGCAAAGCGACGCAGGAGATTAGAGAGAAGAAGCGCGCTGAGTCAATCGCAATTGGTTACTTTGAGCAGGGTATCTTTATCGGGTTGGGTGTGTACGGTATTCCTATTCTGACATGTATTGGCTCGGCACTTTTCTTTGGTGTGCGGGCGGGCTTGAGGAGGTGGGCTTTTGTTTGAGGGTGGGGTGTAATATAGATTGAATGGTATTGCGCATTCTTACAGAGAGCTAGGTCATCGTGTTGCGTGATTGTCGTGATGCGCTAATTATGAAGTTGGCAGCGCGATGCTCGCTGGTCATCAAGAACAAGGGCGGCAGACTTAGGAGAAAGAGCTAGAATTACGGTTCACTTGTACACCACGAGGAAAATCAGAGAAGACACGCTCAATGAAGACATTAATCCGAGATTGCACACTACGGAATACAGTGAGCACTAACGGAGCTACTCAGCAATAATTACCCCAGGTCGGTCCGCATCTCTCACTACAAACCCGCGCCCTCAGGAACCCACTTAGCAGTCCAGATCCTCAACCGCTTCCCCCAGATTAACATGGGAATTGTCAACAACCCAAACACACCCATCAGCATACCAAAGATACCAAACGGCTCCGCAGCACCCTGATGCGTAACCCACTCGCCCACGAAGAACGTCCATGCGAAACTGATAATAGCCCGCACGCATGTGACAGCAACAAAGCAGTCGCCAGCGAGCACCCCGTAGGATTCAATCAGGTAGTTGAAGCCAACGGAGGGCGCTTGCATGAGCCCGAGAGCGACAAGTCCGAATCCGAATTGCAGACCAACCCAGCCTGTAGGCGAGGGGTTCTGCGCTACGAAGCCGAAGATCAGAGCGCCGATTGTGGCGAGAGCGAGAGCGGGCAGTGCGGTGACGAGACGAGACTCAGGCTCCGAGAAGCCGTGAAGGTCTTTCTTTGCGAGGCGCTTGGTTGCGAAGTCGGCGATGAGATAGGTGTAGACCTAGAGGTAACGTATTAGTAACCGCTGACCCTGATGGTAGGGTTGTAGGTACTTACGCATCCGAGAAGAGCACCAAAGATACCGCCGATGTTGATGAGTCCGACGTTCTTTCCCCATAGATAAGGCGGCGCGGCAACGAGTTGAGGTCCCACACTCGACATGGTGACGATGAGGCCGACGAGTCCGGCGTACCACCCTGATACTAGCCACACACCCGGTAATCTGAGAGTCTTGTATGGTGCGAGGAAGTTTTGCACGAGACCAGGGCGGTAGGACCAGAGTCGAAGAGACTTAGCGTAAGAGTAGGATGGGTAAGAAGATGGGGTAGCGGCATCTGCGACGACGACTCTCTCTTTGGTCTCAACGGTTTGCTTATCGGGATCGTCGGAGAAGGTGACGGTGGTTGATTTGCGGTCGTAGAGAGTTTCGGCTTGGAAGAAGAGGCAAAGGACGAAAGTGATAGCAGAGAGGAGCACGTTCATCCAATGGAGCCAAGAGAGGCCCATGTCTGCGACGATATAGCCACCCGCGACGGCGCCTACGAGGGAGCCGAAGGACAACATGACCGTGTATATGGCCTGTGGGCGTTCTGTTAGTGCCAGTATACTCGAAAGATGTGGAAAAAAAGACTTACCAAAGCACGTCCACGCTGATGGACAAAGAATATCTCGCCAACAACATCCGGGCTCACAGCATCAGCCGGCCCACCCCCGATACCCATGAAGATCCTCGCAGCCACCAGACTGTTGAAGCTAGTCGCAAGACCAGCCCACATACTCGAGAAAATCAGGAGCAACAAGCTGCCCAGCACGACCGGGCGACGACCGAATGTGTTCGCCAGCGGAACCCACCACAAGTTCGACGCGCCCAGCATGAGAATGTTGCACGCGATGAAGTACGTCAACTGCGAGAACGTCTTTGGCGGGAAGCCAAACACGCCGGTAGACGCGTAGATGGGCAATGCACTCGAGATGGAGGCACTGGTGAAGTTCACAACGAACGGATGTATCGACATGACGGCCAGAACTGCGAGCTTGCGCCACATGGGCAGGTTGAGAGGATCCGCTGGGTCGGCGGATGGCTGAGGCACGAGGCGGATTTCATCGTGACCTGTTTGCGACGCTGTCCATTCGAGATGTTCTGATGGTAGCTTCGTTAGCAAGAAAGACGTTCAGGGGAATTGGTGATGTCTTACCAACGAGCGTTGCGGTTCCTGGCGGTCGGGCATTCTTCACCTCCTCTTTCGAGATGCTGAACGCCTGCTTTAGAGAAGTCATCGCCATGAGTTAGTAACAATACGATGAATCAAAAAGTAAGCCCGAGAGCCACGGAGATGATTATGCGATGCCAAGGGTATACAACAACAGTGGTGTTTGTGGCCATAGTCCTCCAATCTAAATAGACCGCACGGTCGAACCGTTGAACAACACGCCTTTGCAAGGCACGTCGGTGTGTTACGCCTGGCATCTCGCCGTCGACAAATCAGACAGGCTTCATAGCGCCTCACAACACTCTCATTGGACGCTTGGACTCCATCGCATCCCCAGTCTGGGGTAAGTCGGGATGTGGAGGCGACCAAGACCATCTGGATACGGCCAAGATTTGCGGGGTTTGCATCTGGAGAAAGCTAGTTGCAGCGGATTGTGCAAGGGAGAAGCTAACATGACGGCGCGAGATCGAGTTTGGAATCCTTGGATTTGACCTTTTCCGCCTGTGCGGTGGAAGGATGCAGCGAGATGCATTGGCATGTGGAGAACGGGTGGGGAACGTGCGCGGCTTTGCTGCATGTGTACTGTGACAGTATTGCCTTGGCGTGATGAGCAAGCATTGGGTATTTACGGGCGTAAGAACCATCCAGAGCGCTGGGCTCGAGGTCGGCACCAAGGATTGATGGTCTTGATCGCTATTCACAGGCTTGAAGCGGGAGTCATCCATCCGCGTGGGCTGGCTCGCGGGCGCTTGAATTAAACCGAACATCCCATAGATGAGATATGATTATTACCAAATGTTGATGAAGTATAGCAATGCGCCGGCGCTTCATGAAATCCTACATATAGTCGTACATGCGCGAGTTTAAATTACCATCATACATACTGACTTGCTCATTTGATGGCAGATCGCAGGCCTTCCAGCAATTGCACCAAGTTGCCGACCAGCGGCGGAGAAGGTTCTGACGCGTCATGATGCGCTCGAAGCAGTTGCGTCAAACCGTCCATGACTCCGCAAACATCGCTCAAATGGGTGGGATGTTGTGATCCGGAATTCTTAATCGCTGGAATACCACGATCTAGAGTGATAAACTTGCGGGCGCTCAACGAGTCGTCCCCGTTGAGCACAACAGCCGTGTCGATCTGTTCGGTTGTTACAGATCGTCTGAGAAAGCCGTAGACCCATAGTATGAGCCCCGCGTGATACACAGCAATGGCGTTGAAGTTACTAAGCAGAGCTTTTGGTAGCACTTCAGCGGCGCGCAAGATCTGACCAGCGTGCCACAGTGCTTGACGCGCTGAGGGAGTCTTTGCCCAGTCTCGGAGGCCAGGGTACGCGCTGCGTGCTTCTTCTTGCCCTTCGATACCCGCGAAGAGCTGAATGTCATCGAGAGGTGCGTTGAGATGAACTAGCAACATCTCCAGTGTTATCTCAACGCTCTTAGTCATGGGAGGTGTGCTGAGCCTGAAATCTTCCAGCTGCTTTGTGAGCTCTTGGTAGCGCGATGACAGAATGAGGCTGTTGGTTGACAGCGACTGTGACCTAGATGTCAAGGCGCACATCTGACGATATTCCCATATTGGACCCCACATTAGATACAGATAAGTCGAACTGGCATAGTCATGCTGAGTGAGGTGTTCCAAATCAAGTAGGCATTCGGTCGCCGATGGTCGCTTCGCAGTTGCCGATGCATCATTCAGGTACGCCATTTTCCAGTTTGCAGCGGATTTGGCCTGCCATAATGAGTTCGAACTCGGCAAGGGTAATTGCATCTCCGCGTAGGAAAGCAGTGGTGGCTTAAGCAATGCCATCGACGACTGCCGATCGAACTCGAAGGCGCGATGAACCAAGCGAAGAAAGGACTCTTGGTTAACCCAACTCAGCCATTTGTCTTCCAAAACAGGGCCCTGATCGTCAGGAGACGGACTGATCTCTTTCCAAGTCGAACGACGAAAGCGACCACCACGGCGAAGCATCGTCATCAGCGGCTGGAGAAAGCTCTCTGCAATCTCCATCTTTCGGCTGATGCCACTCCACATGCCAACTTTGAGTTGCAGCAGGAACGTCTGCAAGTGCTGAAGATCCCTGATAGCTGTGTTGTCCTCTTCGAATGATTTGGACTGCCCTAATCTTGAAGCCTCATGCAGAGCGTAGCCCAGCTTTCGCAAAGATATGTCAGGAAGAGTGGCCGCTCCAGCAGACACGACAGAAGCAAGCAACTCCGGGTTCAACTTCGAGGGTGAAAAAGTAGGAAGGTGAAACCACGTTGGCGCGTCTATCGATGGCGATGAGAGGAAATACTGGATCAGACCGTCCAGTAGTTCCATACTAGGAAATGCCGATGCAATACGTTTGACGTTCTCTCGGCTACAGGTGTCGAGAACCAAAGCCATCAACCGGTCGCGGCTGGCACGTGGTAGTCTAGAAGGAACGTCAGTATAGATCTATTGTACGCCATAATCGCGGAGCTAAACATACTTCTCTGCCACGACGCGGCGGTGTGTGAAGTTTGAGCGTCTATAACCGTCCTTCTCTGTGTCCGGGACAGCCAGGTTGACTTGTTCCGCGGTGGGGTTCCTGGAACGTTGTGGAAGATAACGCCAGATGCTCTGCTTGAATGCTTCCGCCCTCACAGGAGCCGTATCAGTCTCAGGTACGGGTTGCTCAGCGCCATGAGCGTCCGTGGATGGTGTATCAGCAGCGAACGGGACCTGGAAGTTGTATTGATCAAGGAGACCGAGATCAAGGTCGGTCAAGCCAACATCCAGATCGAAACTGAGGTCCATAATACCCCGTGGAGTTGCCTGACCAGACAGGAACGCTTCAAATGGGGGCATGCTGCGGAAATAGTCTGGCAAGAAGGGATTGTGCCCTGGCGTGTTGTCAAAGTGCGCAATCGAATTATCGAAGAAAGGCATAGATGCGCTCGGGTCTTCGTAGTTTTGGTTCATCGCGACAAGGCCGCCGCCGTTGTTGGGCGGTGGTGGCTGCATGTCGCCCATACCTGCTGTCCTTGTCTCGAGATCGCCAGAAGCTACGGAGTGTCGGTGCATTGTATTCGCGTCGGTAACGACTAGGGTCGCGTGGTTGTGAAATGGTTCTGGAGTCTCTGAGGTCGTAGATGCAGATGTATTGACGCTGCCGCCGTGAGCCGGCAGCGATGAGGGGTAATCGAAGCCATTCGACAAATCGAGCAGATCCTGCGCCGCATGAACTGCATCAATCTCATGTATGTCGTTTTCGTCTGTAACCGGGACTTCAGGTACCCGGCAGGGTATCTTCTTCTTCTTGCATCGACTGCATGGCTTCTCGTCCTCGCAGCGGAGATGGCTTTGGGAGCAAGCTTCGCAGGCCTGAACGACTCTGGTATCGCGAGCGATCTCGCGCTTTTGTCGCTTGCTTGCAGGCTCTGTGTCGTGATTTGTTACATGTCTTTTGAGTAGATCTCTGTGACATGTCAGCGGAGTATAACCTTTTGCATGCAATGAAGCACTCACATTCGCGCAAAGCCTTTAGAACACACGGGGCAGATGTAAGGCTTAGATTTTGTATCTGTCAGTGCTGGATTAGCATGGCGAATGGGACATGATGAACATCATATGCGAACAAGATGTTCAAGACGCGAAAAAGCAGTTCTTTCGGCGCGAGTCAACGACGCGAACGCGTCTGACGCCATTATGACGGCCAACTAGCTTCAATTGCAAGTAGTCAGGCACACGGCTGACGGACCACATTGTTCACTAATTCTAAAAGCACTTACGCGCCCTCACGTGCCTCGTAAGGTGATCCGCTCTCGTGAAGGACCGTTTGCAGGTGCTACACTGGAATAGGCGTGGTGGTTCGGCTTCTGCACTGGCTAGCTGGACATTTGCTGATGTCGGGGCAGTCTGCATGCTGAGGTGCTATCGGGTGGCTTCGAAGAACGATGGCATCGGGACGGAGGGACAGAGGAAAGTGGAGGGAAGCTGGAGATAAGGTTGTGGGTGGAGAGGAATGCGGAGATCGACAGGACGCGGGCGTGCCTTCTTCCCCTCGGCTAGACGCTCGGCCTCTCCTCCAACCCTCCCCACATTACGACTTTTGCCGCCGTAAGCACCTGGGATTGCCTATACAGCGCTGATCATAATGGGTAAAGCTTCCAGTGAAGCCGCGTGTTGGATACGACGTTTGCCAATCTGGCCGTGTGATATCAATATCGCGACAAGTCCGCCACAACCTCGCGACACGGACATCTAACCTGATCATCTACTATCTTGGTCATCCCTTCCAACTCAGTCTACTGCTGAAACAACACACCGCAATGGCGCCACCCGTACACTTCTTCTCCCATGGCTCAACAATGATGCTGGGCGAGGAATCCCAATCCGCCACCTATTGGAAAGCCTGCGGCGACGAAGCCCTCTCCCACGGCTTTAAAGGCGTGATTATGATGGGCGCGCATTGGGACGCCCGCGGCGTGAACCGCATCGACGTAGCCATGAACCCCAAGCCCATCAAATCGCCCGTCGCATACGTCCACCCCCGCAAATACAAAGACTACGAGCTCGTCCCCGATCTCGAGAGCGGAAAGAAGTGCATAGCAGCGCTGAGGGAAAAGGGCATCGATGCGCGACCGAATGAGACCTTTGACTGGATCCACGACACATACTTGATTCTCATTAGGATGTTTCCTGAGAAATGCCCTCCAACAACGATCATCAGTATGAACTCGCGATTCGACCCACATCTGCACGCGCGTGTGGGTAACATCTTGGCCAAGTTCCGCGACGAGGGCTACCTGATCATCGGAACGGGTGGCGCGGTACACAACCTGTACAGGAATCACTGGGCACAGATGTTGAGGTATTCGGACAACTTTGCCCAGCCTTACCCACCAGAGGCTCCGATGCTGGAGTTCCGCCAGAGTGTTGAGGACGTCTTCGTTCGCTGCTGTAGGAAGGATGCGAAGAAGGGTAGTCTGACTCGTGGTATTACAAGGTTGATGAAACATCCCATGTTCAGGGATGCGCATGCCACCGACGATCACTATATGGCGGCGTGCTTTGTGGCTGGGGTTGTTGACGGAAGCAAGAGGGATGGCGACGAGTGTGTGCTTGGGGCTGAGGATTGGGAGTTGGTGAACATGTGCAACAGCCAGTTTACTGTCGGAAGATGGGAGTAGAAATTTTGAGTACTATATATATCCAATTCAATTCTTGTCGCATTATGACTATCACACAACATTGTTACTCCCAACGAGTTTGCGATCTCACGTCCTGCCATACTTGAAGACTTGGATCAACGCTGTTCTTCTTCGTTAGTGTTCCGCATCGTATGTTTGTGCTTATGCCACTTGCGTCAAACACATGATTCTGCGAAAACGGTGAAGACAAGTTGATGTAATAATATCTGAACTTCCATTGCAACAACATATCTACTGATCTATTGAGGTGGCACAATCGGCAGAGTGACATAGTTCACAGCCTTCTCGCTAAAATGCAAATGATTCCATCCCGCAAACTTCTCCTCGCTCCTGTCCTCCGGATGATTGTGTTGGAAGATACCACTACCTTGTGTATCACCGCTGCTGATCTCGAACACGATCTTGCCACCCTTCTCAACGATGACGTTGGTCGGCCAGACCTCCACATCCACGGCATATACGTCGCCGGGTATGACGGGCTGCACATCTGTGCTGAAGTAGTCTCTCCATGGGAGGTACTCGCGGTGCTTCGGATGGTCTGGATTGGTCTTGCGGAAGCTGACGCGCAGCCAACCCTTGGCGAGCGGAATAGGGTCGCCTGCTGTGCCGGTGTAGTAGACTTCTTTGCCTTCGGGCGAGATGTAGCGTAGTGTGAGAAAGAGGTCGATGTCGGATGGCGTTACACCGTTGGAGTGCGCTGAGAGGGAGACGTTCAGGTGTGCGACGATGTGGCCGGTGATCTCAGTGTCCTCCTCGAATGGCGCAGTGGTGAACTGGAGAAGCTTGGGGTTGTCGAGGGTGCCAAGCGCCTCGTACGACAGCTTCTGTGGCCTGTTGGTGATGGGCTGGACTTGCGTCAAAGTCTGGGATGGCGTAAGGTAGAACTTCGAATAACGTGTTCGTGCAATGGGCCACTCGTTCTCCGTTCGTCGTTCATACACCTTTTCTTTCTCGGCGTCGTTGAAGCCAATGTCGCCTTTACGCAGGACCATGTCAACAGGAGGAAGCTTGCCCTTGACAGACCACCCAACTCTGTCATCGCCCTTGAGGAAAGCATCGAGGAAGCTTCGCTGTATCTCCACTTCCTCCTTGTAGTAGAATGGCAAGTCGTGCCTTCCCGTGATCATCCGTAGGTACTTGAACTCAGAACCGGCATGTGCGTAGCCTTCGATGTTTCCGCGGAGATGGAGCAGAATGCCACCCCAGTTGCCGACCGAGAGCAGCGGTACTTCGATGTCGCTCATGTCGTACTCTTTGCTTGCATAGTATAATTCGTCGCGGTACTTGAATGCGGCGGTATCGATCGTCTGGTCTTGTCGGTTCTTTGCGCGCACTTCTTCCGAGAGGTTACCATCGACGGTGTCCGGTCCCCAATTGCGCTCGGCACGACCTGGGCGACCATATTGGTTCGTGATGACCTGGCGATTCCTGGTAAAAGTCAAGTTAGTATCTGAAGTATGGCAGATTGCGAGAAGTACTTACCACCAGAAATCGATGAACTTGTTACTCAAGATACCTCCATGGCGGCATCGATCACGGTAGTAATCGCTCATACCCTCCCAGGGAATAACCGCAGCCAATCCCTTGGGCTTGCGCGCTGCCACACGCCACTGGGATCCAGCATAGTAGCTGATACCGAGTAGGCCGACCTTTCCAGAAGACCATGGCTGCTCAGCGGCCCATTCGACGACATCGAAGAAAGCCTCGCTTGTTCCTCGCGACATGGTATCCAAGAAGCCTGGAGACTGGCCCAAGCCACGTTCGTCGGCGCGCACGATGATGTAGTCGTGCTTCGTCCAGAAACCTGGGTCTGGCGTTTCCCATGCTGAGTGATCGGAGTGATGTTCGGGGTTGACTTCGGCGAACGACTTTCCGTGAAAGCTGGTGATGTTAGCTGCTGCACGGCTGAGAACCTCCGTTTCGACTTACTCCTTGTAGTGGATGTCCTTTCCATACGGTCCGTACGTCACCAGCACAGGAAGCTTCGTGCCCTCCTTCGTGGACTTCGGCCGGTACACGTTGCATCGAATGATGCCTTTTGAGGATGTCTTCAGCGGCACTGCGACGTTCTGCTCGTACAGGTAGGGAAACGACGACTCGTCAATCGAGTAAGCATCTTTGATTTCTAGCTGGTCAGACATCTTGCGTATTTGGTACTTGGGAAGAAAGAAACATACTTCATAAAGCATTTGGATATATACATCATATTGCGACGCGTAGTGGATGCTTGTGCCGACAACGCGCCGCTGGTAAGGTGCGGCGGCAGTGTTCGAGGGGCACGTTCGGAATGTGGAGGTGCCACCTTCCAATTGGCGCTTCACCCACAGACACGCGAACAGATGGAACACGCCGTCTTACAGACCCAACATCTGGCACTCGATCTGAACTCGTACGAGCTCTTCACTTTTGTTTACCTCGGACAATTGATCGACCGGCGTCAGGTGAGCTTTCGCTATCTGTACTAGCAATGCCATTCTAATTTCGGTCATTAAGAACAATCGTATGTCGCCCTCATACGATGTCAGAAAATATATGGTTGAAGCTGTTTATGACACAGCACGGTTCAGAGTACGATGATGTATATGCGCGACGATGCGGTGGCTTCTTGTATCTACAAGTAGTACTGCGACTACGACGATGCTGGAACACCCTGCATGTTTCCGTAGTCCTCCTTCAGGGCCTCACCGCCGATCTCTACTGGTTTACATTCTTGTAGAACATACATCATGCGTCCCCAAGACGTGGTGCTGGTGTTTCTCCAAGCGTGCATTGTGCCCCTCTGAATCGCAACATCTCCTCTCTTCATCAACCTTGTCTCTCCCGAATCCAGCACCAACTCCATCTCACCTTCCAGCACGACACCGTAGTCAAGAGAGACTGTGCGATGCATAGGTGAAAGATGACCAGGTGCTACATCTACAAAGCGTAGCACTGTTCCTCCTCCAACGACCAGACCTGGAGACGACTCGAGGTAAGGCTTGTAAACCGCGAGGTCGGCGTCTTTGTTCAGATCGACGGGAAAGCCCTTGGTAACGTATCCAAGCCGGAAGTCGGCATTGGGAATGTGGTCGACCTTGGCTTCTTCTGGGACTGCATCGGAGAATATGGCTTTCTTGGTTGTGGGATCGTGGGTTGTGATGAAGCGGTTAACCTTAGGAAGGTCATTGGCGATTTGGGGTTTGGAGGCCATTTTCGGAGGTGATCTCGTGGTATAGAGGCAATTGATCGCCAAGATTCTCGGATTGTAGTGTATGAGTACAGACGCTTCGTGTGATTTGAAAGAAGATTCAAGACCTGATGATCATGAACATCTCAAACGCGTCGCGTGGAACCCGTCTAGTGAACTCATATACAGGATCCCGATGTGGAGGGCAGAGACCCTGCATCCGCCATCTGCCGGCCCAGGCTCGGTAAATCCCGTGCGGGGTTCTGCATAGTACGCAAGCTTCTCCAACTGTTTTGAATAGAGTTGTTAGATGGGTATGTACGAAAATCTTCGATTTGGAGTCAGGTGTAAGCAAGCAACACAGACTGCACTGCTTGGGAGCGAAGATGACGCGTGTCCTGCTTATCGATTGACGGACGCGCTTGCCCACTTCGGTACTAGACCGAACGCGTACGGCCGAAGGTTGAAGGTTGTCCCGCGAAGTTTGGACTGGACGCGATCAATAGCTGCATCAACGTCAGCCGGATAACCATGGAACGCTCAGTCTCCACTCTCGACCATTGCCGTGTTCAGCTCCGGACATATTAGCTTACAGGAGTTGATGGGATGTGGAGGAGCTGTATCCGAGATGGTAATCCCCACCTACACAATGTCTCGCGAGCTTAGGTTCGGGTTAATGTTGGTAACTGTAGTCTGGAATCTGAGTATTGCGAGTTGGATAACGTGTATCGCTCTTTGCTAACAAGTCGACCGAAATCTTGACACCAGAATACCTAAGACTCACGACACAATGGCAGACAATTACGCATCGCACTTCGGTGTCAACAACATCCCATACGGTATCGCAAGCTCTTCGAAGCGCTCTGCACCACAGTGTGCCACGCGCATCGGCGACGAGGTCATCTTCCTCGCAGAGCTCGCGGAGCATGATTCCCTCAAAACCATCTCAGCACCGCTATCCTCCGTCTTCCGCGAATCCAAGTTGAACACATTCGCTGCGCTGGGGAAAGACATACAAAGTCAAGTACGCTCTGCGATACAAGAAGCATACAAGAGCAGGTCACACGCCAATTGTTCAGAGAACATCAGCGATGTTACGCTCCACATGCCAGTCAGTGTCGGAGACTTCACAGACTACAGCGCTTCAGCGAACCATGTTCTGAATGCAGGAGAAGCGGTGCAAGGAGTTCGTGCCTATCCACCTGCTTTCATGAAATACCCCGTGGGCTATGCAGGCCGGTCGAGTTCAATCACAGTCTCAGGGGCACCCGTCACAAGACCTCTGGGTCAGTTCATCGAGGACTACACCGTTCCAGAGAAGAAGATCATATTTGGCCCGTCACGCGGCTTGGACTACGAGATGGAAATCGCGGCAGTCATCGGCAAACCCGTCCAGGCTGGGACGTATCTTAACGCAAAGGACGCGGATGACCATATCTTCGGACTGGTTCTGCTGAACGATTGGAGCGCGAGAGATATCCAAGGCTTAGAGATGAATCCGCTTGGGCCTTTCAACGGAAAGAACTTTATGACTTCAATCACCCCTTGGGTCGTTACGCTAGAAGCATTGAAGCCCCATGAGGTCTCGGCCCCGCCTCGTATAGAGCCTGTAGCTTCCTTCATGGACGATCCCAACAGCATCAACTACAACATCCAGCTTGAAGGTCAGATCATACGAAACGGTACTCAGACTACGACCTGCAAGGTTGGCTTCGAGACGATGTACTGGACCTTCAGGCATATGTTAGCGCACCACACTATCGGCGGCTGTGGACTCCGCACGGGAGATCTGGTAGCTAGCGGGACAGTGTCGGGCGAACAAGAACATGAACATGGATGTTTGCTCGAACTGACTAAGAACGGCAAGGCTCCAAGCAAACTGAGCGATGGATCTGAGCTACGCTACCTCAATGATGGGGACGAGGTGCGCTACACAGGCGTTGTTGGAGATGGAAGCACTGGTGTCGGGTTTGGAGTATGTGTTGGCACAGTGAAGCCCGCCCGGAAGGTTTAAGAGCTTTCGGATGCAAGTAGGCTGAGCAATCGTAGTCTATCCTCTGGGTGGGTGACCAGTGGTTGGGTAGCGCCCTGGTTAATAATTGGTCGGCAAGCGTGGTACAGATGCGAGTGGCTGCATACTACCACCGGAGAGATCATTGAATTCAAGCCTTCCAATGAATCTTCGGTCCTTTGGGCCTTGCACATTGGACCTTAAATATCTCTAGCCACACGAAGCCCAGCCTCGTGAGCTTTCTCGCACACAGCCCTTGAGTTTCAGCTTTCATCACACTCCTTGACGCTCTCAGATATTGCACTTTCAACTCTGCGTGAATTCTCCTCAACCCATTGCAGTTTCTCAACCATACGGAGGCCGGAAGAGACTGTTACACATGTGCTTCGCGCACAGCCTACCTAGGTAACCGTCTGCAGGGCTGAGCCAGCTTTGGACTCTGCGTAGACACAGCAACCACAACCATGGCAGAGTGAGTGCGATACAACCTTGCTCGAGATGTTGCATGTTTACAATCAAGTCTTAACATATCATCCAGATTCTCTCAGACTTACCTGCCGGATCGACCATCGAAGCTCGCGTTCGGGAAACGTCTTTCTCACAAGTTCAAGCCAAAGAAAGGGAGACCCAAACAGTCGATAACCGAGTCATCTTCCGTCACGCCTAATGCCAGTCATCCTCAAGTTGCACTGCCAGTGTCTTGCGCGCGAGAACCACCTATGGCTGACCACGTGCGCACGCGCCGGATTACGTCACAGCCCGCCCCACGATCGCTTCTGAAGACTCGTCCCCAAACACAACAAAGCGAAGCTGTCCAGCCTGGAAGAAGTCTCAGCATCGCTTCGCTTGTGCTGCCCGAGCCACACCTTGTATACCCAATCTCCGCGCAACCATCTTCGTACGATCCTTTACAGTCGGATGAACAAGGCGACGTGCCCCGGATACATAGGAAGGAACCTCCACAGTTGACAGTGAGAGACGCACTCACCGAGCAGTGGGGGAAGCTGCGACTGCCAAATGTGCCACTCGCACCTGCCGACTTGTCAACGTCTAGTAGTGCAACGAACTTCTCACTTCCCCTCCAATCTTCTACCTCAACCAAGACCGTAGCTGCCAAAGCAGCATGGAACAGAATGGCGGTCTCGAATCCCATCTTGCCGAGCTTTCGAGAGGAGCCGCTTTCACAAACGACACAGCCGGGTGTGAACCGCCCTCGTCAGGGCCAGACACATAGCGAACCCATAATGATCTACGATGACAGTGAACTTGATGCGACTGCAGGCTCGAACCGCCCTGGAGGCAATTTCGAAAACACAAACTTCTTCCAGTCAGGCGGATTATCACGACAGTCGCTGAATCGACGAAGAACTCGAAAGGCGAGGTTTCTACGAATGAGGCCTGACCATCGATGTCAAAGTCCTGATTCATCGAGCAGTGGCTCTGAAGATATGCTAACACCCGATAGCTCGGACAGCTCAGAGAGTTCGGAGTTTGACCTTGCAGCTCGTGTTGCGCAAATCGAGAACCAGAACCTAATCCGAGCCACTAGATGTACACAAGGGTGGGGGATTCCTCGGGGAGATACAGATTACGCAGCTCAGGAAGAGCAAGACCGTCTGTTGGCTGAGCATCTGCAACGGGAAGAGGATGCTACCTATCGAACTACAGCGTCGCGCATTGCGGAAGAGTCTGAACTACCCGCACCTCGAGCTGCGTCTCCTCGGGTACCGTCTCAAAAGAGTGGACGATTGGCCAGTTTGCGGCGGGCCATTACCAACATCGGCACACGAGAGCATCCTATCGATCTAGACCCGGAACCCGACGAGCCTAAAGTTATTATTCCCGAAAGGGCGCGAATCCAAGACTATGTGGCGCTATACGGAGAGCCTATGGATATTGATGGTGTATCGCCTTTCCATCAACACAACGCAAGGCCGGTCGATACACCACAGGCGACGAGCACCTACGTAGATGAGAGGACGCATCTGCGGAGTCGTGATTGCGTCGTCTGTGGCGATAGCGTTCATGTTGTCGACCTACCCTCTCTTGCTGAATGTGATCATCGACCGGAGACGTGTGCGGACTGTTACTCAGGATGGATATCCGCGCAGCTCCAAAGCAGTAGCTGGCGCGAAGCCAAATGTCCAGGAAACAAGTGCAAGACAGTGCTGTCATACCATGAGATCCGGCTATACGCGCAACCGGAGACCTTCCAGCAATACGACACATTCATCGCCCGAGCAGCTTTCAGCGAAGATCGTGAGTCGTAGCAAAAACACTTTTAGGTTTCAAAAGCTGACAATGGCACAGCCAACTTTCGATGGTGTCGAGCGTGTGACTCCGGTCAGATCCACATGAGCGGTGTCGAAGGCAACATCTTTACATGTGTAGCATGTGGACACAAAGTCTGTATCATCCACGAGAACACATGGCATGAAGGTGAAACTTGTGAGGAGTTTGAATATCGATCTTCTGGTCGCAAGGAGCGAGACCAGAGAGCACAAGAAGAAGCGAGTCTTCAAGCGATTGGGAAGCTGACCAAGAAGTGTCCCGGTCCCGGATGTACGTGGAATATTGAGAAGAACGATGGCTGCGACCACATGACGTGTAAGTTTCGCGTTGCTTTCGACTTCACTGATCGTTTGCTGACTTTCATAGGCTCGAAATGCCGCTTTGAGTTTTGCTGGATCTGTCTTTGCAACTACAACAACGTCAGGCGAGTGGGCAACTCGGCCCACACGACGACGTGCAAATACCACACAGGAAGACTGGTGTAGCGGTGATGGCGGAGAATTTCATTGTAGCGAACTTCGTACTTTCGCTAAGTACATGGCGGTCCTGGAAAACTTCTAGCATCATTTAGCATTTTAGGTATTTGCAACGATTACGACGTCATGTCACTCTCTCAGACTTCACGTCGCGACGTCAGGCACTGCAAAATTACATCCGTATAGACCGTAATTGCCAGTAGCGTCCCATGTTGATGTCACGGACTCGGGCCCTACGCGCTCCGATTGGCGCAAATTACCCCTAGCCCTGAGCAACTCCCCGAATTCATACTACTTGTCAACAAACACAAAGACTTCACCGCCGCTTTTTGTGCCATTGGTGATTCGCGCGGTGTACATAGCCTTTATGATCGTGCTGTGACGGCATTTGTACCTTTTTCAGCGGCAGTTCTTCCTCTTCATATCTTGTCATCTTTGCCAAAAATTCGGCTTCATCTTTTTCGCGTCTGAACCCCTTGAAACAGCGCGTCGCCACACCCGCACCTACATTAGCCATGTCAATGCGAGTGACACGGTCGCAGGCCGGCAAGACGCCCCAGTGAGTGAATGCCAGGTCGCGCGTGCATACTGTGCAGACATGTGCATTAGTTGCTGACATGCATAACGCAGAAAGCCTGACCGTCCTGGCTTTGTCGAGACCCCCGGGCGCAGAAAGTCGCAACGCAAATCGCTTGCGTCCGATGTCGACGACGGATACGAATCAACGCCCGAGCCAGAGAACTTCTTGAAGCCCCTCCGATCTGGCGACAGCGATGTGAAGCACGAAGTCGAGGAAAAGAGCAATGGCCATGCCAACGGAAACGGACACGCCAACGGCTACACGAATGGACATACGAATGGAAACGCAAACGGGCGTACAAAGAGCGAAAAGGAGATCGTCGAGCTGGACTACAAGATGGAGGCGGAAAAGTTCTTCTCGCCAAAGGACAAGTCCGGCCTGCACGAGTTCGGAGGCGCCATTGGTATGAGCAGCATGATGATCTGCTTCCCAGCGCTCATGTACTACATGTGGATTGGAGCGACCTTCTACGACGGCAAATTCCCTACACCGACCGCGGGTCAGAGCTACGGCGACTTCTTTGGACACATGTGGTATCTGGTAAAGACCGAGGCGTTCCCGAACAACAAAGCATGGCAGATCTACTGGTTCTTTGGACTCATGCAGATGGCCTTCTACATGCTCATGCCGGGTGTCTACCGCAAGGGCAAGGCTCTGCCTCATCTTGGTGGAAAGCAGTTGGACTACTACTGCTCGGCCATGTGGTCTTTCTACTCCAGCATTGTCATCATGTTGACCCTCCACTTCACTGGTGTCTTCAAGCTGTACACTCTGATTGACGAGTTCGGCCACATCATGAGCGTAGCCATCCTTTCAGGCTTCCTCTGCTCGACAATCGCATACGTTTCAGCTCGCGTCCGCGGCGCTGACCTTCGGATGACTGACAACCCCATTGTCGATTTCTTCCTTGGTGCGGAGCTCAACCCCAGGCTTTTCGGCATTCTGGACTTCAAGATGTTCCTCGAGGTCCGCATTCCGTGGTTCATCCTCTTCTTCCTTTCGCTCGGTACCTGCTTGAAGCAGTACGAACAGTATGGCTACGTATCCATAGAAGCCATCTTCCTGCTCTTTGCCCACTACCTGTATGCCGGCGCCTGCGCAAAGGGAGAGCACCTCATCATCACAACTTGGGACATGTACTACGAGAAACTCGGCTTCATGCTCATCTTCTGGAACATGGCTGGTGTGCCTCTGTCGTACTGCCACTGCACCCTGTTCATCGCCAACCACCACCCATCCGAATACCAACTCCCGACCTGGTTCACAGCCCTCCTCACCCTTGCCTACCTTGGCGTCTACTACATCTGGGACACGACCAACTCGCAGAAGAACCAGTTCCGTCAAGAGGAGCGTGGTGTTGTCGACGAGCGCACTACCTTCCCCTACTTCAAGTACGGACGCATCGCCAACCCCAAGACCATCCAGACATCGCACGGCAACAAGATTCTGGCTGATGGCTGGTACGGCAAGGCGCGTAAGATTCACTACACGTGCGATTTGTTCTTTGCAATCAGCTGGGGTCTTATTACTGGTTTCAGCAGCCCGTTCCCATGGTTCTACTCGGTGTTCTTTGCGGGTATGATCATCCACAGGGCGCTGAGAGATATTGAGAAGTGTCGGGAGAAGTACGGCGAGGCATGGAAGGAGTATGAGAGGCAGGTGCCTTATTTGTTCATTCCGGTAAGTTCAACATATCGCGTCTTGACTGAATCTTCGCTAATATATCTGCAGTACGTGTTTTAAGTACATACCGGACCGTCGCTTTGATCTTTTACCATCTCGCGAGTCTTCGGACACCTTTTGCGCGACGGACCATTTTGTAGTATACCATAGCATTCTTCTCGCATTTCGACGGTCGTGGCTAGGGTGGATAGCATTGTAATGGTTGTAATGGCTGTAATGGCAGTAGTAATGTATGATGTAGCAATTAGCTTGAGCAACAACTGATGTGACACGATGCGCCATCCAAGTGTCTGTCTAGACACGCGAACCCCTACGCCTGCCAAGCCTTGCGTCAGCGTGCGTGCGGGCCAAAAGTTCAGACCCTCACGCCTCGTATCCGCAAAGTGTCCTCCCCTCTCAGCCCAACCCAACAACCCGCCCAAGTCGCCCCCCAGCGCACCACCACCCACCATGGACGCCCTCAAATCCGCCATCCAACCCATAACGCACAACCTGCCCCAACCCATCGCCGACGTCGGCATCTCGCTCCTCGGCCCCAAATGCTACAAGACGCTCATCTACAACGTCGACATCACGGCCACGGAATGCGTCAAACTCGCCATCTCCAAGGGCCTCGGCATCGGCATCATCGGCGCCTCCTCCATCGTCAAGATCCCGCAGCTCCTCAAACTGCTCAACTCGCAGTCCGCCGACGGCCTCTCGTTCCTGTCCTACCTCCTCGAATCAAGCAGCTACCTCATTAGCCTTGCGTACAACGTGCGCCACGGATTCCCGTTTAGCACATATGGCGAGACGGCGCTTATTCTCGTGCAGAATATCGCTATTGCGAGTTTGGTGCTCAAGTACAGTGGACGGGGCGTGGGCGTTGCGGGATGGATTGGGGGGTTGGCGGCGGCGGGCGCGGCGCTGTTTAATGACCAGTGGGTTGATAATGAGAAGTTGAGCTTGTTTCAGGCGACGGCTGGTGTGTTGGGTGTTGCGAGCAAGGTGCCTCAGATTCTGACGGTGTGGAGTGAGGGTGGGACGGGCCAGTTGAGCGCTTTTGCTGTAAGTCTTCGTGTTTCTAGATTACGGGAGATGGTTTACTAATATGGTGACCAGGTCGTCAATTATCTCCTCGGATCCCTATCGCGCATCTTTACGACTCTCCAGGAAGTCGACGACCCGCTCATCCTCTACGGCTTCATCGCTGGCTTCGCCCTCAACGCTATCCTCTTCTGCCAGGTCGTATACTACTGGAACGCGCCCGCGTCCAAGAAGACGGAGTCGAAGAAATTGGAAAAGCCCATCGCGGCTGACAGGAAGGAAATGGCACGTGCCGTCTCCAGTGGTGCTACGCCGTCGTATGCGAATGCCGCGGGCAAGAGTCCAAGCACAAGACGCAGGGGATAAGCTCATTCCACTGTTGCTTCTTTCTTGGGGACGTGGCTGTTGAATTAGTAGTTGTAATACAGACTTCACTTGCGCGACGCCTTGACCATGCTTGGGTGAAGATTACACGTATATTCAATACACTAACATGCTAACATATGCTTAATCGCATGTCTAGAAAAAAACTCCGGGCGTTCTGCTAAATAAGGCTTTTCGATTTCCTATCAAATCTGCTGAGGCGCCGTACTTATAGCATGTGGCGGTGGCATCGGTGGAGCGCCTCTGCTATCCGCCAAATCTCCCGTAGGCGACATCGTCCTCTGCTGGTTTGGTATGATGGTGTTGACCGGAGGCGGTGGCGTAGGTACTGGGGAGAGACCCACTGGCGGGTGGTACCCAGTGTCTGTCAGCCTCCCAGATACTGGGTTGTAAACGCCAGTCCTTGCTTGCAACTCGTAGTTGTCGTCATCTTCTGAAGACGAATAGTCGTAAGTGTCCATTTGACGTTGACGCGCAACATCTACTGCGAAGGGATTCGTAGCTGGCAATTGATTCTGGTACGTGTGCACTTTCGACGTCATAGTGGACCCCATCGTGCCGGTTCGGTAGTTGCTTGATGCTGCTGTATCGCTGCGATCAACGCCATACTGCGATCCTGATTCCTGGCGTCTGCGTTGCGAATTGTGGATCTGTTGGCGGAAGACGTTGCCTGTGTGTTCGCCACTACCTTCAGGCACTGCCGTTGTGGAAGAGTAACCAGACGCCTCTCCGCGTTCCTCGTCCACCGGCTTGGCCATGCGCTGCAGCGGTTGTACATCGTCGTCGACCATGATCGTAGGCTGCGGCGGTGCGCGCGATGCCTGACCCCAGGCTCGGATTGGGTATGCGCGTCCCTTGCGCCATGTCTCGGAGACGGGAGGGAAGTATTGGCGGTAGGAGCCCCAGGACACGAGTATGCCGAGTAGGGCGCCGGACAGGACGTCGAATGGGTGGTGACGAGCATCCATGATACGGGTTCCTGTAATCAAAGCAGCTCCGAGGGCAGGAACCATAACAAGGAATGATCTCCAGACCTCGCCCTTTGCATCGAGGACGTGGAGCTTTCCGGCGAGGTAGATGGAGAGGTAGAAGAGACCGGCGAAGGAGACTGAGGGGCGTTAGTAGATGCTTTATTTGAGCGGTTATGTCGCATACCGCTGCTGTGCCCAGAGGGGAAGCTCTTGAAACCATCTTGCAGGATGTAATTGTCGGTCTGCTTGCAAATGTCGATGGTTTGTAATGCGTATTTCTCAAGGTTGAGCTTGGTTTCATCGACGATGCAGCGGCTGATCAGATCCGGCCGCGGCTTGCCGATGGCGTTCTTCAAGGCTCCTGTGATGGTGAAGGCGGCGCCAATGCTCAGGCCAAGGCCAAGGATGCCACAGTTCAATTCCCACAACCGATCCTTAAATCGATATCTCCCTGATAGGCGCTTGATGCCAGCCCTGCCTGCGGGCATTGTCGTCTGGTGTGAGAAGAGCCCATCGATGACCATGGTGTAGAGTGCGATGACCGCAGCGGGAGCGAGGATAACGTAGACGCATAGCCACGGGACGGGTACGCGCTCATGTTCGGCGAATGGGTAGTGCAGGGTGTAGTTTTCGAGGGCGAAGTGCTGGTGGAAGGGCGGGATCTTGTCGACAATGGTAAAGGTTATCATGAGAACACTATGGCTTTGTTAGCCGGATCGAGCTGGGAAGGAGGTCGTGTGACGCGGAGAGGGTGGGCTTGCAGTATGATGAGGTAGTCGCCAATATATCTGTGCTGGTCAGTTTCTACTACTCTTATGCATGCATAGTCGTACGCACGAGAAGATGACCTTCTTGGGAAGGCGCTTCTTGGAGAAGGGAAGGCGCTCAGGGAGCTGTTTCGAGGTCCAGTCGTCCATGATGCGCTACAGGACCCAGCCAATCGCGGATGCTTCGTTGCTGTCTCAGACTCAATGGCAGTCGACTGCTCTAGTATCGTAGTATTGAACTATGCGAAAGTGTAGGCGTGAATGTTCTCGGGGGTCCGCAAACGACGGCACCAGACATGCGACCCTCCTGGGGGATGGCGCAGGGGCGGAGAGGAGAAGGAAAGGGAAATGCAAGGTCAGCGAGAAGATAAAAGACAGTGGGGTTGGTCAGAATGCAGTGGTTGTCCCCGGGTCAGCAACGCCGTGGGCAGGGAGGATGTGTAGAAGTGCAGGGCCGACTACGCAGCGTCTCCGTGCTCAGCTTGTGGCTGTGAGGATTGAGCTGACGCGCTCCCAGACTTGGCTCAATCCACAACAGCAGGGCTAGCCGCCTCGAGATCAGCGCCAATTCAACTCGGCCTTGGTATGCGGAGCATTATTTCACGTTACGTCGCGATAAGGTTCGTGTGATATGCATGCGGCAGCGTCTCTAGTAGGGCCGGCCGCATGCACGGCAGGCGATGGCATCCGAACCGAGCTGTAAAAGAAATACGGTATGGCAATAATGGGCCTGTTCCATGTGGCGCATCCAGCGGAAGCGGCGATCGCTTAGCGCCATGGCGATCAGCTTATTCTTCCACCGCCTCAGGGTCCGACTCTCTACATCTATTCCTGTATCGCCATGTTTTCCTTATTCGCCAGCGAGAAGCCCCAGCCCAAAGCCGCCGAGGTTGCCATCCAGAGGGTCTCCAACATCACCGCCACCCAGCTGTCCCGCTTCGAGCGCCTTCCCAAGGTCCAGCGCTATGCCATCATAGGCGCTGCCTCTGTTGGCGGACTATCCATCCTGTGGGCTTTGACTTCATCTTCAAAGTCTGCCAGACGGCCTCCGGTTCCTTCTCCCAGGGATTCCCTGCTACCGGATCTGTCTCCCGAGGACGCTGCAGAACTTCCATACCATCCAGCTGCACTGCCCGGAGCCCGCGATGTCGATTCACCCTGGGGTACTATCCGCGTGTATGAGTTCGGCCCCAGAGATGGAGAAAAAGTTTTGCTCATCCATGGCATCTCGACTCCGAGCATTGCCTTGACTGACCTGGCACACAAACTGGTTGGCAGGGGCCGACGTGTCATGCTTTTTGGTGGGTCCTCCTTGCTGTCACTGCTAGTCTTTGCCCCATCACTTTCCTGTTTGCTGTTTCAAAGCCGTGAAACCAAACACCGTCTTCCTGAACATGGAGAAGATGGTTTTTCTGTGCAGCTTCTATGATCGCCACATCTGCATGCCCCACGTTGAACCGGGCGTACGACTGTGTCATGGGGTTCCTTGCTTTACCCGTTTCGGCAAGGGGCCCGCCAGCCCTACCAACGGTGAACCACGTGCACTACAGATGCGATTACCGAACTGCATCGTGGATAGTCCGTGCTATGCTACAAAATAATCATACTAACAATATCAACAGACCTCTTTGGTCGCGGCTACTCTGATGGCCCTAACCCGGACACAACCAACTATGACTCCAGCCTCTTCACCAGCCAGATCTTGCTCGCTCTACAATCTTCGCCCATCCACTGGTCAGTTTTCACCATAGTCGGCTACTCTCTGGGAGGTGCCATCGCCGCAGACTTCACATCGTACTTCCCCTCGCTGGTCCGCGGGCTCGTCCTCGTCGCTCCTAGTGGGCTCATCCGCAAAAACCACATTTCTATTTCCAGCAAAATGCTCTACAACAGCTCATGGATGCCGGAATGGATGGTACGCAAGTTTGTCGCAAGCAAACTATGGACAGGGCGCAAAGTGGTTGAGAGCGACCCTGAAGCAGTCGAGAATGCGGAGACTACCACGACTGCGAGCGAAGGAGACAAGACATATCTGAGCAGCAACCAAATGCTCTTGCCCGGCAACCCGCACTCTACCGTCTCTTCCGTCGTGGATTGGCAGATACAAAACCACAAGGGGTTCGTGCCAGCCTTCATATCGACCATCCGTCATGCGCCCATCCAGAATCAACAAGAGCGCTGGGCCGTCATCCGCGAAAACATCGAGAACCGCGCCGGCCCACTAAAGGAAGTCTGGCTCATCCTCGGCGAAACAGACCCCGTTATCAACGCCGACGAAGTCACCGAGGATGCAAGAGCAGTACTGGGTGAGGAAAACGTCAGGGTCAAGGTACTCGACGGTGTAGGCCACGAAGTCGCCATCGAGCGAGCAGATGACATCGTCAGGGCCGTAAGAAGGGTTGGTAGTAAGCCCGAGGAGGTCAGGGAGCAACAGGAAGTAGCACCTGAGGTGCCTGAAAAGGACCCGAAGCCTGAGAAGCCCGAGAAGGCTGAGAAAGAAAAGAAGGACAAGAAGGAGAAGGAGAAGAAGAGCTCGAGTCGGAGGAAGCACGGAAGCTCGCATGCTGGCTCTAGCGCGAAATAGGACTGAAGCCCAGTATTGAGATGGTTTACGAGGCCAAAGAATGGACAAGAATATATAACAAAAACAATTTCACAACGCTTACACGCGACACAAATTTCTCAACAAAGCTGAAAGTATCTGACGTGAAAGTTTCATTCTCAAGTATATACACGAAATAGAATCCTCCCCTTTCTTCCTCACCCCCAGTACATCTAACCACTCCACACAGCGGGGCCGGGAGGAGTGTAGCTAGTAGGAACCGGGTAGTAAATGTTGAGCTGAATGCCCTTGTCATCCGCCTTGTACGCACCGGGGAAAGCGACTTTGGGTCCCGGCGTTCCACTGCCACCGTTCTCAACCTTCAACTGCGCACACGAGATGTAGAACTGCGCACCGCCGATGGTGGACGCAGAGTGCACAGCAATGTGCTCAACGCGCATGAGGTATTCGCCCGAAGGAAGGGATTTGGGGAGTGTGACGTCGACTTCCTGTTTGCCTATTCGCACACTCATGTCAGCTTTCTATTCCGTACGAGTGCGAGGTAGAGATTAGGGAAGACATACCGTTGCTCGGCCAGTTCATCTGACCACCAGAAAAGGTAGCGCCCTGGCTGAAGATCTTGAACCACACATCGCCGCTTCCATCCCAGGTCGCAGCAGTCTTGCCCTCGGGGACTTTGGCGAGGTAAAATTGAAGGGGACCCGGGTGCGAGATGCTGGATGCGGCTGTGAAGCCGACGGAGTCGCCGGCGTTGACGGTGTAGGTCTTCGAGCCTGTGCCCGGGGCGAGCTCGTAGCAGCGGATGGCGTCGGCGGTTACGTCTGTTGTGGGACCTAGACGGGTGTTAGATGGGTCTTTGGAATGGGAAGTGATGGGATGGGTATGTATTGGGAGGCGTACCGTTGGACTGGTAGTTGGCGGTCTTGCGGACGTATTGCCACAGACCGGTCTTTTGGCCCTTGACGACGAGTTCGGGGAAGGTGTAGTGGGCGCTGGCCGTGCTGGCGACAGCGAGAAGGGTGGTGATGACGGAGCACTTCATGGTTGGTTACTGTGAAGAAGATGTGATGATGGGTATCTTGATGTCTATACGAAGTACCAAACCCCCCTCTATATATACGACCATCTTGCTGGCTTAGTAGTGGAGCCGTCACACATCCAGGTTACGCTATATTGCAGTACTATGCGCCCCAGACTCAGGCGTGTGGTACTTCATTTTTTCGCCGCCTTGCGCACGAGTAGGTCGATAATGTTCCGGCGGGTAAAAGAGATGGTAGGCAATGGGGCGTTGCCGAACCGAGGTGTTGAAACGCGAGACCCAGTACAATTAATTCATGGGAAACATATGGATGTTTAGATGAGGTTAGTGGCGCTAGCATGTAGTCATTGGTCGGCAGGCAGCGTCCCCCTGTCCGGTAGTCGAAACACATGACCCGGTTCCGATATTGCGACAGGCGGCTTTGCCATCCTGGTAGATTGAATGGCGTCTCTAGTTGCACCACAAGCGTACGTTGGATGGAGGCGTCTACTCGAAGCGATGCAGAGTGGCTGCTAGAATATATTGAGCGTGTGGATTGCAGTATCGTGGCGGCATGGAAGGACTTGAAGAAAACCCGGGACGAAGATGCGAAACACTATGGACATGAAGCTTGTTTTCGTTAAATCCGATCGCGACCTTCTAGATGCGTGATAATGACATATGATACAGTGGGGTATGGAAACATGTACCTGTTGATCGAGCGATCGTCAACGGGTGAGCGGGAACGGTGAATGTGCTTGCCTGACAGCGAGCATGCAATGTGGGTCTCCCAGGTACGCCAATCTCAGGCGTTTCGTCTGCTCTCGACGAGGGCCAATTGCTTCTGCTCCTCTGCCTCGAACTCGCCGGCTTCGTAGTACAGATCCTCTTCGTCAATGTCGGCATAGCCGAAAATGCTGCGGTAAATACGTTCTCCAAGTCCCTTCTTCTGGGCCATGGCGAGTACCATGACAATGGGAAGGTGCCAGATGCTAGCCCAGAACAGACCTCTAGCAGTTCCTTTCTGTCCCTCAGCCTTCCAGAACTGCCAGGCTTTGAGTGCCATCCAGCCGTTGACGACGCTACTCGTGGCTACGTAGCTCCAGTCGGTTACGCCGCAGTATGACAGACCGATACAGACAGGAAACATCAGAACAGAGTATCGCAGTGCGACACGTCCATTCATCCCAGGGTTCACCCAGGCTGTCATGCGGTAGCCCGCGTTCTTGTACTCGTCGCGGATGGCCCAGCTCAACGCATTGAAGTGGGGGAACTGCCAGGCGTACAACAACGCAGCGCACAGCCACCCTCCAGCCGAACCCTCACCAAACAGCAGTTCTTCCCAAGTTCCGTCATGGGCGTACTGACTCGCTGCAGCCGTCCAACCCATGAGCGGCGGAATGCCTCCCACGATGGCGCCAACCCAAGTGTTCAGTATGTGCATGCGCTTCATGGGTGTGTACACGGCCGCATAAAGGGCAATGTTGGCGGCGCCAAGGAACGCTGTCGTGGGGTTGACGCCATAGTAGAGGGCGCCGGTACCAAGCACCCCGCACGCGACTGCGAAGATGATGGCGCCTCGTGGGCTGATAAGCTTCCGGACGAGAGGCCGATTGCGCGTACGACTCATCTTGGCATCGTGTGCGGGCTCCATGATCATGTTGAAGGCGTTTGCGGATGCCGAGCACAGCGCAGTGCCGGATGTGAGGAAGAAGAGTGTGAGGGTCGAGAGGGACGGAGTGGCTGTTGCTGCGGGGGCGAGCAGACCTGGTACGGGGTATAGCGAGTATGCGGCCGTTGCACTGAGGACGACGAGGAAGGAGAGGCGCGGTTTCGATAGCGAGAGGTATGTAGTCATCATGCGCTTGAGCGATTGCTGCGGGAGGCTCGAGGATATGTGTGCCAGCTTGGACGACGCATCGTGTGGTATTGGGTATGCCGTCTCTGGGTTTTCTAATGCCTGCTCTTTTGCTTTCTTCCGCCGCCTATGTGGTAACACTTCTTCTGTGCCAGTTGTGCCATCCTCCTTCGCCGCTTGCTGCCCGCCTGCGTTCGCCGATTTGATAGACAGAATCGAGCTCTGTAACTCTGGCCCCGACCTCCAGAATGTGTCCTTTAGTAGTGGGTTCGCCCGGAAGTAGTCCTTGCCGAAAGCAGTACCGCCTCGTCCGGCTACTATGGCGTCGTCTCTATATGACGGATTGAAAGAAAATGGTCTCCGGGACTGCAGCGGCGCTTTTGCGAGTCTGCGCCAACATCGCAGACATAGTGAATTCGCATCCCGCGCTGCAATTGGCCGCGGCAGTATTGGTCGAAAGCTCATGGCGGCATGGGGTTGAGCTCCAGCGGGCAGTCGACTTGAGAGCGATAACTTTTGGATTGCACCTGCCAAGAGCCGAGGCGCGCTAGCCACTCAGACATCCCGCATTTCAACTCCACACTCGTCCCGTCTCCTTCTCAGCCTCACCGCGTCTTGATAAGCCACAATCATCAGTCTTATTCGCGCATCTCACCGGATATCGCAAGACTGCAGAAAACTTGAGTCGTCTGTTCATTTGCAACCATCCGATCAGCCATCAGCCAGTCGGCGTGAAGATCCATCGAGCTGGAGGCAGTAGCGAACAGCTCAACTGCTGGAAAACGCAATGCCTCGGGCGCTTCATGGTATCATTACGCCAAAAAAAAATATGTAGGCAGTGGTCAGCCTAGGGTTCCAGAATCAACTCAACTTTGAAGTAGTTCTGGGATCGGATCGGAGCTTCACACCAGTTTACATTTCAGGACTGTATGACATCGCTCATACCCATCCTAGCCGCATTGATGCCCCCGGTCCGTAGACGCAGTATGGCCCCCACATGTTCAGCTCGGAAGAGGCCAAATACCGCGTAGTCTGCATGGTTCCAGAAACCCATGGACGGTCGTCAGCCTGCAGCAAAGCGGCGAGGCTATGTAATTCGCTGAAGACGAGTTTCCTAGAGGCTGTGTAAGCCACAAGGCTACCTTCTCTGATGTCTTTTGCCAGCGCATCGCTCCTCGCATCCGCTGAACTGTCGTTCGCATCGTCTACTCTCAGATGGATCCTAATTCTGTCGTTGATTCGGCGTTTACCATCGGCGCAAGCGCAGCCCAGCTTTCGCTCGCTCTATTTGGAGTAGTTCAGACACTCAAAAATGCTCCCAATGAGATAGCGGAGATCGGTACGTACTCTACTTCTGTATATGGTGTAAACCGTACTCAAAAGAACTAGCGGATGAGATATCCTTACTCGCGGGTAGCTGGCAGACCCTCGGAGAGATTCTGGATGTCCATCGAAACTTGTGCAAGCCTGCATTACTCAACAACACTCACTCGATCATATCGCGATATGAGCAGGTTGCTGCAGAAATCCGTCTCCTCATCAATGAGCCTCAAAGTCTAGCGGGGCTCAAGTGGCCGCTAAAGAAACCCAAAGCAAAAGGTCTTCTGAAGAAGGTCGAAGGAATCAAGACTGCATTGATCCTAGAAATCAATATTGTTCGACTTGCTAGAGAAGAGGTTAATCGGTCGTAAGCTTGATCGATGATATCTTGTAGACTCTGCAGTCGCTCATGTCACTAGGTATCCCAACTCCGACTCGAGCGGTCAGCCCCAGGGCGCCCCAAGATTGAACCGGTTCCGTAGAATCGTCGAGAGTAGTGTCCAAGCGAACCGGCTCGTTGTAGAGAGCGCACAACAGGAAGATGAAAAACTCGAAGCTGATACACAACATCACACCTCGGCAGAACTAGACATATGGAAAAGTGGCTCTTCCGATACTGCGACATGGCTCTATCATCTTGTCTTTAGCCCCGATGAAGCGAGTTCCTCATCTCCGTTACCACAACCACGTCAGCTTCACCAAGCATTTGTGGCCGATGAAAATGCTGAAACGAACACGAAAAACTGTTACGTACAATCCTCCCAAGCTCCCATACCACCTAAGAGGCGACCTTCGGAGCCTGAAGACAAAGCCCTGATCTTATGGAGCAAACAAACTGAGCCAGGCTTAGTAGCGGATAGACTACTCTCCTCGTGGACCACGCTCTCATCAAGTCAGATTGGCCTCAGCTCGACTCGTCATCACGGCACCGAGGGTGCAGAGGATGATGAATGGAGGGAAAGCATCTTGAACATGGTAGAGGCGGAGGCGGAGAAGGACGACAACTCATCTTTTGGTGAGTGGGAACAAGAGAACGCTCCTGTTGGGTCAGATGACGAAGCATTCCAGAGTGCGGAAGAAGCCAGTACGATCGACACCAATGCACCCCCGTACAACTTCCGCAGCAATACCCAAAAGGCTCGTAAGAGGAGTGCAAAAACCGCTGATCGTTCTGATTCGTGGGCCTATACATACGGGTCGTCACCGGTTTACGGCAAACCCCCGGAGCCCCCCAGGCGAGATACTGGAGAGCCACATGTGTCATTCGGTACATCGCCTACCAGCCGTCCCCGCCGCAACAGATCCAAACAAAGAAGGCCTACCATGACTACCGTGAAACCACCTTTCTTAGAGGCCGATAGCAGGAGGTCTTCATCCCGAGTTCACACTATTCATAGTGATTCGATGGATTCAGCTCACAGTGCGCCCAGTCGCGATTATTTCGACAGTGACCATTACCGAGAGAGAGTCAGACCCGGGTTTTCCAATCCTTTCAGGCGTGGTCACATTCCGCCATCTGTCAGTTATGGGCACACTCCTCCGCCACGGCAGGGATTGTCACACGAGCAACCACCCCCCGAGTACTACCAAGTGCCACCAAGACAAGCATATGCATCCGACTCACACTTGCCATATCCGCGATCTCCTCCGAGTCCTCAACAGGTCGCCGCGCCTGTTCCGCCATCTCCAATACCTGCTCCACAGATGCCTGCTCCACCGTCGCCCGATCCACCGATACCTGATCCACCCGTGGAGATGCAACCCAAGACGTCTGAAAACGAGGCAAGAGAAGATGCGCTTCTCTCCAGGGTAGAGACACTGCTTCAGAAGCGCAACCAGGAACCTCGCGTTGTGTATGAAGACCCGCCGTTCTCGAGACTGGCGAAGGTATTGCAAGAGCGCGAAGTTCAAAGCGAACGGGAACGAGCCAATGCAGCAACTGAAGCGCGCATGAAGCAGATACAGGATGCTCATGAAAAAGACGAGGAGAGAATGAAGCAACTCGAAAGCCTCATAGCAGCTCAATCGGCAGAGCAAAGGCGTATGGAATCTATGTGGGAAATGGAAAGAAGGGCTATCGAAGCAGAAGCTGCAAAGCAAGCTCAAAGCGTGAGGGATCTGGCAGCGAAAGAGATCGCGGCCGCGCAAATGGCCAAAGAAACAGCTCAAACAGCACTCAATGCTGAGAAGCTAGAAACCGAGAGAGAAGCGAGGAAGAGAGCCGATGCCATGTTCAAGGCCGAAAAAGAACGAACGGATGAATTCCACAAATTGCAACTGCAGCGTTACGAAGAGCTACTTCATGAGCTACGAGAGCAGCTGCTGAACTCAGAGCATGAAAGCGATCGGGCTATAAGACGTACCCAAATCGCGGAAGGCAATCGCACCGTGGATGTAACAGAATATGCGACAAGCAAACGAGCCCCGCTTTCGATATCGGCTTCTTCTTCATTTGTAGACAATTTCGCACACTTGGATATGAGGCCCAGTCGGACTAGCTATCACGATCGGCCCCAAAGAAGTTCCGGTCGCCACAGCTTTCGTAGCACAACAGCCTCATTGCATGCTTCGCGTGCTTCATTGGGGGGCACAGGCATTTCCGATGGTACTTCGAAATCTCAGCAGGTGATCATCTTCCCTGCAAAAGCCGACCGACGCTCCCAGAGGATGCACAAGCTGCAAAAATCGTTGACTAGATTTGGGATTGATTCTGATTTTGAAGATCCAGAAGACTTACATCAATTGCACACCAGTCAGCTGGTACAGTATGACTACGACAACACGATTGATCAGACTGTTAGAAGTACCATCTTCTGGGAGGCGTCTGCGCTCAATCTAGGAAGTGAGCTTCTGCTCACTATGAGGCAAGCTGGATGGAGACCATCCTACACTCGCATATCAGGTAAAGATCCGTCCCCGAAGTCACTTGTCATCGTATTGACATTGCCTAGAGAAAGGTCAAACTCACTATCTAGGAAGTCAACCGGTGCATACCTACTTCTTTGATCCCGACTACGAACCGCAGTTTTCTCCATCCGAGACCGCACCAGGCAAGGAATCGATCACTATCCAGAAAGCCCTCGTGGAAGAATATGCGCTGATCGAACTGGGCTTCAAATTCCATACCAACGACACGGGAGTCTATGTTCTCGATGGCAGGTTGACATATGTAAAGAATGCCGCTCACTATCAGTACGACGCTCACGCTAACGGTCCGTAGAATGATATCGAAACTCTGATCGAACGGTCATTCCTGATGCGAGAAAACAACCATCGACGACTACACCGCCAGCTACAGTGGCACTTTGACAAGGATCCGGAGGTACCCTTAAGTGCTTATCCGGTTACGTATGCGCCATCAGTGCACTCCGTACCGTCTGTGTACTCGGGCGAGAACTCCACTATCTGCGACGATACCGACACAGAGACGCGAGACAAAAGAAACCCAAGCTCAGCAGGTTCTGATGCCGATCAATCTGAGATTGGCGATGTCAGTAGATTCCTTGTCCCTCGATCTGCGGTGTCAAGAAGGTCAGCAGCGCTGTCTTCTGCGGCTTCACGGACTTCGAAATCCACTAATCCGTATCGGAAGTATATGAACGCGGCGGAGGATAGCGGGACCGAAAGTGTGCCTAGGTCATCTCGTTCTCCAAGTCACTTCGACTGAGGGCGTATGTGTAGATATCACGTTAGACGCACAAAGGAGTATATAGAAGAGTACCACTGTCTATACAAAAAGAGCGTGCTGCTCCTCACTGCTCTCGTGACTATGTAGCCTTCGGCTCTAACGCAGTTGCAATTATCGTGAATCCATCGTGTAAAAAGAGTCAAACACTGGAATCCGCGTCTATCCTGCATAGTTCGTAAAGTGTGTTCGCGTCGTGAATAGTTGCCCACCTGGTGTTCCGCTAGCCCATGACGCAATCGGCATCCCGAGAATCGGTATCATTCCGAAGCAACACCCAAAACTTCCAAGGTTCGTATCGCAGCATCACGCCTTCTACAAGCCACCTTGACACGTCTGCGCTCTAATTTTTTTGCGCATCCTGTACATGCGCTTCAAGCACTTCCTCGCTCTATCAGACCCACGTCTTTACACCCTCACCAACTTCCGCGTCCGCTCCCATTGGCGCACCATGGCCGCCGCCCCGCCCCCAGATCGCCCGATAAAGCTGCTGATGCTCCATGGCTACACGCAATCAGGATCACTATTCCAAGCCAAGACCGGCGCACTGCGCAAGACATTACAGAAAGCCTTCCCCAAAGGCATCGAACTCGTATATCCTACTGCGCCCATTCGTTTAACACCCGCCGACGAATCGTTCCTCGCGGGAAACACAAGTAAAGATGGCGAGGGTAAAGATACAAAGGATGGAGAGGAGCAGGAAATCGACGCATGGGCTTGGTGGAGGAGAAAAGGCACAGGAGAACCATACACATACGAAGGCATGGAGCAAGGGTTGGAGCGCATCGCAAGCGTGTTGAAAGAACAAGGTCCTTTTGACGGTGTCGTGGGATTCTCACAAGGTGGAGCAGCGGCAGCTATGGTCGCGAGTTTGCTCGAGCCAGGCCGTCGCGCCGCATTTGAGAAGCTGTATCCTGAGGGCGGTATGAGGTTCCCAGAGTCTTTCGAAGAGGACACCGGGTACATGGAGGGCACAATACATCCGCCGCTCAAGTTTGCAGTCAGCTATAGCGGTTTCGCAGCCCGTGGAAAGAACCCTTATCACGCGTTCTATGAGCCTAAGATCAAGACACCGATGCTGCATTTCTTGGGTACGCAGGACGTCGTGGTTGAGGAGGCGCGGAGTCTGGCATTGGTCCAGGCTTGCGAGCACAGCGAGGAGAAGTACGTTGTGTATCACCCCGGGGGTCACTTTCTACCGAGCACGCAGAAAGCTAGTGTGAATGCGTTGATCGGGTTTATCAAGGAAGTTTTGCACGAACAGCAGGGTGGTGGAAAGAAGGAAGAGGAGAGTGTTGAGGATATGGATGTGCCGTTCTAATGTTGAAGGCGGACATATTCAGAGGTCTTGAGAGCGTTGATTTCTACACAGGAGCGAGGCGTTTAGGTAGACTCGCAATAGACAATAGACTAAAAACGGCCGCGAACGTGCAACTCTTAATGCCATGCACGACGCGGGGAGCGCTGTCACAAGACCAGGCGAATGCGCACGGGCCCTTCTACCCCATTGTTTGGGTTGGCGCCTTCCATGTTTACATGAGTGCTGTCATCGCGAACACCACCACCACACACCAAATCGCGACTCCACCATGGCGCAAGCAGGCAAAGAGAACATCGCCGACGGCCTAATCGCGAATGGCTCGTTCAAGGCGTCGACGCAGCCTCTGAAGAAAGCAGCATTATCACCAAAGAAAAAGACGCGTAGTAAGAGTATCGGCCCTGGAGGTCTGGGGGAATTGGAAGCGCCTCCGCTGAAGGAGAGTTTTGGAAACCGCAGAAAGGTATGCTTCATACACGCGATTGTACGAGTGAATGCTGACCAAATAGTCTGCGTTTATCCCCGCCGTCAAGTCCATTCTAGCCTCGAACGATGAAGATGAGAAGAAGCGGCGCGAAGCGCGCCGCAAGTCGCTGGGTACGTGTTTCGGGCGTGAAATCGACCCGTAGGCTTGACTAACCATTGTTTAGCAAGGCGACGCGTGTCTTTCGCCCCGGAAGCCACTCTACACACATGGGACGTAGTCGAGTACATGCGCGATGCGACCACCTCGTCCGCCTCATCGGAGGCCACACGCAGAGCCTCGAACGTCTCACAAGCATCCACACCGGCATCGCCTGCCCCTCCATCGGACCCCGCCGAGCCACCGTCTACACCACCAGAAGAAGCCGAAGAGCCTCAACCAGAGCCTAGTTCGTCACCTGAGAGCCAACGCGCGCAACATCAAAAGAAGAACCGCCGGAGTTCGGGCATACCGCCAATGAACTTCAACAACCCCGACGATGTTTACTCCTCAAGCCCGCTAAGCGGGGACAATGCTTCGCCTGGTGGAAACGATGACGGGAGCAGCGACTCTGAGGATATGGATATCGACGATGCCACAGAAAGTCTAGGAGCTTCACCTGATGTTGAGGACTCATCGCAGAGCAGCGCTCGACTGGATGCTGCGCTACGCGAGGCTGCAAACTTGGCTGGCACTCAGAAGCTGGATTTTGACGACGATGACGGAGACATGAGCATGGAGATCGCCCAAGACGAAGTCACTGCATCTTTCAAGCCCTGGGCAAAGAAGAGCTTCGTCGCACAATATGACAAGGAGAATGCAAGCCCTCTTTTCTCCCCAGCACGCACCGTAGCCGGCGAGGACGACGACATGAGTATGGACATCACGCGCGCAGTTGGCCGCATCGTACCCCCACCACCACAACAAAAGCAGCCGGAGCAGCAGCAACAACAACGCTCAGACGCAGCGAGCTCTGACGTCGACGACGATGACATGACCATGGACCTTACTATGCCACTTGGAAGCATACAGGCGATGGCGGCATCTTACAAACCAGCAAACAGGAGGAAGAGTCTTAAGAGGAGGGTCTCATTGCTCGATGAAAACCAAGGCAGCCCTGCAAAGCGCACTGCAAGCCGGCGTACCAGTTTGCGACAGCGTCGACAATCCGAAGAGCACGGCGAAGAAGACGCGACCATGGACCTCACAATGGCGATTGGAGCGATTAAGAAAGCGCCGCAGCCGGAGCCAGCTAGACGTGCTAGTGTTGGAAGCGTCGTTGATGATGCGACGATGGACTTCACGCTGGCAGTTGGCAGCATTAAGAATGGCAAACAACAAGTACAGGAAGATCAGGAGGATGAGGTCGAAGATGAAGACCTTTCCATGGAGTTCACCAAGATTGTTGGACCTGGTATTAGGCGTGCCGGCAGCTCAACAACGACACCACAAATACCCGTAGACGACACACCCGCTTCAGCAACCAAAACACCGACACCGCGAAAGTCTCCGAAGAAGTCGCCTGAACGAAGAAGGAGCTCCATTCTGAGGACCTCGGCTGAATCAGCACCTCAGGTCCTGCAAGACATCACTCCCAGTACGACAGGCGATGTGGCATATCCCACCCTTGACCCTGGTACGCCAGAGATCGTCAGGCAGAAGGATATTGAGGAGGTCGAGCCTTCGCCGTTTGTGCGCCGGACTCCGCTGAGCGCGACCAAAGAGAAGGAAGCTGTTGCGACTCCTTCAAACCCTACGCCGCAGAGGACACCCATGATGATTCCCGAGGACCCGATTGCAGCTACAATACTTGACCGACGACGTTCGTCACTGTCTGCAGTACAGTTCAGTCCTCTGAGTGCACCACGTCAGGAGCCTACACTCAAGAGCACCGCGCTTTTGAGCAACAGCATCAAGCTGTTATCCACCCCACGAAAACAGACATTAATGTCACCAGTGAAGAAGGGGATGACGCCGAAGAAGTCACAGACTCCTCAAAAGCAGCCAACGCCGAAGCAGCCGACACCGACACCCAAGAAGGCGAATCTCAGGCAAAGCATGAGCCCAATGAAGCGCGTCGCTTTTGGTGAAGAGCCAGAGGAGGAAAACAACGACGAGGCTGGTGTGGCAGAAGATATGTCGGATGTTGAGCGAATCTCGTTACAAGACTTCCTCGATATGACCAAGATCCGCTTCATGGATCTTAGTACGACCAAGCGACGTCATACTGCTGCTCCTTCCGCTTTCCACGATGTGGAAGTAGAGGAAAAGGAGGAATCGCTAGATCGTTACGTTGTGGCTGGAGCGTGCACCTTGCCTGAGTACGAGCTGTACCAGCATGCATGCCACGAGATGAAGAAGTACATCTCGGACGGTCGCCACTTCGTCCGTACAATGGAGGCCAACGTACTAGAAGAGAACCCACTGCTCTTCAGCGAGTACCTCACTGCACCCCCGGACCAGCGCGCTGTCATGGACAACCAGTTCAAGAACCTCAAGACCAACGCGCGCCTCGAGGCTCGTGGAGAGTGGTATACATGGCGAAGCACGCTGCTGCACGATCTCAAAGCTGGTCTCCTCCACACCATGGACGGTTTCAACCACGACGAATCCACACTAATTAAACAGGAGCGCCTTCTTGACGAGACATTGCCTCCTCTAGTCGAGAAGAAGGAACGTCTGTCCACTGAGTGTAAGCAACTACAGCAGCGTCATGATGAACTCAACAGCTGTGACCGGGAAGAGCTTGAGCAG